AAGAAAACTTTACAAGCCTCATGAAATTCCTGTTTTTCTTCTTTCATATATGGGCACATTAAAAACACAGATGGTTGGTGGGGGAGGGGGTCTTCAGGACCAAGTACATATAGAGCTCAGTTGGGGGGGGGGCATTTTCTTTAGGACAACTCTATTATTCTGATTTTTCTAAGCGCCCCTAAAGAATACGGTAAGTGATTTATTGGATTTGTAACGTTCAGATTTAAATGTCCTTTTTGGCTTGTATTTTTTTGGATGGACTTGTAAAGTTTTGACTTACAAGTCCAAAGGACCTGTATCAAATATTCCGAATCTTAGGGTCTGATGCCCTTATAGTACACCCTCCCCCTATTCCAGTGTTATTGCTCATACAATATTTAGTCTAAAAACAATACGAAAACAATAAAATACTACAAAATAGGCTGAGTGGCCCCAATATAGGGAGCAACTGACCGCCCCCCCCCCCCCGCCTTTGACTTACGCAATTTGATTTACGTGGTAAAAAAATGGACAATTTTATTTTCTCTAGTTAAAACCGCAACCCCCTTGGAGAAAAGTGTCTTACTGGACTTATATGTATATCTTCAAAGAAACCCCCTAGATGAACATCATTTCGGCTGATATTCCTCTTGAAACATGGTGGATCTTAAAAATCTATAGTTGGGACTCCCTTTGTAGAAGCTTTGAACTGAATTTACATTTCTTAACCTTTAGCATGCTACCGGTCAACACAGTTTAAACTTTTAAAAACTTCACTTCACTTTTTCGCGCCATTCTTATTATCCAATAAGATTGCATGTCTTATTCAGTGCCATACGTGACCTCCGGGTGACTTAGAAATGGTGATGTTTTGAAGACAAATTGTCAATTCAACAATTTAAACGGTGTTTTAGTCGAGAAATGTAGAGGAATCTAACAAAATGGCCGCTAATTAAGATCATAATGAAATTGTGGAGGATTTTGACTGAGATTTTGAGCTCTTTAGGCTTTTCGAAGCCACTAATGGACATCGAAAATAGAAACACGAATATTTTCTGAACTGAAAAGTTGAACATTAGAGCGCTGCAAATTCAGATTTGGATTCTGACCCGACATTGAGTCTTCCAAGCGGTGTAGCGGTGGTTTCCGGAGGTGTATTCATAGTTTAGTATGCACAGTTGTGTTTAAGTATTAAAAAATAAATCAAAAATATATGAACACAGTAATACGGACAATGTATCTTCCTTTTGTGAAAATTTTATCCATATTCATTTAGTAGTAATCAAGATATTTATCATAAGTCCAGTTAGCCTAAAGTATAGTATCATTTTCTTGCAAAATAAGTCAGTCACACGCAATGAAATGGACAAATTAAGTCGGCATGCTAAAGGTAAACGCTGAAATTGATATATTTATCCATACATTTTAAGAAAATAGGTATGTCAAAGAAGATGTCCAGCCAAATATTGACCCAATATTTTCTCTCTACCACGCGGTCCTAACTTCGACCGTTAATTTGAATTTTTAACCTACCAGGTGCTTGAAAATCAAGGATTGCGAGTCTCATACTGCACCGTTTTTCTTCAAACTTATACCATTAAAAGCAGAACAAAATTGCCTTTCTGTCGGTGCATTACTTTATTGTAAAGAGTCCCTCGTTCTAGCAGCGTTTTGGTCCCCAGCTGTTAGAAGGCCTACTTACAGCTGGGGACCAAAATGTCGCTGGAAGTAGGGACTCTGTTGAAGAGAATAATGTACCATCAGAAAGGGGTTTGTGTTATGCTTTGAATGGAACAAGTTTAAAAAGAAACAGTGCAGTATGAGACTCGTAATCCTTGATTTTCAAACATCCGGTAGGTCAAAAATTCAAATTAACGGTCGAAGTTAGGACCGCGTGTCTACAGTCCTTGTTGCCCCTTTAATATTTTTATATAATATCAAACCCATGCACTTATATATTTGATAGCTTGCTTCTCGTTTCCCCGGGGGTTCCCTGTAAGTAAAATTTCTGCGGGGTCCTAGGCTGAGCCCTCAGATATCAATATGTTCCCATACCAACAAAAAATAAAGCCCAAAAGCCATGCCAAACGTCCAATTCAAATGTGATTGTATTTACCCCTTCTATACACTGTGAACAAAGTCAATATTTCACCCGGGTTATATTCGCCAACAGCTAAATAATAGTGACCTTTGAAACACAAATGAAGTTGATCCGCGGCTTACCTTTGACCTCTAACTATGTCATACATCATTATCATCCTTCCCTGCAAGTATTGGAGCGCTGAAGTACTTCCTTTTCGATCGAGACTTGTAATTGCTAGTCGAGTGAATGTTTTTTCTGCCAAATTCTAATATGGCGTTTTCTGCTCAGACATTTTCGTAACTCTCCGGAGACTGTCCGAACCTAACTCATTCTCAAAATTCATTTCGTTCGTTGCGTATCTCGCTCCAAGCAAACTGCCATATTGGAAATGGGTCAAAAAACATTCACTCGATGAACAATTTACAAGTCTTGATCGAAAAAAGAAGAATATCAGCGCTCCAATACTTGCCAGGATTGATGATGCTGATGTAAGACCCCGGGGGGTTCACTATATATAAACCTTGACGGGGATCCTCGGCGCATGTGGGGTACCTTTTTCAACGTTTGGTATGGCAATGGATTTTAATGGAAATCATTTTAGGATTTGGTATGGGAATGCCCGGAAATTTCTGACTTCTGAGGTATGGCAATGGTCGGACATTTGCTCTTCTGGTATGAGAATGGTCGTTGTAGATACGTTACCTAACATTCGTGGTATGGCATTGGTCCAGTAGTTGCAAATTTGAAGTTGTTTTGGATCGTTTCCCGAAGTATCTTCTTTTCCAGGGCCTTCTTCAATTTTTGAATTTTAGCCCTTGGTCCCATATTTGGACATTTGGTATGGCATTGGTCCTACATTTTAACATTTGGTATGGCATTGGTCCCATAATTGGGCATTTTGTATGGCATTGGTCCTATATTTGGACATTTGGTATGGCATTGGTCCTATATTTGGACATTTGGTATGGCCTTTGGGCGTTATTTTGGTTGGTATGGGAACATATTGAAATTTGACAGATTGGTATGGGAACATATTGATATTTGAGGCTTCAGCCTAGGACCCCCGTCGAGTTTTATATACAGGGGGGGGGGTGTAAGAGACAGTAGAGACCAAAAGTAAGCCGCGGATCTCATTATTCATGTTTTAAAAGTAACTTTTATTCAGCTGTCCAAGTGTGCCGTGGGAAAGCTATTACATCAAAATCCACATAGCTTTCGCAGGAAGTAAGTATTCTGGATTTTGAAGCCCTGTGAGGATGTGACCTGGGTCAGCATTGGTAAGATTATAGCCACATGGGTTTATTTACAAACAAGAGCTTAAAACATGTGGTCACAAATTATTTGAAAAAAAACACAGGTTGATTTGAAGCATTCAGCTTCAATAATTGCAAGCTACAGTTGACAGGTGGATTTGCTGAAGTGAGGATTTCCCATGTTAAAAATAAGAGAATTTACAAGAGGCCATAAATCAGTGGATGCGATTATACAAAATGTAAAATATACAAATTTTAAGGGATATGTATCTAGACAATATTGGAAATTATGGGCTTTCAGACCACCATAATTAGGAAATGGTGATCGAAAATCGACCTGTCATTTATTTTTGTCCCCAACTGTAAAGCTGAACCTGATAATTGAAAAGTTATAAAAGTTTACCTTCTTCTAAGGCCCGGGGGGTTCACTATATATAAACCTTGACAGGGATCCTCGGCGCATGTGGGGTACCTTTTTCAACGTTTGTATGGCAATGGACCCATATTTTAGGATTTGGTATGGGAATGCCCGGAAATTTTTGACTTCCGAGGTACATGTATGGCAATGGTTGGACTTTTGCTCTTCTGGTATGAGTAATTAGAATGGTCGTTGTAGATATGTTACCTAAAATTCGTGGTATGGCATTGGTCCAGTAGCTTAAATTTGTATGACATTGATTCTATATTTCATTTACTTTGAATTAAGGTATGGCATTGGTCCCATATTTGGACATTTGGTATGGCGTTGGTCCTACATTTTGACATTTGGTATGGTATTGGTCCCATAATTGGGCATTTGGTATGGCATTGGTCCTATATTTGGACATTTGGTATGGCATTGGTCCTATATTTGGACATTTGGTATGGCATTGGTCCTATCATGGGCTTTCAACTAGCTAGTTGAAAGCCCATGGTCCTATATTTGGACATTTGGTATGGCCTTTGGTTATCGCATCCTACGACCCCTTTAGATTGTGGTCGTAGGCCCGTTTCATTCGTAAGCCTGTCTTTCTACAATGTCGGAGAATGAACTACGCATTGCGCTATTAAATGACCTACCTCGATACATTCCAGAGTATTTTAAAATTCTTTTTATGTTGTTAAATCGCCAATTGTATGGGTTTATCGTCAGAACGAAGAGATTTTAGTTTTTACATCGGAGATATCTCAGCAATTTTCAAAATGTCGGAAGGGGAATTCCCCAGGGATTTCCCTTATGACTGGTGCATGCCGGGAACTGAATGGAGGAATTTGACGGTTGAACCTACACGCAAATATTGCTATCAAAAACGAAAATATCTTCGTTCTGCCGATAAACCCATACAATTTGCGATTCAACTATATGAAAAGAATTCTAAAATACTCAGGAATGTATCGAGGTAGGTCATTTATGTGTGCAATGCATAGTTCATTCTCCGACATTGTAGAAACACAGGCTTACTAATGAATCGGGCCTACGACCACAATCTAAAGGGGTCGTAGGATGCGATAAGCCTTTGGGCGTTATTTTGGTTGGTATGGGAACATATTGAAATTTGACAGATTGGTATGGGAACATATTGATATTTGAGGCTTCAGCCTAGGACCCCCGTCGAGTTTTATATACACTGAACCCCCCGGGTTCTAAGGCCACTGTATTGGCTAGAGACTCGAGTAAATAAAAGTAAACTAAAAAGTTGGCTTACGAGTCTCCGACAAAATCGTAGAACTGCATTTCACCGGCAGTTGTCTGCGCTTTGAAGTTTGGGAACGCATCTCCGAGGTTGATACCCATGACAACGATTATTTAATGCGAGAATTGAAGCAAAAGTTAAAAAGTTTTAAACACGTCCTCCCTTTGCAGCTTCCTTCCAACAAGAGGTGGATTGTGGGTAATCTACTTTGGACAGAGTTTATGGCGCGAAATTTGAAAGTTACAAACTTTAAATAGTAAGCATTCGACATCTAACGAGTCCTTCGATCTTTCTAGCTACGGACGTGGACCTCATTTAACTCTTCCATAACAATGTTTTACTCCGTTGCAATGTAATTATGCAATTCATCTCTTTTTATCTTACAACTTACGTAATCGGTCCGGGAACGTAACTAATCTAGCTATTTGTTCGGTGTCCACGGCCTGTGCTATTATTCCGGGCGATTATAGCACAAGCCGTGGAAAATAAGCATCACGAGAACATATGAGCGGCATTGAAACGAATATATGGATACAAACAAACAAACAAACAAATACATAAACAAATAAACAACACCTACGGTCTGTCATACACGTTTGCATCATATCGATCGATTCTGAGTTTTATCCCCCCGTCGTGAAATTGTCTCAAAAAATCATTCTTGTAACTTTATTTTACATACGTAATTTGTCTCTACTATTTATTAATATAATGCTTTTACTGGTTTTTCTCTTTAATCATTTTCCATTTGTGATCCTGATCAAGTGAATTGTCGATAATTGCGCCATCTTTTATATATGTCATTGGAAAATTATTCATAATTTATTCATAAAACATGGATGTATTTAAGAACTTCGGAAATCAATTACAGTTCCCAGATCAGACTACGTGGTCTTAAACTCTGCAATATATTTTAGCACGATAGCACTACCAGTTTATAAACATGGCTGAATATAATTGTATCAAGATTATTATCACACACCATTATTAACACATCGTAAAAAATTTTGGGCCCCTAAAACCCAAAAATGGGCCCAAATTTTGAAATTTCGAGGCCCATTTTCTTCAAAATTTGGCCTGAAATTAAAAAATAAGGCCTTAAAAGGCCCAGTAATGACCAAAAAGGCCCACTTTTTGGGGCCTGAAGGCCTTTTTGGGCCCAACATTTTTTTTGGGCCCAATTTTTGGGCCCACCCAAGGGGGGGGCGGGCCCCCAGGCCCCCCCCCCCCTAATCCGCCAGTGCAATCTAGAACTTCCCATCAAATCGTCTAGAAACAACGACAATACCATCAGCAGGAGTATGATGGTATTGTCGTTGTCGTGTAGTCTATGATCTGGGAACTTTAATTGATTTTCGAAGTTCTTACGCTATATACATCCATGTTTTATTCTCATAAATTGTTTATAATGTTTACAGTAGCAGGCCCGTAGCCAGGGGGGGAGGGGTGGGCTCCCCCCATATATCTCCAAAAATGTGGACCTACCTTTTTGCTTTCTTGAAGATTTTCTTTCATTTCGAGGTAGATGGTAACATTTGATGACATATGTAAGGTGCATTTTGATGTGATATTGCCAATTTTTTTAAACAAATCCAAATTAACATTTGGTGACATTATGTACGCCGCATTTTGATGCAATATTGCCAATTTTTTTAAAAACAAATCCAAATTGAGTAGACTATACTAGTCTGTATAAGGTATTAAACAGGCTACTAGTACTGCGTTTTTGAACTGCTCGTGGCGCAAGTATATTGTTATTATAATATTTAGTTTTCCCCAGAGGACACATGAAAAAGAACAACGACGAGCCCCTGCGTTGCAAATTACATGCCCACACGTTTTCAACAAGAACGACGCATTCAAGCGCACTTACTCCGCCAATATTATGTGTATTTGCATTGCAGAGCTTATTGTTCTTTTTAGTGATATCTGGGGCGAAAACTCATAAAATAAAAATATTACGTAATTCACGAGCACCGAGAGCATACAAAATACAGTCTAAATGATTCGTTTGTTGTATTAAAAGTTCGTTTTTATCTATGCATGGTGTGTGTTTAGTGCAAAATTACTGTCTCGCTGATAGGTATAAGGGGATTAAGCCACCCCAAATTAGTCTCCGAAAAAATTGAAGCCCAAAAATGATTAAAACTACAAAATTAGGGTAGCTATATTATACACGCAGAACATGCAGCAATGTACTATTCAGAGTCAAGACCAAAGTGTAAATTGAAATAAATCATATATTTTGATTCTTGATATGCTAAGAATGCGCCAAATAGGCCCGAAAATTCAAATTTTTAAAAGTAAATCATACATTTTGATCGTAGAATCGCTCAGAATGAAGATAAAAATTCTAAATTTTCCGTGGGGACCACAGTCATGACCGAAATGTAAATTGAAATAAATCATATATTTCATTCTTGAAACGGTCAGAACGCGCCAAATAAGCCTAAAACTCAAATTTTTAAAATTTAAAAACATTTATGATTCTTGAAACGCTCAGAAGGCGCCAAATAAGCCAAAAACTCAAATTTAAAAATAAATAAATCATATATTTTGATTCTTGAAACGCTCAGAAGGCGCCAAATAAGCCCAAAGCTCAATTTTTTTCAAAAATAAATCATATACTTTGATTCTTGAAACGCTAAGAACGCAACAAATAAGCCCAAAAAACTCGAATTAATAAAAAATAAATCATATATTTTGATCCTAAATTTGCTCACTATGGGCTAAATCATGTTCTTTCAACTAGAAAATTGAAAGCCCATGGCTAAATCAGTAGAAAAATTCTAAATTTTCACTAGGACCCCCTAGTTTTGCTCGGTCGTAAACAAGCTTTTTTTGCAAACTGCCCCAGTAATTTGGCTCGAGTTTTGTTCCTTCTGAATTAACCAAATAAAAAAATTTGGGCATTATTATTCAAAATTTTGGCCCTAATTTTCGGAAATCCTTGGAACCCCTCCCTTATTTTCAAGAGGACCCTGGTGTCTTCTTAATAACACCCTTATAATTACAATGCGAAGTTTGTTAAGCATGATAAAAAAATTACGTGTGGATGGGGGGGGGGGGGGTCGGTTCGAGCACCCCCCCCCCTTACCAAAAGCTGGCTACGGGGATGAGTAGAATGTGCTGATACTAAATGTGACCATGTCAGATCTGCAAATCCATCGCAAATTACCATGGGCTTTCTTCTTTCTTGAAAACCCATGAAATTACCAAAAAGCAAACATCATCATTTTATAACGTTTCGGCCAATGATACATGTAATTCTCTCAATATCCGAAGTTCTGAAATTTTTGCTCGAAGTCAACCCGATGTTTAAAATGTGTAAACAAGAATCACTTGTATTTTCACAATTATGAATATATGATAACCGGAGACTAATTTTCATACTTCGTAGCGCATCCATACAGTTTTCATGAACACCGTCTCTGAGCTTTGAGCACAACCAAATCAGTTAGAACGCAATCGGTACTCAAAATACCTGAATTCCTAAAAAGTGTTGCCTAAGGGTCACCTCCGATGTTTAGAATACACAACAAAGTATAACTAACCATTTACAGTGTCATGATATATGGATGGGTTGATATAAATATGTGATTTTGTCTCAAATAGTTATCATACACACAAAGAATTATTCTGACCTACATAAATGGAGATCTTCCATAATGCATTTCAATGGAGGAAAACGTTGTCTGTTATTTTGAGTGTTTCCCTCGATATAAACCGGTATTTCAAACTGTTTATTAAAGCTTCAATATGTGTTCGTTGTTTTATAATAGTTTTGTGATATTCATTCATGTAATTCCATCGCATTTGAACAGGAAAATATCTGATATTTTACGATGTCAGTGAGACCAAAATGGCGGCCGATTGAAATAAGGGTGTGTTTGTTACCTACTTTCAATAGATATTTTCTACTCTTCTTTGACATCTAGTGCTCGTTAATATGGTTTTCCTCAATAGAATACATATTGAAATTATTGTTTATTATGAAAAGTTAATGTCCTCTTTTGATTTCGTTGCGATAAACTCTTGTAAAGGTAAAATCTCGAAGATTATTAGACGGACAAATGGCATTCGAACAGTAAATTTGGTACTACAAAATCAATGCAACTTAATTTTTTCTATCGAGAGATAAAATTTAGTATAATAGCTTTTGATATAGTCCAATAAGTTATATACATTTAGGGTAAGTAATACAGAAATTAATATTTGAAATAAGTCGACAAACACACATTGAAAATCACATCGGACATTTTGATTGTTAATCAGTACAAACCGGAAGTTTGTTCTCTAACGTCCGCGCGATTTGTATAAAATCATAACACAGTGATGCTTCGATCATACATTCAGTTTCATCTGACCATACAACTTGTATTTAGTACAACTAAGCCTAAACAACTTTCAACGATGACAGATGCAGCAGCTAAAGTAGCAAAGAAGGCAGCCAAGCCTAAGAAGCCAGCAAATCATCCCAAATATATTGAGATGGTCACACAAGCTATCTCGGCTCTGAAGGAACGCTCAGGATCCAGCCGTGTTGCTATCATGAAGTACATCCAGGCCAACTTCAAGGACCTTGGCGGTGACGCATCTGCCAACTCTCACCTCAAGATGGCTCTCCGTGCTGGGGTAAAGAGTGGGGCTCTTAAGCAAACCAAAGGAACTGGTGCATCTGGCTCCTTCAAAATCGGCAAGGTCGAGAAGCCTAAGAAGGTCAAGGTAGTCAAGAAGAAACCCGCTGCCAAGAAACCCAAGGCAAAGAAACCAGTGGCCAAGAAAGAGAAGAAAGTAAAGACCCCAAAGAAGGCAGCAAAGAAACCAAAAACACCCAAGAAGGCAGCAAAGAAACCAGCAGCAAAGAAGGCAGCAAAAAAGACTCCAACCAAGAAGGCCGCCAAACCAAAGAAGGCAGCTGCAAAGAAGTCTCCCAAGAAGAAGGCAGCAGCAAAGAAGCCAGCCAAGAAATAAACGTTAGCTCAACAAAAAACCAAAGGCCCTTTTCAGGGCCACCCTTTACTTACAAAAGAGATTTTAGGTTTTTTGAATATCTTCACGCTACCATTGGTTAGATGCCTTAATATAGGTTATTTACTGGTCGGGATTGAATATGGGTTTTATTCCTCGGAAAATATGATATCGACCGAGGGATAAACGGACAATCCTATGGTTTTTCAAAAACTATCAATTATATCCACTCATGGATATCAATTCATGCTAATTATTTACTGGTCGGTATTCAATGTTGGTTTATTCCTAGACTCGTAACAAGATGATATTTCCGTCTGGCCCTCGGGAAATATCATATTGTCCCTCGGAATAAAACCCATATTGAAAATAACCTCTATAACATTCCATTTAGATATAACAAGTAGTGAATGGAGGCTGAAATTCCCAGGGGTATATAACAACAATACAATACCATATATTGGCTATCTACCCATTATGGGCATAATTTATTAAATACATTTAAATTGTGTATGTTTCTCTAAACTACTTTTGCAAAAGTGTGGTATCACAAAATGTATATATGCAAAGCCTACCACTCGTCTATAGCATGGAGCCAGTGGCATGAATAACTACTTCACTGGTGATCCACTCGATTACGCTGGTTACCGAAACGGTTCGTTTTGGTAACAAAATGTCGGAACGTCGAAGGTACGATTTTTCTCTTTTCCTTATTTCACACGTTGTAAGCAGAATTCCCACGACATTTTTTAACACAAACGTGTATCAGTATCATATGTTTAAGAAATGTACATATGTGCAAACAAATAGTTCAGAAGACAACAGAATCGTCGATTTAATTCTTCACTTAAGTTACACAAACGGTTTTTCGAAAAAACAGTTAAGATGATCACGTTTAACCAAAACCGTTTATGTAACTTAAATCGACGATTCTGCTGTCTTCTGAGCTATTTTTTTCGCAAACATTAACATTTTCTAAAACATATGATACTGATATAAGTTTGTGAGAAAAAACGTCGTGGGAATTCTACCTACAACGCGTGAAATAAGGAAAAAAGAAAAATCGTACCATCGACGTTCCGACATTTTGTTACCAAAACGAATCGTTTTGGTAACCAGCGTAATCGAGTGGATCACCAGTGTACTTTAAACTCGATCGATGCCATTAATAATTTGATTGAAACGTGATATCATACTTTTCCATACGTTTACAATTCCACACGTGTAGCTTCTGTTCTCTGTTGCTGTATTCCACCATAGTAATGTCTCCATACAGGTTATCACATTCAGCGTGTCTTAGATGGTGAAATGGAATATCGTTGGGCCCTAAATGTTGTTGAATGTTGTTGTTTGTGTCAAATGTGTATCGTATATACGTATCGACGTCTGTAGCACTATCAATGACATACATGGCACCACAGCTCATGAAAGCATTACCGGCTAAGTTGCGGGTGAAATCAGTGAAATAGTAACGGGAAATGTTCATAGCTACGGGGTCTAGCTTTCCAATGGATATTTCATGTTGATCTGCTACAGACGCAAAAAGTACCCAGAGTCCATTCTCATCAACTGAGAAGTCCATGTATCCACCGCCATTGGAGTACTCATCTTGTCCAGGCGTAACACCAGCATCCGGCAACTCCACCAGTCTTGCCTCTTGGGTGGATAATTTGAATTTCATAACATACCTAGTGTTATAGACATTACAAAACAGCGCATTCTGATAAACGACGTTGTTGGTACCTTCACATGTGTATGGTAGGCTATAAACCATAGCGTTGCCAGCGTCGACAGCGTCTTCGTTGGCGTACTCGTACAATGTGTTCGACGTTGCACCATCGAGTACCCAGACCTGTGGCGACAGAACGTCAATGCGGTCATCTTTCATCCACTGCCCTACTTCGGCTTGGAGTCTAGTTGCAAAAAAACTCCCATCCGTTATACCTGTCACGTTCCTTGGACACGCTCTGCCTAGGAAAATGAAACAAAAGAATTAATATAGACTCTGTAATACAATTGCGTTATTCAACCTCACTCGAAAATGTTCTGCAAATGTGTTATATTTCTTATTGAACAAATATTGACAATAGTAGCCTACCATTCCAAGGATCTGGGAATCATTCTGAGGAATCATGATTATTGAATACAAAAACTCGACGACATAACGTTGCCATCTTTTGACAGTCATTGCTGATTTTAAAATCGACTCGCATTGGTTAAATCATGGGATTTCAATAGACTCCATAATAGAAGTATCTCCTACTTGTGCAGTTAACATTGTGGGGATAATCGCAAATGTTTGTGATTGGGTTGAAATGCAATCCACCAGGACATTGCTGAGGGTAAGCGATTCCATTTGAACACTGCCAATAACGTGTGCAGTTAGCTCAGCAAAGAATCCATCAATAGGCGCTTCGTTCTCATCCCTTGGACATTCGAAAGCAACAGCGGCTATGATTGACAGTGGAACACCTAAAATTCAAAAGGTATAGTTGAAACAAATAACGAATGTATATTGCTGAACTTTGACGAGCAAGAACGCAATTTATGACCTGATTTAGCTCGAGATCTTACAGAAATCACTTTCCATCAGATTTATGCCTCGACCATGGGCTTTCAACTGGAGAAAAAACTTACCGACAACCACGATAAGACAAATCGACCATGAATTCATAATATCGAATAAAAATACTCGTTAGGCTAAAATGAACAAGTCCCAAAGTGAGTCCGCTCATTAAAAGTTATTTCAATGGTATCGTGTGATCAGGACATATGTTGCTATTTGATAGTGTTGTTTACGTTGTTTCTTTTAAAAAAAACGTCTGTGCGTATACAATCAGTTCAATCATGTAAGCTGAATATAGGATACCAGGTCCCGTCACGTTCATTAACCGATTGCTCGAAGCTTCTTTTTGAGAAATTGTTTGTAGGTTGTCATGGTGATGTCTGTTTTTGCTCTTTTGTTATATACAGGTGAGTGATACAGTACGACAGATTACAGCCAGACTGCGGAAAATAGAATTAATTTGCAAGGCACAGCTGGTTGAACAATATGCGAGAAGTAACAACCTTGCTTGTTCATGTCCTCCATTACCACCCTGGGTATAGTCTGTCACGTGACTTCATGGATGACGTGTGCGCGAGTGATTCGCATTTTATTTCGCTTGAGGTTTGTAATCACACTTTTTACATGTTTTAAGATTTTGTATCTCTGTGAAACTTGTCCCGTACCATCAATGTCTGAAGACGATCTAATTCACCAAATATCTCATCCAAGCGTGTCCCGGTTAAAGAGAAATTCGCACTTTTGTGTCTCGCAAAATGACGTGTGCGCGAGTAAATCGAATTTTACGAAGGATGGGTGCGCGAGTCTAAAATATTTTTATTCACTTGAGACAATTCTGCAAGCTAAGGCAGAATTCAACTCACGTGACATTTGTTTTTGTCATCTTAAAGTAGTATGTTAAAGAATAGTTTGCTATTTTGTAGATGTTTCATGTATGGCACATACATACATGTCTACGTTTAATGACAATAAATGTTTTGAAATAGCTTGTAGGGCTGTCCGGCATTGCAGGTGAATTAAAATTTGAACCAAAAATTGAATTAAATTTTTGGCGGTCTCATAAAACCGGCAGCATATTCATTTATTGACATCCCATACAAGGGGGGGGGGGTTAGAGTTGTTATGTGGTTACTCGGCATCCGCCACGATCAGAACCATGTAAGGAATAGTAAGGGGAAGCCCATGATACCAAGTAATATCAAATAATTATAGCAGCTTCTAACTTCTTCCGCATCCCCACCCTTGGTATACGCAGCTGACAAAATGGATCGGTACGGGTCAAAAGCTGGACCGGTACGGGTTAACGGTTTTATTTGAATTTAAAACAGCTATAACTTGCTCAATATTGACTTCTTCGTATCTAAGTTGAAATATATGATCCCTCCGAATGAATTTAAGTACCCCCAAAGTTCACCCGTACAGGTCCAGCTTTTGACCCATACCGGTCCATTTCGTCAGCTGCGTATACCAAGGGTGATCCCACATACTTTGTTTTTACAGACTCAGAAATCAATGTTCGCTATAAATGTAGCAATATAATATGAGCTTTCGTGTACTCAGATCCTCCATTTGTAAAAAAACAATTGAAGAACAGCATAATAGAAAGTCAAATACAAAATTGATTTGCGCCCAAAATAGTTTGGGTAATGATTCCCGTCACTACCATGCATTTGTCCCCAAAGCAAGGTATTCTGATGGGTAAAATCTTGATACCTCCCCCTCCCCTACTAAAAATGATTTGAATTTGGTTTAAAAATATATACCCCAAGAACACTTTAAGGTATCATAAATTATTGAGGTAGTTATTAGTTAGAAAACACCGTGCCCTTATAGTATTTATTACAATTCTAGAACAATTTCATGAAACGACTCATAAGGAAATTGTTTTTGTAACTGTTTATACATTTCACTTGTTATTATTAGTTTCAGGTATTTAATATGGATAGCCCAAGCACGAGTGGTTTAGAAACTACTGTCAGAAGTCTAGATGGGCTCTCTTTTTACATTTGCTTTAGCCTCTGGGGTACATAGCATAGTTTTCTTTGTAATGTGGTCGTGTGGACTATCATGTTCAGCTTTAATCAATTTTATTTTGTTGTTTATTGAATCAATCTGGATTCTTTCGTTTGATAGTTCTTTTTCGAATGGAATGAAGCCATACCGTTTAGACATGTATGACATAAAACCATTTTCGTGGTTTAAAACTCTTACATAAAAACGAAATTCGTCATACTTATGTTCTTCCCAGGTATGAAGGGCTACACCCTCTAGGCCTTCGAACCTTTGAGTTCCTGGTGGACAGTGGTAGCAGGCGTACATATTTCGTGCAAAGGGAGAAAGGTATGCTTTTCATATGTTATTAAATCACCTTGTAACAAAATCAATATTGTGTCTAGCTTGCAGAATTGTTTAAAATGAATATAAATATGTTAGACTCGCGCACCCATCCTTCGTAAAATTCGATTTACTCGCGCACACGTCATTTTGCGAGACACAAAAGTGCGAATTTCTCTTTAACCGGGACACGCTTGGATGAGATATTTGGTGAATTAGATCGTCTTCAGACATTGATGGTACGGGACAAGTTTCACAGAGATACAAAATCTTAAAACATGTAAAAAGTGTGATTATAAACCTCAAGCGAAAGAAAATGCGAATCACTCGCGCACACGTCATCCATGAAGTCACGTGACAGACTATACCCAGGGTGATTACTCTTTGTAGGAATACTAACAACGGGTTTTGTTTCTGGACAATTCACTTGTCCCGGAACAGTAGATGACAATTACCCCAACCCTAACTCATGCAGATCCTACTGGAGATGTAGGAACAATATAGCTACTCTTGTAACATGTCCCACTAATAGTGATTCAGGTCCGCAACATTTCGATCCTAACCGAAAGCTATATGTGATTTGGCGTATAGAGCTGGATGCATTAGTAAGAAACTATTCTCAATTTCGTCTTTGGTCTTTGGGCATTATTGTAAAAATGCGATAGAACTAGAAGGAATATTTTGAAATTATGACAACTCGTCTTTTCTTCTGTTTGGTGCCATGAATATCTCGTGTTGTTCATTATCATTAACTTGTGAATCTTCATTGCTGCACATACTTAGATACTGCGTGTCAACGGCATGTGACATCCATAGGGACGCGAACATATGTAAACACACGAGGAGCCGCGGCGAGAGACGGAGCTTGGATGACCGACCAAGTACCCATTGATGAATCATCTGTGTCAAAAATTTGGATTTTTGAAGGAACAAGGTTAAACAATAAAACAACTATTGAATTAAATAAAAGAAAGTTCCGATAGTATCTAAGCAGTATCTTCTTTTTAACTTATATCTTAAAATTTGATTATATAGGCAACATTGCTACATGTGTTAAACCAAATTGCCATATAAGCAGTGTATACTCCATAGTTTGCATTGTTTGAGATCAGGAATAAATAAATAGTACAATAACGTCATTTCGAAGGGCAATAAAGTCCCCAAGGTCCAATATTTCACTATATTGCCCGCAGAAATGGCATCAATAGTATTATTACCACCGTTAATGACCAGGGCTGAAATAGCAAGAAAATCTTACGTACTGAACGATATCTAATTTCCCGGGGAAAATTACCGGTCATTAATTGCATTATTGACCGCCATTATGGACAGCCACTATGATGTCACATATTGCCCAGGTCGATATAGTAAAATGAATGCCTTCTAAACTAGCACTAAAACCCCTAGAACTGGCGCGGCAAGGTGGCAATAATACATTGTTGTACATTTTCAGATCCGACAGACTACTCCAGTTCAGTAATCTTGAAAACTTGAATAACAATATCACCGAAAGTATATTCACGATGCCCTTTGAATGCATGGGAACAGGCTCCCTAGTGGCAAATGGACGAATTTACTGTCATATCTACGGCACAAAGTACATGATGCAATGTTCTCTGAATACTGGATCATGTGTGGAAAGAGCACTTCCCGATATTGGTATTGGGCCGGATGAGGAATATTCTCTCAATGGACTGAATAACTTTATAGATTTCCAGCATACTGAGCAGGGAATATGGGTCTTGTATGCTAGTATCTTCAACAGCTTTAATGTTATCATCGAGAGAATCGACCCAGTGAATCTAACTGTTATTGAAAGGTATGAATCAGCCATTCCAAAAAGATTAATAGGCAATGCCTTCATCGTGTGTAGCGATGTTTATGGCATCGAAAGGGCCGATGGCACCTCATCGTATGTAAGTTACAAGTACGACAGAATAGCAAATACGACTACAAGCCTCTCCAGGAACCAGCTTCCGTTCAACCACACACTTGGGTGTGGTAGCTCTGCCTGGATCACGCAACTTAGTTACAACTGGGTTGCGGAAAGACTTCTTGTATGGAACTGTGGCATACAGGAGATGTACGACTTGACATTTGTGAAATAACGTTTTTAGAAGCATAGAAATGACTAGTGACACAAAAACGCGACCCCCAATTTTGGGCTCTGTACAGTTTTAGTGAAAACAAATTTTGGGCGTCGCATCAATATTTTAATAAATTCAGATTTTCAAATATGGTATATTTATATTTATCCCATACTTGGACGTGTTACAGGTACATAAAGCCAGTTTGTAAAAACTTATATTTTCATCAGCGGGCAGATATAGCTTTACGTCCCGCTCCGAGCGGGCAGATATAGTATATCTGCCCGCTACGTCATAATCGTCGCTCGCATATTTGTTCATAATTTGTAACGTTCGCGTAATGACTGTGGAGAAAACACAGACAATCGGGATCTGTTTGATAGCAAGGAGCATCCACTTAATCAATCAAAAATTCGAGAAAATAAATATGGGAATATTTGAGAGAACAGGAAAATCCACCCACGGCCAAGAAAACAAAACTGGACATGAATATTCTAAAATATGTCCACGATTGAACAATTTGAACCAGATGACCAAGATTGGTATGGGATAAACATATTATCCTATAGTCGGTTCAGGATATTGGGATTATCCCTTGGCCAATATAACATATTTTCCCTCGGGACCTGCGGCCCTCGGGCAAATATATTATATTTGCCTCGGGATAATCCCAATATCCTGAACCTCATATAGGATAATCTCTATTTATCCTATGCCAAGTAGAGTTTTTGGGAGATAAGTTGGTAAGATATATACCGTATCCTGATTTTGAGGTTTCCATATCCTGAACCTCCATCTCCCGCTTCGGTGCATATCTTCCCGCTTCCGGTAATTTCACTGAAAACTCTACTTGGTATAGAATAAAGCAGTTATGTACGGTCGGTTTGGATATAGGGTTCATCCCTCTTGAGATATGCACATCTCCCTCTGGATAAACCCGATATCCAAAACCTCCCAGTACATAACCCTTATTTATCCAATACTTGGACGTGTTTCAGGTACATAAAGCCGGTTTGTAAAAACCTATATTTTCATCAGCGGGCAGATATAAGGGTTATGTACTGGGAGGTTTTGGATACAGGTTTTATCCCAAGGGAAATATGTGTATATCCAGAGGGACCGCAGGGACCGAGGGATATACACATATTTCCCGAGGGATAAACCCTGTATCCAAAACCGACCGTACATAACAGATGTATTTCATACCTACTGATGTTCTAGGTACGTCATATACCTTATCCAAATATTGAAAAATAAAATTTGAAAAAATTTTTGAAAAAAAAAGTGAAAAAAATTTTGAAAAAGAATGTGAAAAAAAATTGGGAAAAAATGGGGAAAATTTAAAAAAAATTTTTTTGAAAAAATTCAAAAAAAAGTTGAAAAAAAATTTCAGGAGCGGGACCGGGATGGATACAGCGTGTATCCATCCCGCCCCGGGCCTTGGCTAGATACAGTATATATTCCCGCTCGTTATGTACCTAGAACCTCAGTAGGTATGAAATACATAGAGGTTATTTAATGGGAGGGATGGAATATGGATTTTATTCCGAGGGAAATACCGCGCCCGTAGCCAGGCGACCCCCCCCCCTTATCAAACATTCTCTCCAAATCCCCGGTTTTTACCTTGTAATTTTCACTTTCCAAGTTATTTTGGGCCAATTTTGTCTTTAAAACACTCCTGGAACTGAACCTCCACTTGGCAAACGCTGTCTGAAGTATCGACACACCCGATGACATAAAATCATATTCAACAGATGTTGAAATAAATACAAGTAGATAGATTGCCAATACTCCGAACAACGTTTCTAGAATAGCTCCATTTCATTTAAAGGGGAAAAATTTGCTGTTTTCATGCATTTGATAAATTATATAAAAGTGAACTCTGAAAGCCTGGCCTAGGTCGGTGTATTTTTTAAATTCTATTTCAGTTGAAAGTCAAAATAAATAAAAGATAACACCTACTTGGGCAAGGCCAAACTCTGAACTTTGAGGAGAAAAATAGAATAGGTTCTCGTTCTCAAAAAAAATTCAAATTCTTGAAGTCACTGCAATGGCATCGATCCAACCTTGTGCCATGCGCTTGAGATCTCAAAGGTAAGCTTACATCCACCTAGAAGCCTTTTAACACCCACTTTAGTATTGAAAATGGCTTATTTTGAAAATAAATTGGTAAATGACAACTTGGACCAACTTGAAAAAGATGTTGAGGGAGAACAAATTGCACGGATTAAAATCAATGAGTTAATAAACACTACAGTAGACGTATTTGCACAAAAAGCAATTTTATTATAAACAAAGACTGCATTGAATAATTGCATAAACACTGACAAAGTGCTTCACATAATCACATTGCTCAATATTGATCAAGATTAAATAATCAGTAAAGCTCTTTACAATCACAGGCATTTGGCAACTTTCAATAGAAAAGAAGCATCAATTCAAGAAAACATTGCTTTTATTAAAAAATGGAAGAACTTGATTAGATTAGCGATTTTGTACAGCATATGATTGGTACATCACTTACTTAGCAAAAGGAACCTTTTTATTATCTGATAATAAGCTCAACTTGTTTCATGCTCCATGGGTATTTAAATTGAAAGTTCAGACGTCCATATGAAAATGCAGGTCTTTTAATTAAGAGAGCAGACTCAATAGAGGGCATGGAAAGTGTAAGTACAACCTTCAAGTGGGATTCATAGGACTTCTACCATATCAATATACAGATATAGGAATGCTGAGAGTGGGAAACATTGTAACAATTGTAAACAAGGCATTAATAAGCAAAATGCCACCACCTACCATTTGTTACAAACACGCAACGCCAACTGATGAATTCACACCGCTGCCACATAAAAGTTGGAGATTATAACAATATGTCACACATAAAAATGTTAACTGGTATCTTTTATTGCCCCTTTAAATAGGCCCTGAACTTGTTTTAAAAAATAAGAACATGATTTTAAGAAATCATGAGTTAGTTGAGATCCTTATAAACATGATAAACACTTTCCCCAACTAGTTTTTGCTACACTAAAAGCTCTATTCTTGTATTGAGCCCTCGTGTAACTCCTCCTCTATCAAACTGTAAAAGACCCACAGTTCTCTGTGGGATACTTGATAAAGGGGGATGGGGAGGAGACAAAAGCCTAAATGCAAGATACATGTAGCCTCAGTCATATTTTACTTTATGAGACAAATGGATTTTTAAAAATCTGAAGAATCCCCTATAAAATGATATTAGTAGTATCACGTCCTGGAAGCTGCTGATTGTGTTTGCACTAGTGTTGGACCTTTTTAGCTCACAAGGGTGAGCTAGTTTGTTTAGCTACAGTGAGCTACAGTATTGTTATCACTCACTTGTCTTGTTTGTGTTTGTGATTACAGCAATTAATTTAAAAACTATTGAATTCAAATACAAAGTTTCTGCTAACGACCCCCTGGTAAAGATCTTGATATACATGAATGAGCAAAACATGAATAAACAGGTAAAGTCTCTAAAAAACTGTCCACACACAATGGAATACTCTTGACAATTTCTTTCAGACTAACTTATAATGATGATTTGTTTCGTAAAGAGCCTTCATCTACCACACTGGTACAAAAATGTATTACATGTACAGAACATGCAACATGAACATGTATGTCATTACATCATGTTTATTCATTATTGAGACAATTATTGTTTAATTTGGCACTTTATTAAATAGCTTTGTGAATTGGCTGTTTTGTATCATAGGTACCTGTTACACTGCTGGGTTGAGTCTAACGAAGCATTTTTGTAACGAAGGTTAGCGAAAAAATTGTGTCCACACTGGCTTTATCCAACCCTAACGAAGCAATTATTTGGTGTTACACTGCACTTAAAATGCTTCGTTGCGCGTGCGCATTACTCATCTGCCCCACCCACTCATTATGATAAATATTTTTTATTCTTTTGATATAAACCATTGATCAAACTCAAAAATCTAATTTTCAATCTCTATTTTAACAAATCAGCACAGAAAAAGACTTGTTCAAAATTCTCGGGAAAATAAAACTAGATGAATGTGATCATTCCGTACACACGTCCATACATTTTTCCTATCATTTCGATTTTTATATATTTCAGCTGTCAATACGATTACAAGTATTGTTTTCATTTTCTATCATTTCCTTAGGAAAACACGTGGAATAAAAATAGGCCTATAGCTAGGAGGAAATGGATTTGTGGTTTATACAGACGACTAGTATGTAATATCGTATAAAAACGTTCAATTTCCAAATGGACTTCTCAGTTATATTTCAAATAGTGTAGCCATAACTAAAATATCTCGGTGTTCGGCTGGTGGTTTAACTCACGCGGTCCTAACTTCGATCGTTAATTTGAATTTTCGACCTACCAGATGCTTGAAAATCAAGGATTGCGAGTCTCATACTGCACCGTTTTTTATCAAACCTATACCATTAAAAGCAAAACAAAATTGCCTTTCTATCGGTGCATTACTTTATTGTAAAGAGTCCCTCGTTCTAGCAGCGTTTTGGTCCCCAGCTGTAAGAAGGCCTTCTTACAGCTGGGGACCCAAATGCCGCTGGAAGTAGGGACTCTGTTTAAGAGAATAATGTACCATCAGAAAGGGATTTTTGTTACGCTTTGAATGGAATAAGTTTGAAGAAAAACGGTGCAGTATGAGACTCGTAATCCTTGATTTTCAAACATCCGGTAGGTCAAAAATTCAAATTAACGGTCGAAGTTAGGACCGCGTGTAACTACTATTTCATGACCAATTCATTTTAATATGAATATTACCCGTCTCGCCAATACTCCATGCATATTTGAGTGAGTTTGACATAAATTAGTATGTTAATCCATCAGCCGTCCGTTGAATTCGAAAATGGCGCAAATAGGAAGAAACTTGAATAACAGTTGTAAGCATCGTCTTACGACACATCAATAGTGTTTTGGGCTGGCCTAAAACATGCAGCCTCTCTGTGGCAAATATCTGTCGACAAGAAACAATTTTGGCCACCGTTCCTTGTCCGCAGGTTTTACCGTATTTGTATACGGAAGTTTTGAAACGTAATTAATTCAATATATTCAAACATGAAGTTTAAATTCAATTACAATTTAAAATCGTCGAAGAATAAAATAATGGAACGACTATAGCACAAGTACATGTATTGCAATGGGGCGATAGCCAGTTGAATACGATTTCTGAAGAGAGACATTTTCGAATCAATCAAATCGGCTATATTCCCTGATGTGATTCAACGGGAAGCAATTGTATCAGTATCATGGTATTAACACCTTTAGAACTACATTCAAGGTATAATTATTCGAGGCGCAAGAAAAAATTAATATTAAACATGTTTGCCACAACTTTCTATTTAGTAAGCATATCTTATGTAATTTCAAAAGTTTACCCTTCCACACCGTTGAGACGGATTTTTCCGAAAGAGGGACATTTAAATATTCTAGGTTTATTCTCTAATAGATCAGATAAACGTTTCAAAACTACCGTATACATATACGGTAAAACCTGCGTTTTTTAGATTTAATACTTTTTGTCATATCAATGCGAGGAAAGGCAGGGAATCGAAAAATGCTACGAAAGACGGTAAATCACATTTGTACGTGGCGTTTAGGGCTTGAGTTAGCGTCAATCAGTGACGCAAATAGGTAATTATTTTAATCAAAACGTAGCATTATAATAATACGTACTTAAAAACATGTTCTTTCCTGGCGATTCCTCTCATTTAATACAAAATGATGAATGCGCTCTTTATTACGCGCATGCGCAAACCGCCAACTAAGCATTTTCTAACGAAGCTACCTGTTACACAGGCCAAAAAAGCTTCGTTGGGAGCTAACCTTCGTTGAATTTTCTACTCAATTGCTTCGTTATCAACTAAGCTTTTCCAACGAAGGCGGAGGTGTTACACTGGCCCAAAATTGCTTCGTTACGAAGCTTTTTGTCAAATTGCTTCGTAACGAAGCATTTCAACTGGCCTGTGTAACAGGGGTCATTATAGCAAAGGCAAGGCTTTAACATGCAAAATGTCACCACCTGCCATTTGTCACAGACACCTGCCACTACCGGTGGTGACATAAAAGTCAGACTGAGTGACAAGCAAACATTTTCAATTCACCAAAACCTTATGTAAATCAACAGTGCCATATCATGTCGTAAAATAAGAGCTGGGTCAGAACAGGACTTGTCAACTGATTTTGGCAGCCAGCTCATTATTTCAGAACAAATAGCATTAGCCTATTATATGGTACAAATTACAATATATGGTATAATGTATTGGTCCATTTATCAATTTTACTGAAAGATATTTAAATACATGGGACATTCTCCATGGGTGTAGCCGGGAGGAGGGGGGGGTGCAATGGGTGCGAACGCAACTACAAATAAGAATAGGCGATTCAATAGATAGAAAAAGAAAAGAGCTTCTGGCTCAATTTTGAAGGAAGTTACATCATTTTTTGTAAAATTCAAAACAAGTCTTAAAAAAAAATTTCAAGGCTTGTTGCGTATGCCACAATCGCACCTTCCTGACTGAAAACGGAATCTTTTTGGTGATCACATCCCCCTGACAGAAAGCTGGCTACACCCATGACTCTCTGTATACTATAGTATGTTCCTGGGCTGTAGCTACACATACACATCCATGACTTCTCTAATCTGCACCCTGCACAACGGACATATCCTTCTGTTTACCAGGCGGGAAGATACAATTGCATGGGCACATGTGACACACAGACACATATGTTTACAAGGCATAATAAGTACATTTTTAACATTATCTTGACAGACAACACAAAGTCGTTTATCACGCTCATTCTCAAGCTGTCTTTCGACATCATTTGGGTCTTTACCGCCTGTTGGAAGAGGGGTTGCAGTTAGACGATGGCGCTGGGGATGAGGAAGCTGGACATTGATTGGAAGAACATCATCCTCATCACTAGACTCACTAGAAGATGCAATAGTTATGAGATCAGAGGCACTATCGCTGGTTGTACTATCATTGTCATCCACATCATCATCAGAACTTTCAACATCATTATGTTCATTAGGGTTCCACTGAACTTGTTCAGTGTGTTGCGTGTTTATGTTTGGAAATGTATAGCCATGTTCATGTAGATATCCAATTAGAACCTTTACACTAATGCACATTACTGGTATAAGTAACAGAGCACCATAGGCTTCTATTGGCACATTTGTTGTTATTTCTCTATATGCTGTGTTAGCACCTTGTGACAAGTGGTTGACCGTTCGAGAATATTGTTCATTCACAGTTGTAAAAGTCCAGTGATGCATATAGTTTAGTCCATGTATGATATCTGACATTGTATCCGTAAATGCAGTTGTAGTCAAATTACTAATAGATGAGACCCCTTGATTGATATGTAATACTGATTTTGGTATCATCTTGAGCAACGTTAACAGTAAATCAGCTAAAAATTCAGCAATGGTAAGTATGGATAACCATGAGATTTGTAGAGTTCCTAATAAAAGCTGCCAAAGTACATTCAATACAACTCCAATGCCTGCTGATGTTAGTACAATTATATTCCAACACATGCCAACAAACTTGCCAAAGAGTCTGATAGACGCACCAGAAAAATTCATAAGTTCAAAGATAAACTCCATGATATAGTAGCTCACATCGATACAGGCATTGCATAGAGACACTATAAGGATTCTAGTAGAATTGATAGCTTCTGCTGATGATCTTACTATTTTTGAAACTATGTTGTAATTCAGTTGGAAACTTGCAGACAAAAAATTCATTGTCAATTTTCCAGAATGAATAATTCCACGAACGAAAAGTGTAAGACCTTCGACGATTGCTGCCATGTTGTTGGTTTTCTCGTTCCTTCATATAATCAGGTCTTTATTTATCACGTTGTCATGTCCATAAAATATAGCATTGTACTCGTTAAGTAAATATATCAGTACAGTGATACTTCTTCCAAACAATTTTTGTTTTGTCGCTTTCAAAACGAGGCTCGATATGTGCAGTCTTGTGCAGCACTGAACGAAAATAGTGAAATGAAAAGTTGGAATTTACCGGGATAGAAGGGACTGTTGCTCTCGTACTGGGGCGGATCTGAAAAAACAACAAGGGGGACTCTAAAACCAAAAAGTGGGCCCAAATTCTAAATATTTAAGGCCCATTTTCTGGTCCCCTAAATCTCAAAAGTGGGCCCATATTTAAAAAAATTTAAGGCCCATTTTCTCGATAACAATTTGGTCTGAATTTAGAAATAAGGCCGTAATTAAGGCCCAGTAATGCCCAAAAGGCTCACTAATTGAGCTCCTAAAAAACTTCGGGCCCAAAAACTTTTTGGGCCCAATTTTTTTCTGGGCCCGCACAAAGGGGAAACGGGACCCCCAACCAGATCCGCCTGTTAGTAATACGCGTACGGTACTAAGTCAAATTACATCTATGGCTTTCACCAGAATGTGACCTACATATACTTGCCAGTAGACCAGTAGAAGGCAAACCTTATACCGAGGGGTGCTTTTACCAAGGGGGATCTTTTTTGACAGTTTTGGCTAAAAAATCATGCGAAAAGTGCTCAGAATGGTGAAAAACTATAAATTTGAAAGAATTTCTGGCTTAGAACGCTCGACCGGATTGAATATTACAATGTTGAGACAATGGTAAGGGAGGGGGGGGCTTGGCAAGAAATTTTCCATCTCACCTCATTTGGTGCATTCATTGTGTTCCATTTTTCCAAGAAATTATTAACCTGGGGCACTTTTAACTTGTAACATGAGTAAGCAATACAGGGAAAAATAACTTTTGGGTGAGGTGTAGGGCGTTTCAATCCAAGAAAAAACATTCTTAATTCTTTTTCATTTAACAGGGGTCAAATTGTTACATTTTATGGAAAATGTCTTGTTCATTTTACGACTAGCCTAAATGCATCATGCATCGTGTATATAGTGATATATCAACTAAATGGTTGGATTTCGAAGTGAACTTCTGATAAATCACCTCCGAGTCCTCAGTACAAATGTCAAAGCACTGTATTATGTGCATAATAGGTCAAGTTGATACAAATGAGACAATTAACCTTGGTATACATCATGGCATCTGGAACAAGCTTAATGTTTTGGATTATATTACTGGGAACCATTTATACTGCCCTTGCCCAGGAAGATATAGTTGCCGAACGTAAGTAACACAAATACAAAATCGTATAATAGAACGCAAACAATTTCAGACGATTTTAATTTGAATTATGAATGTTTGTCATGAACACAGGTGTCCATTCATAATCTCCAAGAAAAGTATATGTAATGATCATTAAGTTATTCAGACCAAATGATATTAAAGGGACAATAGACAAATCAACCTTTTCAAAAATGTTGACCTAATTTTCACTAAAAGAGCAATCTTTTATTATAATGTTGAATGCATAGTAAGAATGTGCTTTGTTCGATTTTATTTCCTAAAAGGAAAAGTGAAAAGTCTAAAATTGTTTGCGATAACCTACCCGAACCTTATAATTAGTTTCGTCTGCCCCGAATGGACCTAGGATGAAGAAATTTCTTTTGAGTTGTGCGTTTTAGATATAGCCTGATTTCGAAATTATGCAATCTTCTACAAAAGAGATCTGTATTTCTTTGCAGGTTTGGAAGTTGATCCGGGTGAGTGCATTTCCTTAACTAATATGAGGTAACATTGATGTCATCGATGATGATAATGATGATGCATGATGATGATGATGAACTGATGATACGAGTTTCATAATTTCATAATCCGAAGTAAAATTAGAATGAAACAATAAACTATTACGTAAAAGTTATCATTTTCGGAGACATTGCTTATTTTTAAAGCAAGGCTTAATTCGAAATAGTTTTCTATGGAACTATAATAAGGATTTATAATTCTTAGAGGACTGTCTCGCCCTAGATGGGATTCTGCCGGATGAGACACGACCTGGCGGAGACTGTTGTCATTTCATACAATGCGATGCCTCAGATTCGAACAAAACTGGGTTCAGGTAAAATATCTATATCTTTGTTATTCTAAAAGTTTTAAATATTTCAGATTTACATATCTCAAAATGTACGAATTATCAACAAAACACAGACAAAACGCTGTTCGTATCAGTTACACAATATAAAATATATATCCTGAAAATATTTTTCTAAAAATTGAATTGTTGTTATTCTCATTCAGTTTTACCTATTCTCTGTATTGAAGAGTCTGTTATATTTCAATAAAACAAAAATTCTTACTTAAACGATAATATCAAATTGATAGTTAGCAACCGTTGTTAATTATAACCCCTATTAATAACCGTTTCACCATACTAGTCCAGCTCTTGGCACAACACCGGTCCATTATCACAAGCTCCATATATCAAAGGTGTGCTTTTGCCACAAAATAAAGAGATATGGAATAACTGATTGAGTGATGACAATATATTTTTAAGATTTGCCTGCATGTATCCGTTAGTGTGGCATCTAGCAATCGGCGCATGCGATGAAGACACCAACGTGGAAGGTCCCTGCATACACACAACATGTTCATGTAAGTGTGAAACAATATACCAGGAATAGGTAATCATATCCAAGCAATCAATAAACATGACCTCATGTAGAAATGGGGAATATGTCTAATGATTAACGGAATATAAGTTTAACCAAGGGAAAGATCAATACCCGGTGATTTCAGCGGGAAGTGGCGTTTCGTTCAGTGGATGAGCTGCGCGCGCACGCATAAATGTGATTATCCAATATAATTAGGGGAGGGCTATTTGAAATAGTTTTTGGTCTCAGGCGCGACCCAGGGCTGTTGTCTTAAGGACATTTCGTTGAAAATGAGCCATTCGGCTGATAATTGGTAAGAGTTTGCGATCTTATAATGTATAACTGTAACTCAGACACATATTTTGACACGATTCTGTTGGAAATAAGCTTTGAACCGAGAGATATTCACGATTGATATGCACATTTTTGATTGTGCCATTGCTTTTCCATTGCACAATCCATGTATTGATAGAAGAAACATTAATAATGCAGATTGGTTTACCTTCAATACATGGCAGACACTACATATCGGTCTATTAATACCAGTTTGTGCCTTAAATAGTTTTATATTTCCATCCACGGCCTGGAGCCTGGGTGTGCTTGTCTCTTATGTGTATGCTTGTGCATGGACTTCTAATCACTAGCAGAATTTAACATGATGCAAACTCGACATTATAACTCATGCTGTAACATTTTGACTTCGCTGGAAAACAATAGGAATTATTTTTCTTGCCAATCAATCATGAATCACAATCAAAATTTCAGAATGATCAATCAGGCAATGGTCCAAATCAAGTTATAACATTATATGATATTCAGCAAGAAGTCCGGTAGAAATACAGAATATTTAAACATCAAAGCTGAAAGTTAAAAGCTAATCTGTCAATTTTCTGTCTGCAAAAGAGGGTTCACATTTGACACAATAACAGACTGAGGCTTTGAAATCTAGGATTCCCCAGGGAAATATGACGTCATACTAATTAGCATAAGGATTTCCCTATTGGTATGGGTCGAGCCTTGTTCGAAAACACAATCCATAAATACATGCTAATTTCTAAGGAGATAGGAAGTGTATAACGTGTTTATCGATTTTGTTTAAAGATTTAATCAATTATCAAATTGTTTAAGTGGATAAAGTGGTCACACTTGCTTCAATTCATAGCGAAATCGACGGATAGAAACTGACCGAATTCCCGATATCCTACCCCGTATTACTGTAGGCTATAAGCACAGTGACCTACAGAGGGCGCTATCACAAACAAGTACTGCACGAACCGATAAATTCCCGGGTATTGTAACGCCCTTGGTTTAACAGTGGACTTATCCAAAACGATTGGACTCAATTTTTCTATTTTTCTTGTAGAAAGCATAATGTCTTTAGAAATAGACATTCTAATAAACAAAACAAAAATTATTTTCGACTCTTCAAAGAAATATATATTTTTAGTTGCTCCTCCTCCGAAAGATGTATGTGAAAGTGATGCAGAAATAAAGGCAACTTACGGTATGGTTTATTACACTTAAATAGCCCCAAGTCATATAGTGAAGAGAATTGCAGCACAATTTTCCCATTTCAATTGTACAATTTAAATGTGTTTACGTGCTATTTGTTATTCTACCATAGAATGTTTGCAAACCATGGACTATTATCTGAACAGTCTGATTCCGAGTGTGAATTGGCACTATCTCTAGAATAAATTCAAATGCATAACGCGCAAATGTAAAACGTACAGTTTTAATGATATTGTTGCACTTGTTGTTCTATATTTGAAGGTATTGATTCATGCTGCATCGAGGGTGAAGATGGCGTTTATGAGGCTCTACAAGACATCAGTCCAGCAGCATATAGATTCAGATATCTCAATGGAGAATACCCCGAGGATGAAGAGGATTACTTAAGTTGTCCAAAAGGACAGATCTTCAGTGCTAATGACTGTTGTTGTGAAAGTGATGCACGTAGGTGGACCATGAATCCATGTTGCTTTATATTTTACAGAAACGTTATTTCTTTCGCACTTTTTTACGAGTTACTTTTTGTGTTCATAAGAAATCCAAACGTCCACACTGACCATCAAACGCTTAACTTTATAATATAAACCTTTTAAAACCTGAAAAACTAATAAATGTGCAAAATACATATTCAGCTATTCTACCTGAATGCGAAAGCGACATCTATTTCTCACTTCCGGAAGACGACTGTTGTACGTATCATCAATGCTATATCAACAGGACGGGCTACTTTACTGGCGAATGTTTAGGAACGGTCTGGAACCAGAAGATACTCAACTGCGACGATCCACAGTTTGTTGAAGGATGTGAGGACGCAGACTGCCTCATAAATGGAGGTTAGAAATTTCCTTATATGGCCTGAATAGTTGTATTGCACCTAACGGTTATTTACGTATGGTGTTTATAACTTGCGATCTTCATCATTGATGCATTTTTATTTAAGATTTTATATTTAAAAAAATCAGTGCCTGGCAATTTTAATTCTTTTCTAAACTTGGTTTGCATGAATTGGTATTTAGGTAACCATGATTTTAAAGATTTTAGATTATAACTAACAAATGCATTGGTGACAAGACAAAATATTGTTTGAATTGCTTAACACAATTCTGCAATATATTTTCCAGGGCCAACCGCTCCACCATGCCCTGTAGATTTAGATATAGATCAACAATGCTGCTTGGCTGGTATTGTATATACGAAGGACTTCAGTGGTGTACTTAATGGTGCGTCCTTCTTTATTGGAGAAGTTGATTTGGACAATATCGAGACAGTTAAGGCAACACAGAATGTAGGAGTATGTGATGAAGGACAGGACTTTCAACTTGAGTGCTGTTGCTGCCTCGGCTCCAAAGGTACTTAGTACATGTATTACGAATTATCTAGAGTTTTCAATAACTATACTTTTACTTTCACAATAAGTTTTTACCTCCCTTTACAGAGTGATCCAGGAGTAACGCCAAAGTTGTTGCCATATGGTCATATATGGTGCCAACATATATGACCATATACCATTTTTCTAATGTACATGTACGTCAATGTGAAAGTCAATTTAAAGTACTGTGCCGAGGTGCTATGCAGGGAATAAATAGTACATACCTAGGATGAAGAACTTCATATCCTAGTGTATACCAACAGGAAAGTGGTTTGGGGTTACATTAAGCCAAAGTTGGCTAGACGATGGGGACTCATATATGTACATCTATCCACAACTATTTTTATTATATTTATATCATTCCAGACGAATTTGTTGCCGAATGCGATTGCATTGAGTTTACATTTGAAAACGACTTGTCCCATAAAGATGCGCTCCAAGGCACTGCAATTCAACTTGGGGACGCTGTAGTTGTTCCTTATACTGGCATATGTGGAGAAGCCGCCTTGGAGTTTGCTGGTACAGAATCTGCAGTAGTGAACTTCTTTGCTAGAAAATCACTTGGAAATGATTTCACTTTTAGTTTTGGGTAATAACTTACAGGATTATAGTTCGCAATCAGCGCTAAAACGTATTTAGATTTTTTGAGTTTTTACGAATAATCTTTGTTGCATCTAGAATACACATGTTCATATAATAGTATATATAAATATGCTTTTACTATTATAATGCTCCCCACATCTGTCTGGATTGCAAAAAGCATAAAAAGCATTTCCATCCCAAATGTGTCACAAATAATAGCTAGTACACATTTTATACCATGGCTTCTTCCGAGTGAACCAAGAAAAATATGCCATGATTTACCAAAATAGTATTTCAAAGAATACTGGTTCTCATAGAAAAGGACCACTTGAAGTTTTTACTGAATTTAAATGTAAATGCCTCACATGTACATGTAATATTATGTTCTTATTTGACTTATAACTTAGGGCCTCTGGTTCTGGTGTTGTAATAACAAATGGAGACAGTAACACTTCCCCGACATTTTCCGTTGACCTTAGTGGTGGTACAGAAGTTGCCATAACTTTGGAAAGTGGAGCTCAAGTTACTCTCAATGGAGGGGTAAACAACCATAAATGCTTCGATAAATTAAACTTGGAAATTTTGATTTACAGAATATCAATTCAGCTTACAAATCATATGGAAAAATATTGATGAAATATAGGCTGAGGTTTGAAAACATTTTTGTAACTTGCATGAATGCAAATCTATTCATTTATAAGGTAAATAAGCCATACATATATAATATATACATCACAGAAATTAAAACCGTCAGATTTACATGTAGATCATAAGGTTCTCGTGTACTTTCTAGTCTGGAACATTTGTTACTATTGTGAAAGCTGACGACAGTCTCAAACTGTACATAGATGGTAATCTTGCAGATGAGCAGGAAGCTAAGGGTTAGTATGCATACAATTCGTCTTTACATTTGTATACACAGACATAAATTAATAAAAATCTAATTGAACAAAATACAATTGAAATCGCTATTAATCTCATCTATATGGTTGATGTAAACCTGGCGCTCTAGATCTGAAAATTAGAAAATATGAATTCCAGCGACAAATATGGAAGTACAATGCAAAAGGGCAACATGTAGTCAAAAATAATTTTCGGCCTAAAACGGCCTCAAGGCCCCAAAAAGTGGGCATATTTGGTCATTAATGGGCCTTTTAAGGCCTTATTTTTTAATTTCAGGAAAATGGGCCTCAAAATTTCAAAATTTGGGCCAACTTTTGGGTTTTAGGGGCCCAAAAAGTTTTTGCTCTGACCTAAAATTTGCCCCCCCCTTATTGGTTCCCAGATCCGCCCCTCACTCCTTTCCATAAGATTGGCAGCCGGAAGTTTTCATTGGATAACATATCTTAATATTTGAATCTTCATTTTCTTCCTTAAAAACAAGCTCGATATTGACGACATATTTGATAATTTCTTAATGTTTAATCAGTCCATAGATTTTGCCTATAAAAGAAGCCGCAGAAACTCAACAGAGCAGTTACAATTAGAAGTTATATTTGATATTATAGGAAAGGTTTTGGCCACAGACTGTCCTCTTAAGATAGGGGAAGGATACACCGGTCAATTTGATGAAGTACGTATTAAACAAACAACTAATCTCAATTTTGTTAAAAAATTCAGAATTGCAAAAGGTTATATTATATTACAACTGATGTTATTTTCATATAACTTACTATAATTTTTCTCTTTAGCTTGTTTATTGTACATTTGCTTACAATGATGCCCAAGTGAGCGGTCTTACTTCTTGCCAGGTCGACCAGGATATTCAAAAATAAACCACAAGTAGAAAAGCTATATATGGATCTCCAACAGAAAGTATAAACTATGAATAAGCACCAACGCTTAGTTTTTATATGAATATTTTGTACTAATAATTTCGAGAATAAAGTGATGAAACTGTATCTGTGTGCTGTCTTTACGACATTTTCATTTGTGTTTGTGTTTTTTACGACATTTTCATTTGTGATACAATCTTTTTTATGACATTTTCATTTTGTACATCAATATCAACGGCATCATGGTGAAATGAACATTTTTGCTTATCCGTCATTCATATATAATATGTTTTGAATAGGTACTTCTTTTGGCACTGATTTTTAAAAATAGGTCAACTTAAAATGTAGGTCAAACTATGAAAATAGATCATCGACTTAAAAATATATCATGGATGTAAGACCAATATAATACAGAAAACCCGATATGATCAATAGAATTGGCTCATGAAGAAAACATCGAGTCACATAACATAGGTTTTGCGTCCAACTTTTTGCAGTATTTATAGAGCACCTAAAACCGCAAAACCCGGGAATCTTAAACTCCCACTAGTACATCTCAACATCTGTTGCAAATATACAATAAAAGCTGATTTGAAACTATGTTTGACGATATAATTTTTTCCGAAATCAAGCAAAGGCTAAAGCTTAGAAGATGTCATGGAGGATGACCCTCCATGAAATTGATATGATCATTGGTTCAGGCGAATGCCAGTTTTTTGTCCAAAAATTCTTTACTGACGGAAAGACTATGTGAGCAAAAAGATATGTAACCGTGTACTTTTATTGAAGAGCAAAGCAAATATACCGAAGCCACTTTTATACTGTTAAACTTTTTATCAAGTTAAACATTACTCTTTATGTTGTACAATTTAGTAGCATATACCTTTTTATACGACACACCTCGCAACAACCTGGGAAGTCGCACAATCATATTAACATCAGAAATGACTTCCACAAAGCAATATGAACAAGGCATCGAAGAAGCTCTTACCCGGAATGATAAGGCACAGTTAGAATCACATCTAACAAGACAACATTCGCTGTCAAGTGACATACTCCTATGGGCATTTGAGAATAACATTCAGCTTGATACAGAAATAGTACAACTCTTAATAGAAAATGGCGCAAATATCAATGCATGTGATCAATATGGATGGACAGTATTAATGGGAGCAGCCTCGATGAACCAGAGTGCCATGTGCCTGACTCTCATAGAACTTGGTGCTGACGTTAACGCCCGCGTCAGTTACGGACAGACAGCGTTGGTTATAGCTGCACAGCGAAATCATCTTGATTGTTGCTGTGTGTTAATAGAGCATGGCGCTGATGTGAACGCTACCGACCAAAGCGGCAAGTCTGCATTGATGTTTGCTGTTGAAAAAGGATAGCCTACGATCTCTGTGTCAACTTGTTAACTGAACATGGTGCGGACGTTAATGCGAGGATGAAAGACGGGGACGCCGTATTACCTACTATCCTAATGACAGCGTTAAAGAAAAATCGGAAAGAAATCTGCAGGATTCTCATAGAACGTGGCGCAGACATTAATGCCTCCGATTCACTCGGGAGAAGTGCTTTGGTAGTAGCTGCAAAACACAGCGCGGCCAATTTCTATTTCTTGATAAGTAAAGGCGCAGATGTCAACGTTAGAGTAAATGATGAATCGGAAACGATATTGATGCTAGCTGTGAAAATGAAACGTCTAGGATTTTGTCGTCGTCTTTTGGAAGGTGGTGCAGATTTGAATGCAATTTCCAAAACAGGAAAGACTGCTTTGATTATAGCTATAGAGATGAGATTTAAATCATGTGTCAGACTGCTAATGGATGCAGGTGCAGATGTAAACATTAAGGAATGTGGAAAGACAGCTATTGTATACGCCATTGAGGAATTCTACCCGCCATCTTATGTTCAAGCAATAGCAAAGCGTGGTGCAGATTTAAACGTGACGATGAATGATGGAGAAACTTTACTGATGCTGGCAGCAAGGAACCCATTTTTAATCGTTTTGGAATTGATATTTTAATTCCGATTAATTAAGTTGGGAAACATCATGGGAATTCCTCTCTCTGATCACATGTCTAATGACGTAGAGTCACCTCGTGTGTTTGCCATTCAGTTAGCCTTTGTTGTCGAGGCAGCATGTTATAATATTTATACAGATTTTGAACTATGTCAGTTTGTCAAAAAATTTCCGAACCCTCCCACCCTGTTCTTATATTACTTATCCTTGCCTATTTTTGCTAGTTATAATTTTTGTTCGTTTTTCGAATGGTTTACGGGGGTAAATGCAACTACAAGTTGTTACGATATTTATTGACCCTTGGTTTTACGCACACTTATAACTTTATTAGCCTTCCGTTGCTAATGGCCTAGTCACATAGCCCGGCCGATGTCCGGCATCGGTAGAGCTCGGTGGATTTTTTTGGTACCACCGAGCTCTCCTCATCGGAAGCAGAGCTCGGTGACGTGAACGGACTCCGTTCGGACATCTTCAGGCGACCGACCGAACACCGGCCGGTGACCGTACGGAGTCTGTCTCAAAATGGTAGTTTTTTCTGCCGATGTGGCAGCAACTACCGGCCGGAGGTCGGCCGGACATCGGAAGGAATACGGCCGGTACCCGAGCAGGTAACAGGACACCGTGCGATCGCCGGCCGGGTTGTTAACGGGCTTTGAACAGTGACCGGCCGATGCTCTGTCCCACATCGGCCGGAGCTCGGTCGGAGCTCGGCCGCTGTCCGTTAAAAAACCTCGTCCTCTGGTTGTCTCAGATGCACGGGACACCGGCCGATACTCGGCCGTGCACCGGCCGACGTGTTTTCCGATGTGGTTACGATGGGGCTGCGATGACATGATGAGGGAGCTCGGTGAGAGCCCGGTGAAATTTAACTCTGAAGTTAAAATTTCACCGAGCTACCACCGATGCGGTTTTAAGCAACAAACGCCACGGATGTCCGGCCGGTGTCCGGCCGGTGTTCGGCCGAGTTCGGTGAAAATTGCATCGCTGGCTCATCGTAACCTCATCGGCCGGGCTATGTGACTAGGCCATTAGTGGTACTTCAAGTCATGACAGCTTGTTTGTTTTCTTCATTTGTCACGATGATTACTCTAAATCATCATAGTTTACGTACAGTATGATTAAGATTCGAATTGAATTTATTTTCTGTTTCGATTGTTACTGTATGCTGTATGTATTCTTGTCAGCTAATAAGCATGGAGCCATTAACGCTCTTAAGCATTCATGTTGTCGCGCATGTTGTAAAACATTTTATTTGTAATTTTGTAATTGTAATTTATGTGTTCATATTTTCTAATAGCGTGTAAACCAATGCGCCTGTAGCACATTTTTATGAATGTCTTTTAGCCTTGCCGAATGCCAATGTAAGAAGCATTTTACTACACGGTATTCTACTGGTTGAGTCACTGTTCTTGATTGTCTTTATTGTTACAGTTTAGTCATACAAATTAATCCGCATCGGTATTTGTATTGTAACTCTATGTAATTCATATGCTTGCAGTTACACACTGTTCATTTATAGTTTTTGATTGCATTTATATCTGTTATTATGTATGTATAAGGTGTCACGTATCGTGACGTTTTTTGTAAATGTATTTGTACCTGTTTCACAGTTTTTACTTGATTCACAGTTTTTTACGTACACTTGCACTTTTACAACACAGTTCATGTCTGCCTTAGCGCTTTTGAACATTGTATGTACCGTTTTTATTGTACTCTCATTTATTTGAGCTATGCTCATTCTGTTCTTGACTGCCTCTGGAGCACTGTTCATAGTGGAAGAAGTGCGCGGTTGTTTTTTAAATACGTAACTACATATACACTTATTATATAATCTTTAGGTAGTTAGTCAATTAGTCATGGTATAATCATTTATTTCAATTAGTATTTAGAAATATATTATGTAACATTATGTAATATCGCCAAACAAAACTCATTATTGTTTGTTATTTGTTTATCAACGTAATTGATGACTTTGAAAGCTGTTGGTCTCTTATAGAACACGGTGCCGATATAACAAAGAAGGATATGAATGGGACCACAATTCTGCATGTGCTGGCCACAACAGATGCGTCTCCAGAGAAGTTTTGTAATCTTCTCGATTTAAAGGAAAATGTTGACGTTAGAGACAGAAATGGCATGACAGCTTTAATGCACGCTGCTTTAAATAACAATGTCGCCTGGATGAGAGCTCTTCTACACACAATGCATGTGTAAATGCCAAGGACTCGTGTGGAGTCATTGCATTAATGACGATTTTTTTGCCAGGGAACAATGAATCTGTGTTAAAGAATAAAGAAAATGTAATGGACTGTATGCAGTTGTTGATACAACATGGCGCAAGTGTTAAAGCAAGGGACAATGATGCAGATACTGTTCTGATGTATGCGGTAAAGGGCGGCTTTGTGGACTGCTGTCGTGTTCTCATACACTATGGTGCTGATGTAAATGCAATAAACAACATGGGACAAACAGGTTTGTCTATGGCATGTTCGTTGGATTCGTTTGATTCGTTCGATCTATACTGTACCTTTTATATAATGGGGGCTAGAGATGATCAGTTTGCACTTCTCAAGTCGATTAAATATTCAAAAGAGGCATCTCGCAAAGAACTAAAGGATTTTACAGAGGAACTAAAAACAATGCTAACCAACTCCAAAATCAGTTTAAAGTATAAAGCGAGACATGTTATTCAACAAGCTGCCATCAGGGGAATCAACAGGGGTTAACATACTACGACGTTGTCCATAAATTGATTGAAGATGATAACTTAAATTCGGAGATGCAGAAATATATGTTCTATGAGAATGATATCAATGACATGAAAAATATTATGTCAGATCTCACAATCACAATTTCTTGCAGAATCATGAATAGAAGCATGCGGTTTTATTGAAGGTAATTCTCGAAGAGTTACTCAATAAGTTGTATACAAGTGGAATTGGCGCATATTGAGAATCATCACATTATTTCTCTAATTGAACGCGAAGAGGACAAAAGATAATTAATTTTAGGAGACACAAATAGTGTCAGTGGTGGGATCAAAGTATTAGTTGTATCATTTACATTCGTGTGTGTGTGGTTACTGCTTGGGAAAGCAGGGTTCATCACGAAGGCATGATCCTTTTAAAGTCATTCCTCTGATATTGTGATACAAAAAATGTGCTAAAAAAATCTTATGACTGCTTATGAAACGGATTGTTACAATTTTAATTTTTCATCAAGATATTCCATATCGTACCTATTTTCTAAAAGCTCCAAAAGGTTTGTTTTTTTTCACGATAATCCTTGACTTCATCAGTCTTTTTGCAATACTGAAGATTGTCGTAGATGTGGCCTTTTTCCATTTAACTAATAAGGACATCGCTGCATTAAAAATCTCCATTAACCTCCATTTTGATTAGTTATTTCCATATCTTGAAATTATAATGAAGATGGTAAGGAAAACATAGGCACTTGAAATTTGCAATTAGTACTTTAGTTTTTACCAGTATTTTACACTCTCTCTTCTTTGCCTCTCACGGGATCGTGTATTTGTTAGCTATTCTACGAACCATGTATCATGTAAGACATTTTAGTGTCTAGTAATGTGTGAATTTAACTTGGGATGTCCAACTGCGTTATCAAAAAGAAAAGCAGTAGTATACCTCAACTGTAAGTATCTCACATTATACTGTTCTAATGGTACGTATAATTAATCAAATTAAGTCAATTCCGATTTATTCCCTCGGGATTAAACTTTTACTTCGAAGAAGGTCATGCAAAATCAAACAGAGAAGTGCAAAATGATTGACCGTTAGTATAGTACCTGCAAATATATAAAATGGCTCTCCAATTTATATTGACCTCATGGCTGGTCATATTCGCACATGGGCAAGTGGATATTCATTTTGAAAGTAAGTGATTTCAAACGAAATCAAACACATAGATAGACAATAGGAAATGTAAATACAGTACAGAGATACTAGAGGATATGCAAGCATTTAAACGGATCTTAGTGACTGAGAAAATGGATATGTTAGAAAAGCTTGATCTGGATTTGTTTGAACGATACAATGGATATTATAAGACAAATAGAGGTTCTTTCATCATATCTCATCATATTCTAGGACAGGCAGATATATTTAACATCATTTGGTTTACTTTACTTTATTTTCAGGATTAGAAGTAGATCCCGGTAAGTTATATTTCGATAATTTCAAAATTAGATAGATTTAACAAAAAATATGTGACTAGAAAGGATGTTTTGATAATAAAATTTTGATGCTACATTATACAACGGTATATTAATATATACATAAACGTACACATGTACATTAAGCATTCCTGTTTTAGTGGAATGTCTTGAATTCAATGGTATACTGCCCGATGAAACACGCCCTGGTGGAGACTGTTGCCACTTTATACAATGCGATGCTTCTGATGCCAATAAAACTGGGTTTAGGTAATTATCATTCAATTCAAATATGACGCATAGTTTGCTTTTATTTCTTAAAATCATTTGAATCCTTTTCCCATTTCTTTACCTCTTGGACGATTGTAACATCCTTAGGAATAAGGCAATTGGAATTGTACTTCATTTATCATTGAAGACGACTGGTACATTAGTTGTGGTATTGCTCATGAAACAGTTCATCTTTAACACTTTATCACTATCTATATGATTGAAAAAGTTTTTTACTTATGGCACGTGTAATAATATACAACCTCTTTTATTATACAGATTTGCATGCATGTATCCATTGGTCTGGAATAGAGCTATAACAGCCTGTGACGAGGAAAGTAACATATTGGGACCATGTATCCATACAACATGTTCCAGTAAGACCTAAACCAAAGGTTACTTTATTTGACAACCTCTGATGTATGATAAGTAGAGTATAATGTATCCAAAACCTGATTCAATAACGCCCAAACATATGTTGTATGTCGTTACCATGTATACACATGTAAGTCCTACGATTGTTACAGTTTCTCCTGCACGTAGAAACGTCTGTGGAAGTGATGCCGAAATAAAGGCTATATTTGGTGAGTTCCAATAAGTGTGCCTTTACTCTATCATGTTTAATAAGATCATTATGCAGTTGTTCAAATGAGTGATGTGATTTAAATGCATTGCATTTTGAGTTAATCAAAAGCCTTAACTTGATTTGAAGGTATTGATTCATGCTGCATCGAGGGTGAAGATGGCGTTTATGAGGCTCTACAAGACATCAGTCCAGCAGCATATAGATTCAGATATCTCAATGGAGAATACCCCGAGGATGAAGATGATTACCTAAGTTGTCCAAAGGGACAGATCTTCAGTGCTGATGACTGTTGTTGTGAAAGTGATGCGCGTAGGTGCTTGATATATAATATACATTATAATATTGTTATTTCATTTACATTATATTCTTATTCAGGGGAACAACAGCCAAGACTCGAACATTGTTTCAAAGATCAACACCAGAGGATATTTCATTCATACTGAAGTAATTAGATTGCACGTCGAAGAATAATATGGATATAGTATTCATATAATATAGAACATTCAGCCTAAAATGATGTGGGACAGACGAATTCCATATAACAAAATACATGTTGTAGTATACGTATTTGCATTGTAATATGCATATCAGTGTTTTTTCATTTAGCCTCCATAGCAGAGTGTGAACAAGAGTTGTTCTTTAAGCTACCAGGAGATGATTGTTGCACATATCATCAGTGTTATCCTAATAGAACAAGTTATTTTGACGGAATATGCGTAGGGTCTGTGTGGAACCAGAAAATCCTGAATTGTGACAATCCAACATTTGTGGAGGGTTGTGAGAATGCTGAATGCTTAACCAGTAAGCGTATTTGAAATAGGAGAAACCGTAAAAAAGATATTTCGAGACTAATTAGGACGTAATATCTTCTTACAAGTATATTTATTTATTTATTTATTTGTTACAGTGTCACCCGTAATTATTCGGCCAGCCTTCAAAGGCTTATGAGACACAATTACAATCATATTATAAGCAGATAAGTATACTGTTGAAAAGTATTTCATACTTTCAGAAATGACAGAGGCAGTGTGTCCTTTGGAGCTAGATACAGATCAATGCTGCTCTTCTGGTGTAGTATACACCAAGGACAGAAGTGGTATATTAGGAGGTTCCACGTTCTTTATAGGGGAAATAGATTTTGATGACCTCACGAAACTGTTATTTGAACAGAATATAGGGGCGTGTGACGAGGGACAGGTTTTTGATCTTGAGTGCTGCTGTTGTTTTGGAATACCTGGTACTATATCATACTATATTATTAGTATGGGAGCAAAGGTCCAAATAAGAGGTTCCGTGTCCTTTTTAGAGGCGAGCTAAGCGACATACATTTTTATGAACTATACATGATACTTACCAAGAAAAATGATGTTGGCAATTCTGGATCCGCGACGGCGTTGCTATGGTAACCAAGTAAATAAGCCACGCCCACTTTTAGGGGCTATTTTCAGTGTTTGGCCCCTATCTCCTTCATTATTGCTAAGATTTCGATGAAATTCACACCAAATGGAAGGTAATAGATAATGCAATAAAAATATATTAAGTTGGCAATTCTGAATCCGCGGCAGCGTTACTATGGTAACAAAGTAAATTTGCCATACCCACTTTTACGGGCTCTTTTCAGTGTTTGGCCCATATCTTCGTCATTATTGCTCAGCTTTAGATGAAATTTGCACCAAATGAAAGGTAATTGATAAAGCAATCATATATTTTATAAAATATGCAATTAGGGTGATTTGTTTCTTAATTATGACGTCATAACTGTTTATTCTTGCATATTTTATTTAATCATGATGTATAACTCTGTGAAACTATTGTCTTTAAAATGGCCAGTAATGCTTTCAACTAGTTTATTTCTTTTAGTTGAGTTAATTAGTTTATTTCATTCATACATTCATGGTCATAAAAAATTGAATAAATATAATGAAAGATGTCTAATTCAAATAAAAAATGTTCAATTCACACTGTTGCTATGGTAACATCATGTAGCAAAACTGTCCGCTGTAAACAAGAATTCTTTAGGAAATGTTACATTTTGAGCAGTTGACTGACATGGATTCTCTTTCAATTTGATGACAAAGTAATCTAATAATAACTATAGAAATTATTTAATTTGGATTGTGTATATTATTATGTCAAAAGGGGAATTATTAATCAGGGGTGCAGCCAGCTTTCAGTCGGGGGGGGGGGGGGGGGGGGGATGGGGCGATTGTGGCATAAGCAACCCAAAAATTAGTTTTTGTTCTAGAGGCATCCCAAATACGGATACGGGACATAGACACAAGTGCCCATGATAATATCTTGGGTTAAAAGGTTATGATTTCGTGGTTGTAAAGCCTATTTATAATATCATAACTTTAACAAACATGTAATTTACACTGTCATTAACTTAAACTTAGACAGTTTGTTATGATTCAATACTAAATAGGCAATGGTGGCATTCAGAAGCACGACAGTGGCCCCATATGATCCAAAAAAGCATCCCAGTGCCCCAAAGTGGCCCCCAAAAGCATTCTACTGGCCCCTGTGGCCCCCCTAAGCATACTTGCGGCTCCTATGACTCCCAAAATCATCCTAGTGGCCCCCAGGTGCCCCAAAAAGCATCCCAATAGCCCCCAGGTGCCCCAAAAAGCATCCCAATAGCCCCCAGATGTCCCCCAAAAACATCATAGTGGTGGCCCCATGTGGTCCTCAAAAGCATCCTAGTTGTCCCCAGTGGCCCCCAAAGACATCCTATTGCTGCTATGAGCCCCTCAAAAGTATCCTAGTACCACTCTGTGAACCATAACATCAACCCAGTGACCCCCTGTGGCCCCAAAACGTTGCCCCGAAAAGCATCTCAGTGGCCCCAAGTGGCCTCTTAAAGCACTCAAATGGCCCCAAGATCATTCTAGAGGCCCCAAAAGCTTCCAAGTTGGCCCCAGTGACCCCCAAAAAGTATACTAGTGACACCCAGTGGCCCAAAAAAAGCATCCAAGTGGCCGCATTATGCCCCCGAAAGCATCATATTGACCCCTGTTGCCCCAAAAAGCATCTCAGTGGCCTCTAAAAGCCCCCTGTGGACCCCAAAATCATTCTAGTTGCCCCCAGTGGCCCCAAAAGCCTCCCATTGCCCCCACCAGTGGCCCCCAAAAAGCACACTAGTGACACCCAGTGGCCCAAAAAGGCATCCAAGTGGCCCCACTATGCCCCTTAAAAATATCCTAGTGGCCCCCGAAAGCATCCTGTTGGCCCCCTGTGCTCCCAAAAAGCATCTCAGTGGCCCCAGGTGACCTTTAAAAGCACTTCAATGGGCCCAAAAATCATTCCAGTGGCCCCCAGTGGCCCAAAAAGCTTCCCATTTCCCCCGCCAGTGGCCCCCAAAAAGCAAACTTGTGACACTCAGTGGCCTAAAAAGCATCCAAGTGGCCCCATTATGCCCCCTAAAAGCATCCTAGTGACCCCCGAAAGCATCCCATTGGCCCCCTGTGACCCAAAAAAGCATCTCAATGGCCTTAGGTGGCCTCTAAAAGCACCCCAATGGGCTCCTGTGGACCCCAAAATCATTTTAGGGGCCCCAAAAGCTTCCCATTTATCCCTAAGTGGCCCCAAAAAAGCATACTAGTGAGAACAAGTGGGCCAAAAAGCATTCAAGGGGCCCCATTATGCCCCCTAAAAGCATCTTAGTGGCCCCCAAAAGCATCCTATTGGCCCCCAGTGACCCCCAAAACCATCCTAGTGGGCCCCTGAGGCCGCCAAAAGCATGCAAATAGCTCCTCATGGCCATCAAAAGCACTCCAGTGGCCCCCTGTGACCCCAAGAAGCAACCCCGTGGCCCCCAAGCCCCAAACGTATCCCAGTGGAGAGCTTTCTTCTATCTAATGGTTCAATCTTTTTGGTTATGGGGGGGGGGGTTATGTTATTCCAATAAGATGTTGCTATGGTAACCAGGTGAATATGCCAGGTGAATCAGAAAATTCATGGATAATGTAGATTAACTGACTGGTATATTCTTTATGGTATCATAGCTGCTTTTGTGATTATTTTCTTGAAATAAGGTAGAATTGCTCAAAATGATTCCAAATTGTTACCTTGTCCTTTGAGATTCATCATAAAATGAGGTCAAAGCTGAAAACTATGATTGATTCTCATTCCATTTGTTTACAAGTATGAATATCTAATATAAGCGCAAATGCCAAAGGGAAAGGACCAAACACTGTAAAGAAACCCAGCAAGAACTTTAGCTTTCATTTGATGACAATTTCATATACACCAGAGCAATCATGATGACAAAGATAGAAGCAAAACTTTTGAAAAGTCATGGGGACTGGCATATTCACTTGGTTACCATAGCTAACATAGGCATAGTCAAGGGGTGAAATGAGTGCAACCCCTTGCAACCAATAAAAATAGAACCATTAAATAGAAGTTTTAAAATGCATTTGACTCGAAGCTTCTAGCTCAGTTTTGAAGGAAGTTGCATCAATTTTTGTAAAATCAAACAAAATCTTTTAAAAAATTTGTGACAAACCACCCCCGCCCCTGACCGAGAGCTATCTACGCCCCTGATTATTGCCCATATGACATCATAATATAACAGAATCAAACAAATTAAATAATTTTCTATAGCTATTAGGTTATTTTCTATCCCCAAATTTTAAAAAGAATACATGCCAGTCAAATGGTCAAAATGTAACATCTCCTAAAGAATTCTCTTGTTTACAGCAGATCGTTTTGCTACTTGCTGTTGCCATAGCAACAGCGTGAATTGGACACTTTCATTACATTCATTCGATTTTTTATGACCATACATGTATGAATGTAATAAACTAATTAACTCAACTAAAATAAATAAACTAAGTAACTAGTTAAAAGCATTACTAACCATTTTAGAAATAATAATTTCACAGATTTAAACATCATGATTCAAATAAAATGCACAAAAACAAACAGTTATGACGTCATAATTAAGGTGCAAATCACCCTATTTGCATATTTTATGAAGTGTGTGATTGTTTCATCTATTACCTTTCATTTGGTGCAAATTTCATCGAAATCTGAGCAATAATGACGAAGATATGGGCCAAACACTGAAAAGAGCCCCTAAAAGTGGGTGTGGCAAATTTACTTTGTTACCATAGTAACGCTGCCGCGGATTCAGAATTGCCAACTTAATATATTTTGATTGCATCATCTAATACCTTCCATTTGGTGTGAATTTCATCGAAATCTGAGCAATAATGAAGGAGATAGGGGCCAAACACTGAAAATAACCCCTAAAAGTGGGCGTGGCTTATTTACTTGGTTACCATAGCAACGCCGTCGCGGATCCAGAATTGCCAACATCATTTTTCTTGGTAAGTATCATGTATAGTTCATAAAAATGTATGTCGCTTAGCTCGCCTCTAAAAAGGACACGGAATTACCTTTGCTCCCATACTATATATTATATTATATTATTTTATATTATATTATATTATGTTATATTTAGAGGTTATGTCACTATGACGTGAAATATGCCTGAGTTCTCCCAATATAGGCCGACCTTGGGAGGCTCTATATTTGGCCAAGAACGAAGGCATATTTCACGTCATAGTGACATAACTGATGTATTACATGCCTTTGTTCCCATGGTTACTTTGTATCAATGACGTGACGTCATGATATTATCATGGTTATTAAAGAAATCTAATATCAAAACGAGGTAAGCGGGCTATATTGGGGTAATCGGGCAATATCGGTGGATATAGCTCGCTAACCTTCCCATTGACTTCCATACAAATGCTTCGCTAGGTATGTAATACTATATCATATTATATTATAATATATATTATATCATATCTCATGATATTCATGTAAATGGAACAACAACAGACATATAAGAGAAATAATGTCTCAATTAGTGCAATATTTTGGTGATTTCCATTGCTCACTTTAATACATGATCGTGTGATATCAATTTCTTAGTTGATACACACTAATCTACAGGATTAAGGGTAATACTTATGTTCTAGCCGTGTCTCAGATTTCAAAGGAAACCAGAGAGGACAGAGGCGAGGTCTTTAAAAATAAAATCAAAAGTAATCTTTCTTGCAGCTTTTGCTCCAGAATGTGACTGTATTCAATTCACCTTTGAGGAGAATTTCACTGAAAAGGACGTCTTGCAAGAGACACCTATCCACCTTGATGGTGCTAATGTTAGGGCTACCCAAGCTATATGTGGCGATCATGCTCTGGAGTTTAATGGTATTAATGCTGCAAGTGTTGACTTCTTCAGAAGAAAACCTCTAGGGGAACAATTCACTTTCAGTTTTGGGTAAAAGCAATTGTATTTCATGCTTAATACCATTTGTATGCACGATTGAAATAACAACAGTGTTTTGACAAGCTGAATTTGTTAACTAATTTTATAATTCTTATGTTTCAATAAAAGTTGGTTCCGTATAATCATGTCTCATTGTAGATGTGGTTTATTGTAGTGTCGATGGGTCTCAGGGAGAAATCATTACCAATGGAAATGGCGAGACTTCTCCCACGTTTTTAGTTACTCTCAACGGAGCCACAAATGTTGCTCTCACTTTAGAGAGTGGTGTTAAAATATCCCTTAGCGGAGGGGTACGTAGCACATTTGTTTCCGGTTAGGTGAATGAGCTATGATAAGTCTACCCACTTTGGATTTGCAATCATTATGTAATACGTATTATATGGAGTTAATTAAGCTATTAATAAAAGCGTTTTTCATTGGGAAAAGATACCCATATATATTATTGTGAAAATAATCTGATTAAGTTATATTATTTCGTTATTGATACATCCTTGACAATTATTGTTCTATATAGCTAGGTATGTTTGTGACGATTGTCAAAGATGGAGAGAGTACAAAACTGTATATAGATGGCATGATTGTTGACGAAGAACTAGCCAAAGGTACATGAATCATCACTAATAAATTGTACGATTTATTGCCTGTAATGAAATGGCGCTTATACTCGTAAATAACAAAATACTTGATTGAATTACATATGGGGAAAATGAAATTATACGGAATTATAATATAGTAAGCATATATTGTACCAAATCCGAAATTTGACCCAGCGTTAACACGATCCACAACATGTTTATTCCAGGACAACCAGCATTTACAGATTCGCCATTAAAGATAGGGACTGGATTTGTTGGCTCATTTGACCAGGTAACCGAATATTATGCCACTATAATTGTAAATATTCTAAATAATAGAACACTGACATAGCTCAATGACAGCAAAGTCATTATAAAAAAATGTCAAAGTCATTATAAACATTATATGCCATTTTTATTTCCAGCTTGTTTATTGCACGTTTGCGTATACAGACGATCAAGTGAACAATTTGGCTTCTTGTAATGTGAAAATAGATGTTCAGAACTGAGCTAAATGTGATTTCCTGTTCTTGCGCCTGTGACTCAATGCACACGAGATATAGTTCACATAATGTCGTTGAAAAAACAAAAAATAAAATGTTACTAATTAATGAGCTTTGATTTTCTTGTTGTTACTATATAAGTAAAGAATGGTCCAAGATGTGTAATATTTTAAAATGGTTTAGAAAGGTATCCGTAACATGCAAATTACATCGGCCCCGTCAAGCTGTGACGGACCCTGTACAACCTCGCTTGTAATTTTCGAGCCAAGTGAGAGCTTGTAATTACAAGGCCCGTAATTTTCGACCCCCGTACTTCACCGTACGGTACCCGTTACGAGCCCCGTAATAAATCGTAATTTTCGAATCCCCGTACTTCCGCGCACGGTGCCTGTTACGAGGCCCGTAATAGCTCGTAATTCTCGAGCCTTGTATTTGCCTGTGCGATGCCCGTAACAAGGCCCGTAATGGCTTGTAATTTTCGATTACTGTACTTCCCCGTTTTATTTTGATGAACACTTTTTTGATCGTACGGGCCTCGAAAACAACAATTACGAGCATTGTACGAGCTCGTACGGGCCTCTAAAACGAGCTCCGTACGAACCCGTGCGAGGATCGTGCTCCTTTTGCCCGTAATGACTCGTAATTCTCGAAGCTCGTACGAGCTTGTACGGGGCCCGATGTAATTTGCACGTGTGCCTCCTTCCTACCTTCCCAGTTCATGCATGTATTAAGGAAAATATAGCCTGTTGCATGGGTTCACTTTTTTGGACCACCCTGTATATGCACTTTTCTAAAAAATGGATCAATATGGTGTCTTGTCATTTTGTTATTAGCTTCATCAAGTTCCATGAAATAGCTACAGGACTACAGTTTTCATATTTAAATGTAATGTATTACGTATTATGTATTTGACTTCATTAAATTGAAAAAGTCTATCAACATTTTAATTTTTTGAGTAATGAAAAATTGATGAAATTAGTGCTATTTCATCACTTATCATATGAGTACTCATTTAGTACAAAAAATGCACTTAATTAATTCTCATAGTATGAGTGCCCATTGAGTAATGAAAAATTAATAAAATGTACTAAAAACATGCAATAAATCAGTACTCATGTCATAAGTGCTCATTTAGTACTTATATTTACTGAAATAGGTACTCAATTAGCGCTTAAATGAGTAATTTTAGTACTCAGCATAACTCCCTGTGGGGACTCTGATTTTAAGAGCTACGCTCAAGAGGGGCCTTAAAACGTAAGATGTGTTTTTTAAATGTTACATGTATGAATTTAAAAATACTTAATACACATTAACCTATATCGATCTAAGAAGCCTATGATTTATTAATATATAACTGTCGAATGGCCTTCACTTTTTCAACTATCATACCTAGTCACGTGACACCATCCATCATTCATTATTATATACTTTAATAATCGCCCGTAGGGTTAGGGGCATACGTAGCAGGGTGCCATCTCAACGAATCCAAGGGATCAGGATGGTGATTTTAGCGGTTTTTCTCGGACTTTTGGTGGCCGTTTCCGGCCAGTTTGATGATCCCATCCCAAGTAAGTCAATCAGGACGTCTATATAACTGAGTGCTGTGAAAATGGGAATAATGGCATCTTAAATACGTGCGTCTGTCATCGGAATAAACCATGTAATCTAATTGATATACATGCATATGTATATATACTTAATTAAACATTTGACAAATGAAACAGAAAGTTAAAAGATTGGTATATTCATAATTAAAAGAATATTATTAAGATATTTAAGATTTGCTTTAATGTCCATATTTCCTAGCAAATAGATAAAAGTACCAGATATAATCGATTGCACATGTTATGTATAAGAAGAATTAAGTAACGGCCCTTCCCAAAATGAATGAATATAAAAAAAATCTCAAATATTCGAATATTTAAATACTGATCTTGCCGAAATTATTTTGGTTTGGCTCGCAAAAGGTGTCTGATTTTTCATTATTTCTAGCAATTTCTACAAGAAAACAAAATGATTCAATTAATGTAGGGTGAGTTAACACATTCGTTTCTTTTAAAAAATATATACATGAGGGTATTGTTAATAAATCGTTTTTATCAAATTTGACAGATGATAATATTTGTCAGTACAATTAACATTTATGTCTAAACATGGTGGGCCAAAAACATTACACAAAACGTACATCATGACACATAATTGTGAAGACAATTTAATTCCCCATAATTTTATGTATACCATCGTAGCATGACATTAATAGGAACATAGAATTGTGCGAAACCAGCCATAGTTTTCTCCTGATGACCATTGTGAATTGTTGTGTTTTATGGATGATGATGATGGCTTTGCGAACGGATGTTGACCCTTTGAATTGCCTGTGAACTTCGAGACTGGATTTTATCTACTCACATACTCGTTGTCGTGGGGGGAGGGGTCATAAGGACTAAAAGCTAAATTTGCTGACGTTTTTACTGAAAGGAAACATTCATTTATTTTCAAACAATCGACCCGTTTCCCTACTAGCAGCTCTTTCAAGATACTTATTGCAAAGTGCAAGTCAAACTTTTGATCATCTTCAAAAATCAATGTTGGATTTCAGAAAAATAAATCAATCAAAATGACAGTTCATTGAGAAAATACTTCAGACAAATTAAGTCAATTCACATTAAGAAATGAATTCAAAAAGGCCTTTGATTCTACCCTTTACAAATCATTGCATTTTTGGTTCACGAATAAATTACATGACTACTAGCAGAGTGCAAATTCAAATTATGGAATTCCACAAGGATCTGTTCTTAGCCCTGCCATAACAAAATATAAGAAATTAAATTCATATATGATTTATCTTATTTTCAACCATATTTCTCTTAAAATTTAGTTTGCGTTCAAAATCTATATACTGTATGTTATATTGCTCGCCCTCTGATAGAGCCCACAAATTCGAAGAAATAATTGTCACTTTTTTGTCTTACCTAAAAGTTTATAACTCCCCAAATTTCATACCACCGCACGAAATAATCTCATAGATATAACAAATGTCCATAATAATCGGGATCAAACAATGTTTTTTAATATCTTTGTCTATTCTTCTTATTTTTTTCATTTGTAAAAATATATCTTTTAAAGTAAATCCACATGCTGCAATATTCTCGATGTATGTAAAAGATATGACATAAGTATTGCAACTTTAAATTATTTGTTATTTTTCTCTTTCAGGAGTTGATACAGTACCGGGTAAGTAGAATCAGTTTCCATCACTAGAAATGCATATAGGCAGTTCTAATCGAATCTACAGTAAAGATCGAATCTACAGTAAAGATGTTTCATTTCACTCTGGAAACATGATACCAAGAACAAAACAAGTGTTTGATGTGTTTTCTAAAATAATATAGATGAAAGTATATATATATATTTTTCAAATTATATTGTTACCATTCAAAAAATGACCATTAAATTGACTATGTGTTAAATTTTTATTACTGGTTTTAAGAGAAACGTTTGTTCATATCGATACGACTCCTTTCCCATTATTAGCAACAAAAGTTAAGATTTTTACAATGAATTACAACTCTATATATTGTAAGACACATCATTTTCATGTCACCACCACAAGTTGTAACATACTGTTATACTCTCCAACATTTTCGTTGACGGTGTTCAGCAATAGAGTAGTTTCTAAATAGCTTTATAATCTTGCTAAATCTCGTTTTTCATGAGATTTTTAGAGATTTGCACTTTTTACCTCTAATGACTTACTTTTCTTTATTTTTGATAGCATATAAATAAATAATTTTCCATGACATTTAAAAAAAACCTGGGCCAAATCTCCATTGGTGCAATGCTAAGCTTCATTAAAACCTTGGCTTATTCGTATGACAACCAACATTTTCATGTTTAATCACAATATGTACATTAACAGTATCATCCGATAGTATGCCATTCGAGTTTCAGACAGATTCAACCAACACTTTTTGACAAATCATGGAATTAAGTGACTATTGCAAGTTTCTAGCATTGAACTGAATGGAGGTGTGGCCCAAGAAAATCAAAGACAAACAAGGGTGACATCTATTATGTCAGCGTTATTCAGCTATTTAGAAACTATACAATTGGAGCTCGGCCGTTGGCGCTCGGATTTCGGCGTCTGTAACAAATGGCATTCTGCATGGTTATGCCCTTTTCTTATTTTGATAATTGTAGATGACTGTGTGGCGTTCAATGGCTTAGTGCCCTACGAAGATTCCCCAGGTGGTGACTGTTGCCATTTCATTCAATGCGACGCTTCAAATGCAAACAAAACTGGATTTCTGTAAGCATGTGTTCTTGTCTTCTGAATGGAAAATGCCGAGAAGCGTAATAACAAGAAAGGAAAAGTAAAAGCTCAACCGGTCATGAGGCAAACAGACCCCCAATATCCCAAAAGTGTGATATTAATAATGCATGAATACTATTACCCCTTGTAATATTGCCAAATTGAATGACGTAAATCTGAATAAAAAGAGGATAGATACAGATTGCAAGTGGCTTCCCTGAGCTATTTAGGAAAATAAAAATAGTATAAAGCGCTAGAAAACATCAACATTTTAAACAATGGTGTCAAAGATCAATGCTTGTGAAAATTGGGTATCAACTTGGAACTATCTATTTCAATATTAGTTTGATTTTACTTCTTTTAAATGAAAGATTTATCGACCTAATGTACTAGGCTCTGACCATCAAAGCAAAACATTGATCCATTGTTTTCAGATTTAAATGTGTCTACCCACTAGTATGGAACAGAGAAATTCCAGCCTGTGATGAAGACACCAATGTTGCTGGTGCTTGTATCCACACTGATTGTTCGAGTACGTATCATGCACATATTGAAACCAATTTTCAAACAACAGTTTCACTTGGTTAACAATGTGTTCGCTATAGAGAACATTTTCACTTTGTTTATTAGTTTTTAATTACTTTTATAACAGCGGAACAGCGAAAAATCATTCGTATTTTTTACCATAAAATTTGGACAAGTGAATAGCATATGTTTTAGGCTTCCAATCATTAGTTTTTATTTTCTTTACTCTTCTTTAGCTCAGATATCCCAAACCGAGCTAGAAATTGGCAATTGGACTAATATTAGCAATGATGATGTTTATGTGTTATGGGTTGGGACATTGGCTTTCAGCAGACTCTTGAAAGCCCATGGTTGAAATAGGGCCTTGCATCATCTCAAATCATGAATCCCACTCAATGCATAGATCGCATATATACCTGAGAAAAGTGATTTCTCAATACTATTTTAGCATTGCTAGTTCTCATACAATAATATAATATTTCAGCTGAACCTGAACCCAAACTGGGCTGTGTGAGTAATGAGGCGATCAAGGACGAGTTTGGTGAGTATTGAACAACTTGATCCGATTGATTTTAATTGGAAACCACTTTGACCTTCATTTCAAGGAAGATGGCTCATGGTGGATATGATTTAAGTATTTCTACCAACTTTTAAAAAATTCGATCATTCGAGTTTTCTACAATTTCAGTTGGTCAAAATATGTCCTGAAATTGCGACGAACATTGCGCTTTCTTTACAAATCAAAATAAATATAAATTGAAATTACGTTATGTCTTAAGTTCATAATTCAATTGCCCTAAACTGGTAAATATAAAACATTGAGATTGGTTTCTTCAAGTTTCTGGTTCAGACAATATGATAAATAAAAATGATGAATGTATTATTAGGACCAAATTTTTGCTGTCTTGAGGGAGAAGATGCAGTATATGAAGCATTGATTGACGTTTCTCCAGCAGAGTACAGAGTGCGATATGTTGAGGGAGAGTTCACAATGGGCAATGCTTTTGATACATTACGTTGCCCTCGTGGCCAACAGTTTAGCAGCGAAGATTGTTGTTGCGAAACTGAAGTTCGTAAGTCTTATTGTGAAAATTGACGCTAAACTCACCTTTAATTAGTCACGAAATGGTTTCCATATGTGAAAATAATTGTTATATGTTATTGTTTTTTGTTACTTATTACTTTGAAACGACATTTGCTATTAATTAAACTCCAAATTATCACACCGGTCGTATCAATTAAGCGTGACCATATTAAAGGAATTTAAAGGAGCTCGAGTGACTGGGTTCAAAACATAAATATTGTCTTAATTCCATTATGATACTCGTCTTTAGAGTGTAATAAACATTTTACATCTAGCTCACGTACCCGAGTGCGAAGAGGCATTCTATTTCCAATCCCCGGGTGACGATTGTTGTACATACCATCAGTGTTGGCCAAACAAGACCGGCTTCTGGGATGTCACATGTATGGGATCGGTATGGAACCAGAAGATTCTTAATTGTGACGACCCTAGTCTTGTTGACGGATGTGAGAATGCTGACTGTATCATGGGTTTGTATTTTAATATTGATACTTCGATAGATATAGAGCGTTCAATCGTTGGCTTTCTCTTGAAAGCCCATGTTTCAATTAAGCGTTCTGGCGAAATGTTTGAATACCCGACGCAAAGATTTGACTTTTTCCCGATTTTAGTTACGATGACGAAAAAAAGTCTAACAATACTTCCACGTGAACTGTGCTCTCCAGTATACGTCACGTATTTTATGTGCGACATGTATATTACAGAACTTTTATACGCCGTACATAGCTTAGCTTTAAAAAGTGGTGTGACATATTCATTATAGAAATGACTGAGAAAGTTTGCCCCGACAAAGACGCTCTTGCTGCTGAGGGAAAATGCTGTGCCCAAGGTCAAGTATACATCAAGGACCTTGATGATCCCTTCGAAGACGGAAGCGCATTCTACGTCGGTGATGAGCAGAAGTTTGATTATTTGGCTTTCTGTCCTGTCGGACAAGTGTTCCAATTGGACTGTTGTTGTTGCTATGGAATGATATGTAAGAATATTGTAATTTTTTGTGACGTTGGAAATGTTATCGGGGTCGTAGTCAAATATCCCTTCCCCCATCATAATAGTTACCTAATACAGCGCTATCCAATAAAATCCAAATTACCAAATTTATGGGAGGGAGAGGGTATTTCCGAGGAACACAGTTTATACATTCTAAATTAGAATCAATTGGATTATTTAATCAAGACAAAAATGTGGGTAACTCCACTATTCTATGTTTATACGAATCTGCAATATTTTCTAAAAGGTCAATATCAAAATACTAAATCTGATCTTTTTCTCCAGTGTACACTCCAGAATGTGATTGCATTGAATTCTCATTCGAACCTGACTACTTGGACAGAGATCAACTCCAGAACGTATCAATTATCAACGGAGACGCTGTGGTATTGGACACAGGTGAATTGTGTGGAGCTAATGTACTTGTATTTGATGGCGATGATGTTGCAACTGTCGATTACTTTGCAAGAAATGCTCTTGGTGGAGATTTTACTTTCAGTTTTGCGTAAGTAATATGAGAAACATAAGCATATGAGATACAATACCAGATATCAGCAGGATAAATGTATAATTGCCTTTATGGAAATATTTTAGAAAAAGACTTGGTTGACATTATTTGCATTTTCTATTGATTATCAAACGCATTTTATTGATGAAATGATATGCTTATCTTTAGTGCCGATGGCTCTGGATCTCTTTTGAGCAATGGCGCTGGTAGCGTAGCTCCCACACTCGAGTGTAGTGTTGGAGGAAGTTCTTCATGCTCTTTTACGTTTGGTGGCGAACAAATAAATCTCAGTGGTCCTGTAAGTAGTATATCTTATTATCTAGTGTGGCAATTAAATTCTGTCGCATTTGGAACTAATAGATATTCGAACGTCCAAAACACACTCAAGTTTCTTATACATGACAGAAAAACCATTAGAGTGTAAAGCTTGTAACTGATCTGCTCAAATCTGCTGTCTTCTCGAATTAGTTTACATGTCACACGTTTCGTAGTAAACTTATACTTATATACATGTACGATCAACAAAACAAATGATTATATATTAAGTATGCACACATGTGAAAATAACCGCCATTACATGATATGATTATAAATCTTTATACTTTCTATCAGAGTGTCAAAAACAGCAACACCTCACCTAAAGCAAATATATGATACATATTGCGTCGTATATCATCTCAAAGTTTCAGTCTTATGTAAGCCTTGTACGATCTATAATAACAGAGTCACCAAGGAATGCAGAAAACGTACAGCATCTATTTCTACGTGTTATTCCTCTAATGTTACTCCAGAATTAGTAACTTTAAGATTGCATTGCACATTGTCTATAATTAAGTTATTTTACTGAGGAGGGTGTCGCTGATTATTGACACCCTGTACATACAGCGTTATCTTCTAATTTGTTTCTCATAGGGAGGGCAATTTGTAACTGTTGTAAGATCAGAAGAGGGCAAGTCTATTTCCCTATACGTCGATGGTAGTTTGGCAGATACTCAGCCTGCCGCTGGTAAGTCTCTTATAAAGCGGTTAAGTATTGTCGTTAAGTATTGTCATTAACATTCAGTTTTTATGTCACCAGCAACAGTGACATATTGTTATGGTCTCCATTTTGAGACCGCGGTTGGAGTCCGGCGTCTGGCGATCGGCGTCTGTAGCAAATGGCAGAATGTGACATTTCGCATGTTAATGCCTTGTTGAATAGTTTATATGTAATGCTCTTAACCTAATACAAATTATTTGTCTTTCAATACACTTCACTGTGTTGGATTTTGTTTATCATCAATGACATTCTTCAAGTAGCAGTATGGGATATTAATTTGAATACATGCGTGTCAAAATCAAAATATTAGCATAAAGTCAAAAATACTATTAAGAAATAATCATAAAGCAACCTAAAGCCATTTTTGCATTCCCATATTAGGAAGAATGGATACTACTGACTGCCCATTAAAGATCGGAGAGGGATTCGTAGGTGCTTTTGATTCGGTAAGTGTATCCTATTTTAAACTGTTAATCTCTTTTTAAAGTGGAGTATCTAAATAATACACGGTGCGTCCTAAGGTATTTGATCAACATGAAACTACTTACAAAACACCATGTTATTTTCGCTAATACCTGTTGGAATAACCTTCTGATCTGGTCCCTATTTGCCGGATTTTGTTTTGTTACAAATTCTTGCAATATTCCTTCCCGTTCACCTACCCAGTAGGGTGTTTTAAATTGTTGTCTTATTTTTTGCAGTTGGTGTTTTGTACATTCGCCTATGACGAAGCACAGGTTAGCGGCCTGGCTAACTGTAATGTAGCATTTGATGCCAGAGTTTCATAATTTTTTCTTGTAAGACGTCTATATGTGTACAATAAAACAGATTTAAGCTGTAGTAAATATTGCTTTGTCATATTTGATAATGTTATTAATTGTATTAATTATTTACATATTAGGAAACAAACGCGTAGTATGTGAAAGCCCAACTGTTCTTGACTACCAATATGTTTTGACTCTTGCCAAATTATTCTGACAAATCAAGTTTTAAGCGTTCACTTACTAGTATTTTACTAGATCTGCTAATTCTCAAGGGAGGATGTCAAGGGGAAAATTGATCGACTATATCAGTGAAATGTGGATCCAAGTTTTTCAATCGTGGTGTCTAATTGAAAGTGATCAAAACTATTTTTGCTGGGAAAAATGTTGCCCCCAAAATAAGTAGCAAACCCATAAAATATTGACCCAATCTTAGAAACTTTGTTCATTTTCAGAATTGAGACCATATTCATTAAAAGCTCAAATATTCTCAAACTGAGTCGTTCTTTTAAAAATGAGACTCCAAATTAATATATTGACGTATTCTGTTTAAATTTAGTATCGCTCCTAAGGGTTCCATGGTGCAAAAGTCGCACGCCCGACGAGGGATCTGCCACCCTTTAACGCCTACCCTGCTACCCTATATAAATAAATTGAAGGCATTTTGGCAATGGAAGGGATCCGCATATATCATATAAGTGTTTTGTTTACTTATTCCGGCAGTCATCCATTAAAAACACGGCAAATTGCTATTAAATTGAAAATCAACGTATCGAATGTATGAAACATAACGTATGAAACATAACATAACATAACATGCATTTGATAAACTTAATGAACCCAGAATACTTGGGCCAAGTCAAAAGTAAGTAAGTAAGTAAGTAAAATGGGTCTCAAGGAAACAACCCTCAGCAAAAATATTAATCCCAAACAATGATTTAAAGAAACAGTACCAGATGCCTCCTCTCACATCCAGGAGCCAATATCACAATTAAACATCACAAAACCATAGAACATGTCATTCATACTAGATAAAATAATCTGAATTAAGTCAGAAGAGTGACAATTTCAAACACTTCTCCGCCTCCATTGATAAGAAGCTATTATTACAACCCTACTCAGCAAGACAGATCATTGAGATTTCAGTCACACGGAAGTCAGTAAAATTCATGAAATTCAATTAAACAAGAACCTATATAGATGTTATAGTCGTGGTCAACCATTGATCCGTATAGGTTTCGTGATCATCGGTTTAATAAAAAACATTTTGGTACAAGCATAACCAATACTTTATTGCACTAACCGATTCTCACTAGTTCCCATTAAATAGAACGGTGATTTCTGATAGAAACCCTCACATATAAAAGAATGATTTCAGTTTTCATGATCATTATCACTCAATTCATAACATACAATTTTAACAATATTTACAAAACTATATTTAAAAATAAGACTATATACATTAAATAATTATATGGTATGTATATTCATGTGTATTCTACACGTTTTACACAGTGCTGTATTTCTGCATATATGACAACAAAATATATTTATATGCCATACATTTCAGATTTTAATCAAATTAAGGAATGCAGGAAATTACATCACAACTAATTCAAACACATGTATCAAATGTGACGTAAGAAAGACTGAGTCGTCCATTTCTGTAAGTTCTCTGTCCAAACATATTTGAACCGCTGAACAATTTGAAAAATGGCATCATTAACGTCAAACCACATTGCTTCAATCCATTAGACGATCATATATGTGGTATTTTTAAAACAAGAGAACCACGTTTCACGGGCTATCATCGTTCGGACAGGAATCGAATATACTTCCATTTAGTTCTAAATAACTCAAGAACAGTAGTACACTGTTTCTTTACTATCAATTTTACGTTTCAATTTGCTGAACAGTTGCGAGTAAAAATATAGATTTAAAACTAGATGATACGAATATAATGCACAACGAGATGTTAAAAGTTAAGCCATACGCACAGATTAAGTTCGCAATGTACATATTCCAGGTTCGGAGTGTTAACTAATTCATTTCAATTTGAAAACATACAGGAATACAAGTGGCACCTAGGAAGCTGTTACATTGAGTTTTTGAGTTATTACATTATTGTCCATTAACTCCTTTATTTGTCCTGGGGAATATCCAAACGTACACACCACAAACTGAAACATTATAACGCAAATGTAATTATCTGGAATATAACACTGCACAAAATGTATACGAATACTATAAATATTACCATATTATAATATTATGGAACTGTTAATATTACGCTGTATAAATCTTACAGAAGTATACATCGGAATAACTGATGTAATGATTGAGTACTTTTTGTACCTTTTGGTACCTGACCATGTGGCAACTGAACTACATTGAAAAACTAATGCAACTTCTATATTGGTTTTGATGAATTTGTGCAGCATTACCAAATAAAATCTTGCATCACATGAACAACTCAATGGATTTGATTAAACGAACATAACACACATTCTTGATAACACTCATTGAATACTCACTTCATCAATTGATCCTGTAAAACCTTCACCTATTTGCAGCGGAATATCAGAGGGAGTGTAATCTCCTACAACAAATGATGCATGCAAATAATAATGTGACTCATCAAGAGATATATTAAACTAGAGTATGCTTTTTAGTTCTAGATAGATTGTTTAATGTGATCAGAAGGTAAATGGTGACAAGTTTGAAAATAGTAATGAAACAATTATAAAATAATAAGTTAATACTTCCTTCAAATTAATATACCATGTAGATTTTTCTAAATGTATAAATTATGAATATGCATGGATTGTATTGACACAATTGACATTCCTTGATATAGTCTTACCTCTTACTGGTGATTCCGTATATGCCAAATCCCCATTGATATAAAACATGAGTGATGAATCTGCCTTCACTATAGCCAAATGATGATAGGCATTCGGATCAATTGGCTAAAACCAAAAAATGACATGAATATCAAATACCTATGGCCAATTCCAATCACCAAGTTGCATTCAGATCAAATTTTACATAAATACCATGCTTGCTACAAAAGACAAACAGTTGAAATACAATTATAAAATACAAAATAACAAATATTCAGATAGCTCATGTCTTACCGTCAACATAACTGTGTACAACACACCGTCAACTCTAACAGCAGCGTTAGCTGCAGAACCTTCTAACCCGATGTCAATTGATGGTGAGTTGGCACCATGATCACCATTAAACAACAAGGAACCACTTATAGTAGTAGCTCTAAACCATAAGGCTATGGTAAACTCAGCTCCGAGCCAAGCGCCAGAAAAGTATCGTATTGAAAGGAGGTCATTCCCTGAAAATTCAGCTGCCCCTGTCCCGAATACAGTCTGTGGACCAATATTGACGCCATCTTGTCTCGATGACACGTGGGTAAAACTGTCCTCAAAGTCTTCGTCAAATGGCCAATGTAAGCAATCACATTCTACCTCTAAATGACAATCAAGATTTTGAATCATTATTTAAAGTATATAATGAATCAAGAATTCAAATCACGCTATTGATGCATGATATGTATTAAATACGAAATATGTTAATATTGTCTTTTTATTAGCGGAAAATACCTTCAGTGATACTTGCACAGGAACAAGTATCAATTTTGAAGAGTTTAGGTTCTCTATCACACATTCCTGAATCTGTGGTATTATCAGCTCTGATGAAGTTATATCTAGAAGAGTCATTCTGGTTGAGTGTGTATCGAACACCATTCTGACAACACATATCTTGAGTAAATAAAATGCACATATCAATATAGGGTGTTTCTTCATGACCCCAAATTCACAGCCATTGATATTCGATATGTTAGAGTAAGGCTTATTTAATGTCGACTCATAGGTCAAATATTGGCAAGATAGAGTGTTTCTTCATGACCCCAAATCCACAACCATCCCAAGATGATACAACCCGATAATCAATATTTTAGAGTAATGCTTATTTAATGTCGACCCATAGGTCAAATATTGGCAAGATAGGGTGTTTCTTCATGACCCCAAATCCACAACCATTCCAAGATGATACAACCCGATAATCAATATTTTAGAGTAATGCTTATTTAATGTCGACCCATAGGTCAAATATTGGCAAGATAGGGTGTTTCTTCATGACCCCAAATCCACAACCATTCCAAGATGATACAACCCGATAATCAATATTTTAGAGTAATGCTTATTTAATGTCGACCCATAGGTCAAATATTGGCAAGATAGGTGTTTCTTCATGACCCCAAATCCACAACCATTCCAAGATGATACAACCCGATAATCAATATTTTAGAGTAAGGCTCATTTGATGTTGACTCATAGGTCAAATATTGGCAAGACTGATAAAAATCCAATCTAATTTATGAACATACGTTTTTTATCCCTTCCACTTTTATATGATGGTTGTTTGCAGGGTTTACATTTTGAAACACATTTCACATGGTAAGATGTTGGACTGAATATGTTGCTCAACCACCAAACGTGTTTCTAATTTTTCTCAGTAATAGCTCATTGAGTCAAATATAAATGTGTTGGCCATTTACCTTCTGGAAGATTTTCGGGGCACGTTGCTGGTACAACTGGAAAAAAGATATGATACATTCGTATAATTACAGATGGACAAGTGAAATGATGAATAAATTTGCAAGGATGAGAAAAATATTCGATTCATTTGAACTACATACATGTTTATATCTTTATGGAAATGCTGTTGAAATGTTCATCTGGTGATAACTATTGAACATACATGTTTCATTAGTGCAGATAGCTTCTCTGCATGGTCCCTTTACTTGTTGAGGACTATCACATGCCTTTATGACATCATTCCACACTGTGCCACCCATACAGCTTCTTTCCCAGCTTCCAGTCCGGTTAGCAAAACATTGGTAATAGGAACAACATGTAGACGCTGGGCCATACAGATCCTTACCAACACATTCTGGTATTGGTGCTAAAATACATATACATTACAATCTTATTAAGATTATATTTATTTTAGGTCAATATAGATCATAGAAAATGTGTTAATGGGGAAGAGAAAATTAGACAATACTACTTTGCATCATTTTTTTTTTATGTCCGATGTTCTGTGTTTTTTAATACTCTTGTTTTTTCCCATTTCTGTTGTCCAATTAATTTTATGATATTTATATATTTAATATAATTTTATATATATATTTGTAACTTTTATTTATTGGAGTGTAAGGATGGTAAGAGGGACTCACTATACGTTGGTTCACAACAACAGTCGGCTGCATTGAATATTTGACCTTTGGGACAATCAATCATGTCTCCAAATGTTGAATCTTCATCTTCAAGATTGTGTTGTTGGTAAGAACCAGCATCACTGGAGTTCCCCATGTACACTATGCCGTTAACACAACATGCAAATGGTCCTGGAATATTATAATATTTCAATCACTTGAGTTTCCCATATGCACTTTACATAAACAGTGCTCCCCATTACCCAAATTACCCCATTGCCACAAATATTTATTTCAATGAAGACTGTTCCGTAAAATAAAGTGATATATGTTCCTCCCACCTAGATATAGTAAACGCAAAGACCTTGTGACTATATACATCTAAATAAGGACAGTGACTGATTGTCTTAACGTCATGTTAATGAACTGTATGTCAACTGAGTTTAAATGTTCATAATTTGAATACATTTGTAAAGCTAAGTTGTAGATAGTTTATGTAAGATTAACTTGTTTTCGTCAATGAAAATGTTTAATTTATGCTAAACTTTGAATATTTTTCTTTCTTCCCTTAATATTGATAATAATGATAATACTTACCATATTTCGACTTTATTTCATTATCTAGTGGACAGACCGAATCCAATATGGGAGGAGCTGAAACAAATGATCTCTAAAATATTTAAGCTTACTAGAAAAAGAAAAATATCCAGGAAATAATAACAAAAAGGCTAACTACACTTCTTATAACTATTATCATATACTTACAAGAACACTCAGAGACATTGCAATCAGGGTTACTACCATCATCAAAAATACAAGCTTCATTCTTCCAAATCAGAGGGTATGTGCACAAACTTCTAAATGCTGTTTCATTGTTATTGGAAGGGTCACATTGGAGGAAATGACAGCAGTCGATTGGGTCTGGTATAAATCCTTTAGTAACACCACATTCAACTGAAACAAATAAGTAAGCATTAGGGCAAAAAGGAAAGACCTAAAAGTATTAAAACAGAATATTCAACAAAACCGAAGAATGTCGAAAAACCTTCATGATCACAATCCAAAAATTACGTGAAACATTTAATTTACACTGAGGTCATTACAATAATGGACATGTCGAACAGAATTTAATAACAATCAATAATAAAAGGCTTGGTTGATGAAACGTATTCACCAAATATTGATATAACTGTTAATAGACGTGCACGCCTAGAAGTTCTGGCCACTTCGCTATCTTTATCGATGACGATGATGTACACACAATTCTATCATCTTTATACTAAGATGATACATTTTAAATGCTCTTATTTCGAAAGATGTCAAATACAACTGACCATCTGCGCATCTATATCTACGTTAATATGTTTATTTTATTTTACACTGCATTATACATATGTGACACCAGCGTCTGCTTTTCGGAAGGATCTTGACCGTTTATAGACCTCAAGACTGGAATATATCTGCCACACATCACTTGAGAATGAGTGCCCTATCTTATATGAATACTGGTATCCACAAATCCATATTCATTCTTCAACATGTACTGTAATGTCTTCTGTATGAATCATATGTTCCTTTGAGTTATGGTCCTTGATATTGGTAATGGAACTTGAATGGTGGGAGAGAGGGATTATAGTTTGAGATAATTGGGTTTGTTTTCCTTATTACCGGAGCGCATAAAGATGTGTTTTTCCTTGCTGGGTTCTGTAACGATTTTTGTCATTTTCCTTTGTCACTTGAGCGTAAATATTTTTTATTCAATAATGTATTTTCATATTTACCTATTTGCTCTTCCGAAAGCTCAACAACTGAAAAACCGAATAAAGGTATAATAATTATCATTCTCGAATTTAGACAAACAATGGAAGGTACGTTCTAAAATTAAATGTTATCACAATATGGAGATTTGCATCATCAAAATAAAGATCTATCTTCATATCAAGTGAGTTCCACATCAAAATAAAATACGAATACTAGCATACAAACCTTCGTGACTTCGCTGATTTTCAGATACGGAAACCTGCCGTTTTTGCAAAGACACTGATAGGGCAAAGATGGGCAAAATGGCTGCCAATACATAGAGCTGGACCAGCATATCTACGATGGAAGTATGAAATGTTTATAGAATATTCAAGCTGACATTGAACGTTGTCCATAAAATATAAATTGTTGACATTTGATTGATTTATCACTTTCAATATAATATAAAAATATAATATAGTGTTCTTCCTAGAATATCTCCCTCTAGAAAGCTCGTGGTGGCCAAGGAAAATAACCATTTGAAGCAGAGTAAAATCAAGATGTAGCATGGTTCAAACAACAACTGAAATGCTATTTATTCACCCTATAAATAACCGTACTAAATACACTAACACTATATATCCTATGCTATAGCCCATTGTGCAATGTACTGGCCTTAAAACACATATATCATTGCGACATTTGCCTGAAGATATTAGATTCTGTTCCTTATACACAGTTATACAAACGAACTCGTGATTCAACGCATTTCAGATGGAATAAACACAAATGCGCTAAAGGCAGCATTTAGACAGTTCTATTCATAGCCTTTCACGCAGTGTTTTCAGTCAAAACTTCACAAATGTACAGTATCAAAATTCAAATATATGACAATATTTAGCGTTTATTAATTACAAAATTCTCATTATTTATCTATTTAGATTACTGAATGGCTTACCTTACCTATTGGAATACAGCAGTAAATAAGTGATGTTGTTACTCAGAATTTAGCCAGAAGGGACATGAGTCGTCGAATGTCAGTTACTGTTCACTGTTATCTGATTTCACCATGTAAATGTCAATGGCACAAAAACACTTCTGACTCTTAGTTTCACAAATCATTTCCACAAATGAGCTTTCTATGTGGGTGGAACCTTGATGTTATAGTTTCAGGATAAAGGGCAACCCAGTGTAAATAACGTATACATTTTGGAAAAACTCACGCCAGATGGCGCAAAAAGAGATATATTCTCATTATGTCAATGAAATGACTATTTGTAAATCAACAATCATTTGTTTTAAAAATACAAGGAAACCTTACAAATATATACTTTTTTTATCAATTGTCTACTTGTTACTCCCAAGACATTCTCTCCCGAAAGAACGCATAGATATTGTTTCATAATGGTGAAAAAATTTAAATTATTTTCCAAATAAAGAAAACTGTTTCACAGCACAACCAATTTAAAAGACATTCATTTGATTTTAATGGTTTCACAAGGCATAATTTATCATAAATTCAAAACACATTGCGACTTTAATAATTGTGGTAAACAGTTTTCGAATGGCCCGGATGAAGACTCGTTATAATGATATTTTATTTATTAGTGTTTCAATTTTGCTTCAATAGATAATTGTTGCATGAATCAGGAACTAGGTGAATTTTTGTTTACATTGTAAGTTGTAACACTAGCTATTTAGCCCTCATAATATCGCTACTGCCATCTAGTGACTGTTTTAGTACTTAAAAAAATTGAGATAATTTAGAGTTTATTATAAACGGTACCTAGTGTAATGCGTAGTTAAAAAAGATGTCTCGACGATCGCTTCAAATGAGATCATAATCGATGAAGTGCTTCTCTGGCTGGTAGTTCCATATTTAGATTCCCAGATCTTGTTACACTCAGGTCTGAAGTTATCATTGCCGTGTTACGATTTAAAATATATCATAAGCTTGTGAAGAAGCATAACTGTAGTTTGAGCACAATGCAAGCCAAAGCATACTGAAAAGATTCTTCCAGGTAGGATTTCAAAATACACCTGTATGCAAACAATCAAATTGAAAAACATTATAAGGTGGTGATTTTATTCTTAAAGCCCAATTCCAAATCGATGACATCACGCAATCAGATATATTCTTAATCTTATCATATCTAGGTTCCTCATTTCAAAACAAAAGCGTCATATCTGTTAAATCCTGCCCACTGATCGTTACTTCAGCTGAAGTAAATATCGCTTCTTCAAAAGACAAAACAGTTCCCGAATATCTCAGTAAATGGTAGATATCGCTTCTTCAAAAGACAAAACAGTTCCCGAATATCTCAGTAAATGGTAGATATTGCTTGTTCAAAAGACAAAACAGTTCCCGAATATTTCAGTGAATGGTAGATATTGCTTGTTCAAAACACAAAACAGTTCCCGAATATTTCAGTGAATGGTAGATATTGCTTGTTCAAAAGACGAAACAGTTCCCGAATATTTCAGTGAATGGAAGATATTGCTTGTTCAAAAGACAAAACAGTTCCCGACTCGGAATATCTCAGTGAATGGTAGATGTTGTTTGTTCAAAAGACAAAACAGTTACCGAATAACTCAATGATTGGTAGATATCGCTTGTTCAAAACACAAAACAGTTCCCGAATATTTCAATGAATGGTAGATATTGCTTGTTCAAAAGACAAAACAGTTCCCGAATATTTCAGTGAATGGTAGATATTGCTTGTTATAAAGGCAAAACAGTTCCCGAATAACTCGCTGAATTGTTTTCCTGTTATCAGATAAGTTCCGATTTCTGTATTGTAAAATTTCCTACCTGTCTTGATTGCAAAAAGTAATGTGGGGATCGGGATCAGGTGAAAGGGATTTATGAAGTATTGGAGCCAGGGGAGAGAGGATTCACGAAATGGTTAAGTAAACCTAAGCTTTATTTATGACAGACGAACACTAATCATATGATATATATTTTCGGCGAAGGTTCAACCAGGATTATGTAATACAGACACGTCAGATGAACCTGTAATGAACCCTGACGTGATTGATGATCGGTAAGTTATCTGACTGGCTCAGCACTTGCAACTCATAATACCCTTTGTAAGACCTCGAAAGCTTCATCTACCCTCTTTAAGTGAAAATAATGAATTTGATCTAGCCAGTTGCCTTATCTAATCAGAATATGTAAAAAGTTCCACAGTTCAGTTATGGATTTGAATAACGATGGTTCATTTCACAATCACAATTCCATAGAAGCTTCCGTTCTTATTAATATAACACTGTAAACTCATTTGTGATGGTCAGAGGGTGATGTGATTATCCGATGAGGATCAGGGTAGTTGCAACTGATGTAGGAGAGGCGCATCATCCTGACACTCAGGCCAAAATTAGCATCGACCTTACCATCCAAAAGTACACTTATCATAGTTTTCATTGGAGATGTATACGAGTTCTACATCATTTCAGATATGTAAATTCAGGAATTTTACTAATCGTTTCATCGAGTGATAAGGGAATAACTCTAAATACAATTTATCATTTTGCTTATGGACTTAGTTTAGGTAAACGAACACAGCTCGGTGCGAAAGGATTGGTCAAAAAAGAAAAAGGGTATATTAATAAATCGACTGTTTGTGGATAAGTGTTAAACATGGCTTCTGTAAACGTGACGCTACAGAGACAAAGTACCACTCAACCATGGGGATTTAGGATGCAGGGTGGGAGGGATTTCCGAATGCAACTGTCAATCAAAAAGGTAATCAATGTTCAATAATATATATTGTAGCTAACCTGCTGATTTATTAATAATTGTTACATCTCAACTCTCAAGTAAAAATGTAATTTTAGAATTAAATATTTTGTATATTCATTTTACTGCCTTTTCCACACTGCGTTTGGTTGCACTGGTGGACGAGGGGAATGGTTATGACCCGGCCCCCTAAAACGTAGCGAACAAAACTACGAAATCACATGCATGAAGCTGGTGGACATAATTTTGATTTGTCTTTTGGCTATTTGGCGCATTTGTCAGGAAATTAAAAGAATGTTTTCATTTTGGACCTAAATAGTGGCATTTGAGCCTCATTTCAAAACTAGATCTCGCCTTTTAAAAATGTCAGAAATGTTCGGAAAGTGTGCCGAGGAAGGCAGTTATGAGATATCCATGCCAATCTGATTTTTTTCGTACTTTTACTTCGCACCCATTTGTCCTCAAAAGGCTCGTACGATAAGCAATGCAATTTACTCTACTTATTAGCAAGTGTATTTTTCACGCAAGCGTAACAGATAGCTAGCACAAATGGCAACATTTGAAAATCCTTTGAACACAAACATAAATAGGGAGTTTAAGCTTGCAATGTTTTTTACAACCTAAACGTGAATGGAAAATATTTAAGCGATGCATGTGTATGGGCGATTGGTCATACGTATAGGTTGGCGTTTCGATTTTATATGCAAGCTTAAATTCCCTAATAACTATTTCGTTCGCCAAACATACAGATACTTTGATTAACCTTAATGGAAACTTTTTGTGTTTTAACAACAATATACTGAGTTACTGAAGTATTGCACGAGCTTCGTCGACCTTTAGAAATGTTGTATAGGCTACAATAGCATCTCTTGTGTTCATTTAAGTTCCGAAGTATTTTTCACATTTGTAAATCGTAAGTTACTTTATATGCCTCTTTTGTAACCACCCACCATATCTGATTAATCTTCTTACAATGCGTTTACATTTGTACATGGAGTTGAATATTCTGCATTCGTTTTATCAAAGAGGCACTTATGATGGCAGGCAGACAGAACAAGATTGGTCAGACTGATCTCACATGTCATAATTATCATTAAGGAACTGAAATCTAATGGAATCAGATAGAAGAAAACAAACTGGAGAGTTTACGTTCTTGGTCACCACAACATAGTGATCAATTCGCATGTAAATTCAGTGGTTCTCTTAATTTAAGTTCATGAATGAATTCAATGTTTTATTAAATCGGAAAAGGCCTTCAAATCGTTCGCAAAACATGAAAAGGCAATGAGTTTCAGAATAACCAAATGTTATCTTCTGATAATTTTGATGAAACGGCTATTAATTGTTATAGCAATCAGTGAAATGTTACTTTTACTATTATGACCATTAAAAATGTTTTGGAATTATTCTGATTAATAATGATTTTAACATGTATTAAACACCATTCGTATAAAGTTATACACTCCAGCGGCTACTTAAAAAGATACCAACTCCCAGGGACTTCAAATCGCCAATTAACTAATTATTTTTAATCAGAATCGGGATAAACATCATACGTGTTAATGCTGGTATAATATCGGTTGCTGAAACATTGTTTTACGGACAAGACGAGATACCTTAAGAGTATGTGTAAAGTAGCGAACATTCAACACACTTAACTTGAGCACATATATCTGGAAAAAGTTCCAAATCATAGAGGAATCTAAAATTATCCGTAGAATGTATTCTAACCAGCTGCCGAGAATCATATCCATGTGTATGCTATAACAAATTGGTGGTTCTTGTATGTAGTCTACATAATATGGAATCACTACCAAAACTTGGTTTATCTTAGACTCGTAACTGGTAACTGGTAACTTTGTGTTATAAATGCAACCCATTTACCCCCCCCCCAAAAAAACCAGAAAGAAATCATGAAAAACATGACTAATGTAATTAAACGATGTGTTAAACACATTTACGAGGTCAAATTGTTAGTAAACAGTCCCTATTGGAATAAGGTAAGTAATTACCACCAGGTTTGGTAAGGTCTAATGAGGGGGGGGGGGGGGGGGGGTAAGTACAGTACGATAGGTAGAATAGTATCAAAATTCAATATATTTAACATACACACGTAACATAGTAAAAAATCTTTCAAAATCCAAGTTATAAAACAATAACTGCGTATTTATGACGAGATAATACACTACACTACACTACACTACACTACACTACACTACACACAATACAATATGACAGGTTTGGATATAATGCCCAACAATTAGGAGATCAAGACGCTTCAAAAAATGTATATCTTAATGCAATAACGAGTTATGTAAGGTGATATGTTGATTTTGGAATATAATTCATAAAAATCAGTTAAGGGGCATGAAAGAAAATCTTACACGGTGGACTGCAGTGTGTTTTCCACTTCTCAACATTCTCATGGTGAGATGTAGCTTCGAAAACAAGATAACGTTTCAAAATAAACAGAATCGGTACGTAAGTTGGGAGGATGCGGGTTATCTCGGCTTTGAAATGTAATATGGAAGATGAAAACACGTTCATTTTATCTGTTGAAACTGGGAGTGGGTCGGGTGATTGCCGGAATCGGATAAATAGAACACATAAGTAGATAATTAGAACATATCACCGGTTTTAAGTGATGGTTGTTTGATTGATTGATGCATGGTTGATTGTTTATCTGACACAGCAGTATCGGCAATGATGTTACAAATGTTATATTTTAATGGTCAGTTTAGTAGTTTACCCATTTGCACTATTAATTTACGTGATCCCAAATGACGTCATCTGTATTTTAAGTGACATTTAATCTTACGTGACGAAAATAATATTTTTATTTTGTATTTAATAATTTGATACATTGAGGTCACAATTTACTTACAGAGGACCTTCAGGATATCTTGAAATAGAGTGATCCATATTACGGCAAATTCGACACCAAATGTATAATTTATGCATGTATGTGTATATCTTTTCAGATTAACCCTAACACGCCTGCCCAGGGTCGAAACCTTAACTCTGGTGACGCAATAATCTCCATAAATGGAAGGGACACTCGGGATCTCACGCATATGGAGGCACAAGCGCTAGTGAAACAATCTGCCAACACCCTACAATTGACTGTTATCAAGTAAGATTAGCTTTTAATGGACATTACTTTTAATGGTAATTAGATCACATACACTCCCCTCCATAAGTTTGGCAACCTTTTTTCCCCATTGAACTATGTGTTAAAGCCTCTTTACGTTTGAATTTTCATTTACTTAACCGGCGATGAAATAACTTATAATATTGATGGAAACGTAACTTGACTTTATTTCCAATACCTCAAAATTTTCTCAATTTTTTTCCTCAATTACAATAGGTCGAAAATTGATGATAAATTTGATGAATTTTTGAAAATCGTCATTCTCATGTAATCCAATGGGAAATGGAGGGTTCGGGGCAAATCAAAAATCAGGATATCTTTTCAGTAAAAGATTCAGCAAAAAATATTTTTTATATAGAAAATTGAATTGTCTAACTTTTTTGAACACTAAGTGTTGAGTTTATTTGATGAATATTAAAGTTACAGCGCTTCAAAGTCATTTTTGAAAATAATTTTTCGCCTCCTGTGTTATTTCAATGGGAGAGGTTTTTTGAAAAACAATTTTGACTTTAAAGCCCTATAACTTTGTTGAATCTGAAGAAACATATCAATTTTTTGTTAAATAAAGTTAGCAAATTCAATTGCCTGCCTAACTCGTATTTTTTGCAAGGACTTGGATGGATGGATATTCTGTCATATGACTTGCGGCAAACCTACCATTTCCCATTGGTTAACATGGGAATGTCGATTTTCAAAAATTCATCAAATTTATCATCAATTTTCGACCTATTGTAATTGAGGAAAAAAATTAAGAAAATTTGGAGGTATTGGAATTAAAGTCAAATTATGTTTCCATCAATAGTATAAGTATATTCATCGCAGGTTAAGTAAATAAAAATTCAAAAGGAAAGAGGCTTTAACACGTAGTTCAATGGGGGAAAAAGGTTGCCAAACTTATGGAGGGGAGTGTAGCATATGGTTTAATATACGCTTTGAGAAGATGCATTAAACATCATTTCCTTGTTCGTTTAAGCTTATTCAATTGTACGTGGGAGGTTGGAATTTTGTTTTTCCTTGTTCCCGTTTGCAGTACTTTACATTTTCATACTGTGTTTCCTAATGCTCTTTGTCCTTTTGGCTTCATGTCTTTAGCATCTATTAAACATTTCAATATTTCTTCATACATGTTTTTAGCATCCAAACATTTCAATATTTCTTATTACATGTTTTTAGCATCTATTAAACATTTCAATATTTCTTCTTACATGTTTTTAGCATCTATTAAACATTTCAATATTTCTTCTTAAATGTTTTTAGCATCTATTAAACATTTCAATATTTCTTCTTACATGTTTTTAGCATCTATTAAACATTTCAGTATTTCTTCTTACATGTTTTTAGCATCTATTAAACATTTCAATATTTCTTTCAGGGGACAATGTGCTCTTCCAACGTTACCGGTAGGCATGAAACCTGGAAAGATAAAATTCTCCCCTGCAACAGCCAGAGGATATGTATAAACTCTGTTGGATATCATATATATCCACTGAAGATATGATATAGACACGTCTCTATATGGTTTACAATAGACAGCATCTGATATTGGCTGAGAGTCAGGCTTGTGAATGTATGATTTAGCAAACTGTCACTATGACAATGGTATTACACAATAAAAAAGGACATTTCTTATAGTAACAGTACAGTATCAAGATTGTAAAAATACTATATCGAATTCAGAGAGTATATGTCAGTTACTTTTTATATTAGTCATGTTTAGGATATATAATATGATGCATTTTGAATATAGGACCGTGTTTTCTTATTCCTAAAATTTGGGATTCAGACTTCTGGTTTCACAACAATACAGAAAATAGATTACTCAACATTGCTTACTGCGGTAAAAATATTGGTTGCACAAGCCACTAGGAAAAACATAACATCAGATGTACATCTTTGCAAACCAAGGGAAGGTATGTTTTCTGAGCAACAGCTGCATCATGGACTGGTTGCCTTGGTAATGAATCCTATACCTACCTAGAGTCAGTCACCTTTCTGAATATTACAGTTATTTTTTCAAGATTAATGGTACTAATGGACGAAAAATATGAATTTCACAGACATGGAGCTGGTTTCTTCAGAACGGAGAGAAATAAAAAAAATACCGGTCTGTGATTTAAATATGCCACTCTATGAAGTAGATAAAATGTTAAACCTGCAAAGGGTTGAAATTCCTGACACTGCCTACTTGAAGCAATCAAAAAGCACTTCAACTTCCGAATTCACTACCCTTACAATTCAACAGCTTTGGAATTAGATTTAATATATAATTGAACATTTGATGAGGTATTGAAAGCATGTAAAATGGATTGAACTTAACAACTTGAACTTCAACAAGAAGCAACATGTCAGATTAAAAAATGATAAGAATACATCTTTTGAATAGAACTGTATGGATGAGATGATATCGAATGACTATGATTCATGGGATCGCACAGGTGATGGTATGGCCTAAATACTCAGTTTTATATATTACCTTGTTAATAGCTAGTCATATTTATCAACTGCATAACATGTTTTTACATTCTTAAATAAATATATAAAACATATTATTACAAGATGGTATTTTGTGTGTGATATAACATAATCCAAGATTACATAAATATAAATATCTCTATTTCGACCTACATAGATACATGTACATGTTCAGTGAAAAATACAAAACATACATAAAGTTATGTACAAATTGAGAATTTTATGGCTACTATTATGAACTACATTCTAGCACAGTTTAAAACCATTGAAGTTAATTATCAGTTGTATCTGCTAAGTAACTTGACTTCATTTGAAAGTACACAATTATTTACATTTGCAGTTCATTGCTTACAAATAGAGGACGCTAATACACATCAATTTGCAACCGAAATACTCATGCACGGTTTATTTATTTAATCGCTGCATTATATGTTGGTTTCAGTTGTTTGTTTGTTTGTTTGATTGATGCATACCTGTTATGCCACATTGAAATAATCAATTTCAACAAAACAATATTCCTCCAAATTTTAAGAGAAAACTTGGCAGTATGGTCACTCTAGAACATGAGAATCATGCTGTTTCAAGTTATGAGGATAGAGATGATAGATGAACAATGAATTCTGACACCAAGCCGGAAATTTCTTTATGTACACTGCTAGGGGAAGTATTGGCTTAATTCAAATTAGCCAATCAAATTCTGAAGATAATGAAACATTCAAAATGTTAACTCTGCTAGTTTGTTCACGAACAATATAATCCAAGATGCTAACTCTGCAAGTTTGTTCACAAACACTATAATCCAAGATCATGTCCAATTTGATGCTTCAGATCGTTTGCTAACACAAATCATAGATGTATTTCTCTCAGAAAATTGGATGAAAACAAAGAAGATATCAAATGATGTCACTGTCCTCCATGTTGAATGATGCATTAATTTCTAAGATATTAGATCCTCAAGGACATTTCCTTTCGACACACACCTTTCCTGATTCTTCATATTCTTGCTTTGAAATCCACATTTGTTGGAAAGAGCCCTGGAAATACAGAGAAACTGATATTTACAAGGTCATTCAAAATAAACACTCATTCTCATAAAATCTGGTTCAAATACAAGGTGTTTTTGATGAGCTCATTTCAGTACAGCACAGCACAACAAAAAACAGCACAGTACAAGACAGCATAGAGCATGGCCTGAACTTATAGACTCAAAGATGGGAAATTGCTATCAGAATATTTTTTCCATCAATTCTTATATCCCATCCAGCTCATGCACTGACACTTTAAAATTAACTCCAAATTGTAAAAAAAAGATATTACACTGAAAGGCATACCTGTCCGGATGAAAAATGTATATTTTTACTCAGCATTGTTTATATAGATTTTTTAGGTTATTGTTATTTAATTCCATATTATTCAACATAAATATTTATTGTGAGTGGGCGCGGCTATTTGGCATTATTGTCCCCCCTCTAGAAAGAGAGATATACACTCACTTGAAGCTATGAAGCGAAGCAATGTAATGCGTGCTTGCATGTAAAGATGTATGAATAAACACTGTTATAAAAGATCCTAGCATTCAAAATATTTCTGCAGCAGTACTTTGTTATCTCATTTTCAGCAGAATTTCCAAAATATTGTTTAAGAGGAGAGGTATTTCATAAAAAAGATGAGGTGACTTACCAGAGATGCCAGGATGGAACCTCCAATCCAGCTGCTAAATCTTCTCTCTGCAGTTGTAGCTGAGGCAAGCACCTTTAATCTCATACTCTGAAATATCAAATTCAACAATTCAACAGAAGAATACTCCCAAAACAAGTATATTAAATGGGATGTTCCTTTCTCAAGATAAGCCCAATGCTGGCAAGGGAGGAGTCAGTTGACAGCTACAGTTATGAGCCATTTTTCGGTATAAAAACAAAGAACATGTACATGATGTACGATGGTCCAAATACAAACTCAGGAAGTCTATTTAAACGGAAACCAGCATGGTTAAATTGCCTCATTATATTTTTGACAAAAAGCAAAGAAATTAACTCTGCAATGTTACAACTCTAACCAATAGCAATCAGATATACTTACTGGAGGTGTTTTTGTACTGAGATCTCTAGTTAATCTGTCGATGTAGCCCTGTAACATTGTGTTCCCCCCTACTGTAATTACGCTGCTATATAAACTCTGAAACAAATCATAAAGGCATATAAAAAAACAAATCATTAAAGGCATGTAAAAACAATCAAGAATAAGGCAATAAATGTGGTAAAATGAATAGATATTGATGTGAAAGACATTGAAACATGTTTCTTTTATATTACATTGCTGAAAATTAGGAAAAATATTAAATTTAAGGTTCATGCAACTAGTATGCAATCATGTGGGTATGGTTGTATGATATACCTTTGGATAATATTGCAATGACCCATGTTGGCAAGGCATTCTTTCTTTTGAAATTCTCCCTGTTCTTCATTCAACAATTTACTTTGACTAAGTAAAGTACTTCCCCGAATTTATGATCATGTTATGAAAGATTAGATAGCATCTATATGAATACTTTCTGGTTTTGGATAACAATTATTGTATTATGTATTTGGTGAATAGATTAAAAATTAAGAACTCACAGGCCGTATATCGATGTCACACATGCCTACACTGGTTGTAACAACATGACCAGTCCCCAACATGCTATTGCCCTGTGCCTCCTGGAATATAAGAAAATGTAATGTTATTTCACATCATATTATATCACCTATTAAGCTCTATTCATTGCATCATTTCTTTCATTTCTGAGACTTTCAAAGGAAAATTACAAGAGTTATATGAGTTTTGAAAAGAGCTGTGATCTCCCCAAAATAGAAGTAACACAGCAATACATATACAGGATTTTGTTAGAATAATCAAATAATGACAAAAATCTCAATATTTTAAGCACAATACTTTGATCTCAGACTTGTTTTATTAATTCTCACATTGAAAACACAGTAATGTTATGAACCACTGAACATAGAGTAATGTCCGTTACATACCTTTATTACAGATGGATCAAATAGTCCCTCACAGATTTTAAACCTCTCAGAGCCAAAGTCTATATTGTAGCCATTGGGCATCTCGTAGTGTACTGTGGGCATGCTATCTATGGGGCTGCAAAAAGTTATCATTTTCAATTTGCAGACAGCGGCAATATTGTACTAAAGAAAGTATACTGTAGGTATACTTAAGAGAGTACAGATGGACACAATAGGGCTTTAGAAAGATGGTTGATTAAATAGATATAGGTGACACATAATAAATCTTCCTTATTCAATAAAACTTGGTAACGATAGCATCATTGGTACTTTAATGGGTGATGTTTCCAGGGGCATGAAGATTCACACATGTAGAACCAAGCATACAAGATCAACCATATAGGACAAACAGAATACAGAACCAACGGGATCTGACTCAACAATACAGAAGCAAAATATTTGATATTGTGAAATGGAATTTACCTTTCATCATACGGAGCATCTGAGACTTGTAAAACGGAAGCTGCAAAGTCTTGCATTACATCCTAAAACACAAAAATACAATGTTATGTCATGTTATGAATGGAGGTACCTTATTTAGAGCACACAACTCAATAAAGCAATGTACTCTTGGAACATGAAAATACAATGTTACGTTATGTTTTTTAAAGAAGAGAGGTACCTCATTTAGAGCATACAACTCAATAAAGCGACATTCTCTTGGAACATGAAAATACAATGTTATGTATTGTTTGTTAAAGTACAGACGTACATTATATGGAGCATACAAAATAATGTACTCTTTGACCATATTCAGCACGAAAAATCTGAAGAAAATCCACATTTCATATTGAGGGCTGTTCACCAGTCGTCACCAATGGTTTTTTTTTCACACTTGTGTATAAATATTTATGTATTAAAACTTCAACCACACTACAATAATCAAATTAATATACATTTTTATTTTCATAATTCATAATTTGCACGTTTGAAGATCAATAAAACATGCACTTCTAAGCAATAAATAAATTCTATTTGAAAGTATTTAAAGAATGCTTACATACCTTTACCATATAATTGTGGAATGACTTTGTTACTTCTGGTAATTTGTCACGTTTTGTCCATTTTGCAGGCTCACCTTCACCAACTGCTTCCTGTAACAGAGAAAAAATAGTTTATGAAATTAAATTCAATAAAAGTAGTTTTTGTCCAGTTTATTAAGGCACTAAATGTATGTGGACACAGTTACTCAATGTTGTTTTGGTCACATTCCACAAGTTTCTGAACCATTCTAAGACTTTTCTATTTGAAAACACCTGAAGAATGATGACCTTCTTCAAAATCCTGGCTTTGACATTTCTTTATATGAAGGCACAATTGACAAATTATATCAAGCGTGTCACTCACCTTGCTTCCAATCATATAAGGGGGCACAATCTCTATGTTTTGCTTTATATGAAGGCACAATAGACAAATTATATCAAGCGTGTCACTCACCTTGCTTCCAATCATATAAGGGGGCACAATCTCTATGTTTTGCTTTATATGAAGGCACAAATGACAAATTATATCAAGCGTGTCACTCACCTTGCTTCCAATCATATAAGGGGGCACAATCTCTATGTTTTGCTTTATATGAAGGCACTAATGACAAATTATATCAAGCGTGTCACTCACCTTGCTTCCAATCATATAAGGTGGCACTATCTCTATGTTTTGCTTTATATGAAGGCACAATAGACAAATTATATCAAGCGTGTCACTCACCTTGCTTCCAATCATATAAGGGGGCACAATCTCTATGTTTTGCTCATCCATTTGTTTCTTACACTCCATTGAGATATAATCACCTGCTAGAGGAGATTTAACAATGGCTGGAAAATAAGGTGAGAGAATTTAGTGATTTTTATATATGACACTAGGGCGCTGGCCAGGAAGCAACTTTTTCTACTTATTTATTGATTTTTTTCTATTATTTTCTCAGACAAGTTGTACTTTACACAGTGACTCATTTTCAGATCAATTTTAAGATTTGTTAGGGCTTAATACAAAAAGTAATAATTCGTTACATAGAAGAATAACAAAGTAACATACAGCACAGCAAATTCATGTTCCCATGATTCAATTGCATTTACATGACATATCCAGGTCTAACTGTACATATGGCACATTTCCTTTCAACCAAATAAAATTCAGGGTAGTTATTTACAGATTATTTACATACCTTGACTCAATACATATCCATCATATACAGGCACTGCTGTAGTATGTGTAGCTCCACTGTCTAGCACTAAACCAGTAGACCTGCCATTGGCAAAACTGAGACACAGTTAAGGAAGCAAAATAACTTTTGAGTATCTTATCAAATGCACAGTATTTAAATAAAATAAAATGAAACTAAAGGATAATACATTATGAAACATTTCAATAAAAGACAGAAATGTAGGATTCTTCCATGAAATACAATTGAGGTTGGGAGAAGATCATTTGATTTTAAGTTGGACCTCCAATATGGAGCAGATCATGAGTTCTCAATAACAAATATTGGAACATCAATTTCTTTGTCTCACTCTGAACATTATGAATTACAGGTGTATTAGCATAATTGGTTACTGGAGTAATTGTAAAAGGATACGCTGACAGCACTGCATTCTTGCAAAGGAAAAAGGCTGGGACATTGTATTTTTCAAACATCAATTCTGTAAGTTTCTCCCGCTTTCCTTTGCTGTTCCACTATAAAAGCAAATACAAATATTTAGATAGGAGCATGTTTGGTATACAGAGGTGGCGTTAACGCAATTTTTTACGTTTTTTACTCACATTTTTGCAACTCTGACGCAAATATTCATTGTCTACCGAGTCTTTCTGACGCACGTTTGTTTCACATGCAAAATCCCCGCTTGGTACTTGGTTAAATTGATCCCTATACGTGAAAATACGTGATTGATCAAATTTATAATTTTGCTAATTCCGGAAATCTAACATTTCGTTCAGCGCAATCGAGCCTCCTTCCTACCGATCATTTTCTCATTTCGGTATTTCATATAATTTTTAAAGCCCTGTGATTCAGATTCAATGATAAACTTGAAAACATTGATCGATCCCTCGATTTGTTTATCTCGTGTTGCTAGGGGCGTATCAAAAATGCAATAAAACGAACATAACATTGAACAATAATTTATTAAGTTCATACTCCCTTCTAAGGATTTTAGTGATCGTATATTTATCTAAATTACCGCATAAAATCTTCCCTTGAATGTCCACACGCTAGATTTACGAACCTTTAGTTTCCTTCGCAAGTTCGCAAAATTCCTTCGCTAAGTTAGCAAGTTTCATTGAGCCGTCCCCTTCATCAGCATGCGCAGATGTAATGCGCAGTAGGTTTATCAATGGTGCTCACAGTGACCGATCTATCGTAAGTTTTCACCAAGTATTTTCAATTAACTCCCTCAAGTTAAGATCTTCGATTCACTAGATCTGAAGCTGATCCTATGAAGATAGATAATGGGCACATGAAAATCCAGTCGATCGCACATTAAGGGGGGTAATGATGATAAATTAGGTATGAAAACAAATCTACTTTCGGTTTCATTTGATCAGCTATAATTACAAGATTCTACCGTATTCAATTTAAATGATGCCCAGTATTGTGGTCGGACTTATATTGCCGTTTTAGACTTTGGAATGATTGCAAAAATGTTTAATTTCAACATGAAACGCTTTGACCCCAATTTGTGTAACTCCACACAGGGAGAAACTCCTCTCCCACTCCATAATTCACACCCATGACTCGCTGGACCAGATAATCAGATGATTAATAGTGACATTTTTCTTGCAATTGCCTAATTAATTAATTGTTAGTTGTTAATGTGCTATAAGAGTACAATAAAAGGTATGCACAAAATCAAAAAATAGATTTTGTATGTGGTTTCTACATTTTGTATGCATTTTTACTCAAGAAAAACACTTTTATAGCTTTGACTCAACTTTTTTTCTTGTGACTCACTTTTTTGAAACTACCTGAGTCATGATGACTCACAAAAATATATGCCTACTGCCACCGCTGTATAGTAAATCTAGAATCATTGAAAACTCAAAATATGATTGGCATGCATTTAAAACATCCACCTTACAGCTTAGAACAAGAAATATTCACACTAGTACATGAAAATGCACCCTACTAGCACAGAAAAATTCACACCAGTATAAGAAAAATAATCTGAATACAGGATATATTCACTCTAGTGCAGGAAAAATTCAGTACACTAAAGATATTCACAGTTGTCCCTGAAAAATGCATCCTGGTTCAGAAGAAATTCACTCTAGTATGGGAAAAACACTTTAATCCTAATTCAGAAAAGTCACCCTAGTACAGGAAAAATTCAGTACAGGAAAAATTCACCTTAGAACAGGAGATATTCACCCTAATACAGATTACAGATACATACTAGTACAGGAAATACTTACAGCTGGTTCTGACATGAGGACTGGATGCATATTAGATTCAGATCTGAGATGTCGCTTGTACACATAGTCTAGCATCTGTTCAAATAGGTCCCAGTTTTCAACTGAAATACACAATAATAACAATACAGTGAAGCACACATTTTTAGCTCTTATGATATGATATAAGAGTTCATAGGCCATAGGTTCATAAAAGGGCACCTAAAATGAATACTAGTATATTGATATAGGATGAATAATTTCAATGGTGTCATCAACCCTGTTAATTATACATGGAAGGAATGTTGTCTGAAGGCCATTTACCAAAGAAAAACCAAACATTTCCATGACATGTTTAGATCAGACATTGATGTTTTGAAGTGCTCCCTCACAGGATTTAAAATGTAGATATCTGAAAAATAGTAACTTCTATTTAAAAGTTGTCAAATATCCATGTTTTTCATGTCTTTCCAAAATTTCAATGGAAATTTATGAACTAAGATTGCAAAGTACATGTAACTCTCTAATACTAGCACATGGTTTCTTCAATTCTGCAATCACTGTACATTTAAATATATGTCATTGCAAATACAACCACAAAGACATAGATCTCAACTCACCCATTCCTTCTTTTAAACAAGATGTCATTTCCATATCATTCCTTGCGACTCTAATTGAATTTGTATCAATGTAATATTTTGACTGTGAAGCTACTGGGCCATCTTCAGTCTCCATCTTCTCAGCATCAGCAACATCCATCATACCAACAGCTGTGGGAACTTCAGACTAAAATAACAAAGATAATTATAACATGAGACTTAATCTGGGTTTCCACAACCTTTTCAAAATGAAATTCCAGAAAAAATAATTTCCAGTTTTTATGGCTTTGTATGTCAGTGAACTGTGTGACTAATCAAAAACTTTATGAAGAGGATATTTTTCATCAATTTTATCTTTACATTTTGAGCTCTGATGAAAAGATTCCATTGAACAGTTTCCAAGCAAGTATTATAATTTCATTCATTTTAGTCCCTATTTGACCAATTTTGTTGCAGCCTTCAAAATGTTATAACTTATATGATACATCCTTAAACCATAGCAACTGTTAGTGTATTCTGGTTGAAGTCTTGTTATGTACGCTATAGTTTAAGTTTCAATTAAAAGTTTTTACAATAAATCATGAATTGCATCTTGAAACAAATATCCAAGGATGATACAATAATAATATGTCATAAAATTGTGATAATTGAGGAATTCTGGCTCTGCATATGATATTCAATGGAAAGGAATATAGTGATATTGGCGCCCCCCATTTAGTATAACTACATGTTAAATTGTATTGTAAATTTGATACACTAGTATATATTAATACCCTAACTCAAGATGTAAGGAAGAAAACACCATCAATCTGATAGACCTACCTTGGGGTTGTCCTCTCCTGCATAGCCAGATCTGATTGAGAATGACCCATAATCAAACACCAGTGCACCAACTTCATCTACAGTAAAATGTAAAACATGTTAGTATTGAACTTAAAGAGATCAGGTCTCCTAAAAACACAATTAGAGTAACCCCCAATTTTTTTTGTGTTATATGATGTAAAACAAGTTTGTTTATCAACTTGTCAATTCTGAGGCTTGAATTAATTTGTTAACAGTATCAATTAGATGCTTGTTCCTAGCCATGAATTTCCACTTACATCAATGGAAATTAAAATTAAAATTTAAAAACCCGCTCAAATTTGTTCCAGTCTGATTGGCTTTTTCCTTCAGATTATTTTGGCTTAGAGAAGCCATATTTAATACTTCTTAGGGGTTACAATGTAGATAAATCCCCAAAAACATTGTATTCTGTTTTCGACTTATTGCGTTCAATTCTGACAGTTGGTTGTTCTGTTGATATCCTCAATAATCTCTTATTATCTCTTTAATAAATGGGCTTCAACATAGGAAAATTGGTATTATCACAAGAGTTAAAATTGAACAACAGAACCAAAAATGTACTCAAGATTAAAGAGGAAAATGTGTTTAACTCAAATCCTTCTTTTGGTAAATATATCTGCAAGAAAAAATTGTTATGCCATGGCTCATTTGAAAGGTCTCTTTATGAACAAAAAATCAAATTATTGAAAAAATCTGTGATAAGACCCCTTTTCCTGTGGCCTGGCTCAAATGTAAATTCAAGATGTCCAATGAATATGTGGATAGAAAATATATAATAATACATTACATGGCAAAGGCTTATTGCTACTCAAAATACTTCACAATTAAGCCCTGCTAAACTAATACCAGACACTTTTACGACTTTATTATATGGCAAATGCCTATTGCTTCTCAAAACTGGTAAATGTTTGCACTTGAAGTTTTGAAGACTGTCTGGTCAGACATTTTATGACTTTAGATGGCAAAGGCCTATTACTACTCAAAATACTTCACAATTAATCCCTGCACAACATACCAGACACTTTTACGACTTTATATGGCAAAGGCCCATTGCTTCTCAAAACTGGTAAATGTTTGCACTTGAAGTTTTGAAGACTGTCTGGTCAGACATTTTTATGACTTTAAATGGCAAAGGCCTATTGCTACTCAAAATACTTCACAATTAATCCCTGCACAACATACCAGACCCTTTTACGACTTTATATGGCAAAGGCCTATTGCTTCTCAAAACTGGTAAATGTTTGCACTTGAAGTTTTGAAGACTGTCTGGTCAGACATTTTTATGACTTTAAATGGCAAAGGCCTATTGCTTCTCAAAATACTTCACAATTAATCCCTGCACAACATACCAGATGCTTTTATGACTTTACATGGCAAAGGCCTATTGCTTCTCAAAACTGCTAAAAGTTTGCACTTGAAGTTTTGAAGAGTGGGGAAAGGGATGGTATAAAACTGCAACTAACCACCCATAGACTCCCTGGCTGGACAACTCAAAGGACTTTCTTAGAATACTTGTGATAACCATACATATTCTTATCTAATCAATGAGTAATGATGCAATGGAAGTTGATGATAAAAATGTAAATACTCGAATACTTGATCAAGCAGTAAAATAAAACATTATCATATGTTGTTTAACAACAACAGTAAAATCACTTATTCATGTATCACTTTAATCATTCTAGAGAAATCCAGGTGGTATACTTGGTTTGTTTGTTATACTTTTCATGCCACCAAACTGAGAACTTGACTTTGATTCTTATGCCTAAGCAAAGGAAGAGATTTCCCAAATTTGAACAATAACACTATCATATTCTATGACCAATTTTAGAAACTGGGATCATTTGCCATTTAAATTGATCACTGAATGTTTGCTGTTGTTTTCTGAATATAATCCTAAAGTTTAGATAGCATAACTGAAGTAGTATTTATTACCTTAGTTTAGAATTGAACTGAGTTCAACTGAGATAACATTAACTGCCGTTTCATTGATTTCAAATTTCACTTTCAACATATGGGAGTTACTCACTTCTGGCTGTATAGAGTCTATACAATCTGGTTATTATGACAACTTAGGACAATTTTGCATGCACCATGCACAGTGCCCTATTAGAAAATTATCATTTCAAAGCCCATTGGCTTGCTTGAACTATTTATCAATTGTGGACGGTTCCCCATATGGAATTAAACTAAGATAATACGTCCAATCACGTCAGTCATAATGAAGTGACTGTGTCATTGACTGGTGTTGGCATGAGCTTTCAAGAGATCTTGAAAATCTGCGATGCGGGGCTTTGGACCTACCAATCAGATTGCTCAGTTTTTAAAACAAAAATGGCAAAAAATATTTGTGAACAGGTTACCATAGAAACAATCTATTCCAAGAGAAGAGCTTTCCATTGATTAAAAGTGGAGTATACATTCTTGGTCAAAGAACAAATACATATTAATATTTTAACAAATTAGCTCTTGGAGGCAATCTGCGTCAGTTTCACTTTTATTGTTTTGATGCATGAGCTCACACGACGACTCGTGCACAGAAGAGAAAACGTACTTGCTTGCACTGTATTATTTAGTCTTTTTCGTAAACTCAGATAGTATTTATTCATGAATGGATCATATCTCTATAAGTGTGCTGGCGCGTATAAAAATTGCCGCACACTTTCATTATAACCATCTCATATTTTTGCATGTGTAGTTTCCATTTGATTAGAATATCTTCCATGGTCATTTCTATAAGCAAGGGGAAAAGTACTATTGGGCTCAATATAGAAGTCGTATAGAATTATGCTATATTGAGCTAACAGTACCTTTCTCTTGGCCTATGGTCATGTCAGAATCAGATAATGGGCGATAATAAGTGATTTCTTTGTTTTGCAAACATTGCATTCGTTATCTATGGCGTTATACACATCTATTCACTCATAAAATCAAATGATTAGATTCATTTGTATACCATACCTCCACCATATACTCCTCCGCTCATACTGATGTCATATATTTCAGAAATCAGTCCTAAATTAAACAAAATATGATTTTTCAAATTTCACAAATTTTACTTCGGGTATCTCCGGTAAACTCTGGAAAATCTAATTCTTTTTGTAAAAAGATATAGAACAATGCATTATTCACTAAACATTCCATAGATTAGTCTAGATATAAAGTTTTGTAATCCCAATAGTCGCCATGAGAATCTACAATGAAGATGCAATTGTTTGATAAAGCCTTCGGTAAATTCCGGAAGTGCTGCTGTCGAGAAAGAGAAAAATTTCGCCAGAGCTGAAGGATGAACATTTCTCGTAATATTATGATATTTAGCTGACTTGACTGTGATATAGATACATCTCCGAGGTAACTGTAAGTTATTAAACATTTCTGACTTGTTCTTTTATCCTAACAAACGTGTTGACCTCATGTTAGTCCTTGAGTCTCCCAATTCAACAAGATTTTGGTCTGTGGGGGTGGGGGTAGTATGTATCCAACAGACTGACTAGAAGTCAGTCTGTTATGATGTACTACTTTCCTGTGGAAATTGCAGTGAAATTTTTTGCACAAAATTATCAATTAGAGGAACCATTTCTTTAAAAAAATAAACATTACAAAATGTCAATTAAATAGTAAGGTACAATTAAATGCAATATAAAGTAACACAGCATATTGCCAAGTGGAAATAAAGCTAGTTGAAGTAAAAATGTGCAAATTAATTTTACCCAATCGGCCATTTTGAATAGCACTTCCTATGTAAACAAATAATTTGAATTACCAAACTTTAACATAGGTGCCTTATAGTCTGAATATAATTCAGACTAAATAGGATATAGTCTAGGGGTGGGGGTAACCAAACCCGTTTGGCCCAGTTATTTACTCCCGACCTCGTAGATCTGGGCCAGACAATGTCCAATGCAAAAAATGGGGTATTTACTCCGGAAAAAAAACACACTGGTTTTTCAATGTATAATACGTGCTGATAAATGAATAAACATCATAAAAGTCACTTACGTGTTTGTTCCTTGTATCAAACTTTGTATTTATATAAGGTTTCCATCGCTGGATGACGGCTAATAAATAAGAACGAAACGATTAAACGCAGCAAAAAGAGAAATTCTTCTGCAATCTGTTCGTGATCTTGTAGAATATCAAGAAGTCTCGGCTGCATATTTCGTTCAGTACTACATTCGGTCAGTTCAACAAATTGAAAAATCGTATTTAATGTCCACCATATTTCTTTCCAGTCTAAATACAACACAGATACGTCTGTTTTATAAAGTTATCTACGTTTTGATAAGAAATTTGCTGAACAAATCGTAATATTTGGAATGTATTGATTCCCGGGAAATGTAGTTTCGTTCCATGAAAGTTTAAAAATTATCGCGTCACACTCGTGTTACGTCACATCACGTGACTTTATTCGGTGCGGAGAACTGACGAAATATAGACGAAATGTTGTGCCCATTTCAACATCAAAATAAGAAACAAAACACCACATTTACGTGTAAGTTATGTACTCTTTATTTCAAATAAATACTTAGGTTTACATGTAGCCCGATGTTTTGGTTGGATGGCTAATAGGGAATGAATAATAAGTGATGATTCAGCGACATGTTTTTTCCTGAGTAAATCCCCCCTTTTTTGCATTGGACATTGTCTGGCCCAGATCTACGATATCGAGAGTAGATAACTGGGCCAGACGGGTTTGGTTAGGGGGGGGGGGTGTTCTCTTTTATCATCTGCTGGTAAAGTGTTATCGAGGTTTATTTGCAACTGGTTAGTTGAATCTAGTAATCAAATTTAAATACATATTCTATGTATCATTACAACATGGGACAATAATCTACACATCTTACACTTTATAATAAAATACCTGCTTCAATAATTCAGTCTATTGATCATTATGTCCCTCCTGTGGGAAAAAACAGGAAATTTCAGGCACACAATTATCAATTTTAGGAAACTTCCCTTCCCAAAAATAAGCATTATAACAATTCAATTAAGTAGTAAGGTACAATTAAATGCTATGAAAAGTAACACAGCATATTGTCAAATGGAAATAAAGCTAGGGGAAGTAACAAGTATGCAAATTAATTTACCCAGTCGGCCATTTTGAATGGCACTTCCTATGTAAACAAATATTTTTCAATCCCAAATTTTAACATATGTGGGCTATAGTCTGAATATTTTCATTCCAAATTTCAAAAAAAATTCAGACTAGAGGATATAGTCTAGAGTAATGTAGCATTCTTTATGTATTTGAATCCCCAATTGTATAGGTTCATTGACAGAACAAGGACATTTTCCTTTTTCTTTGAGAAAGATCGCACTTCTTTCCAAGATGGTGGTAGGTTCTAGAAAAGGAACCCCCACATTGACATCGGGGTCTGGTGCTGCAGAGCTTGGTGCACGGATAGATGGAGGAATTTTGATGGTTGAAATGATAAACACCTAAGCAAAAATTGCGATCAAAAATGAAAGTTTTCTCATTCTGCTGATAAACCCATACAATTGAATTGGGGATGCAAGTACATAAAAGGAATCCTAAAGTATTCATAAATTTATTAAGGTAGGCATTTTTAGTGTAAGTGGCGTGGATTATTCTCCCATTTTGTAATTTGAATGCAAAAGATTGAGATGTTCACAGGACTATAGTTCTGGCATGGGATAAGACCATAATACTTTTATTTTTTCAAAACTGGGAATGTTCTGCGCTGGCTCTACAATCTTTATCATTTCAGTAGATTTAACTTTAGCTGCAATATTTACTCAGAAAGTAAGTTGAGTGTCTGAACACCTCATTAGAGATTGCTGCAAGTTTTGCGCCCTTGGAAGAACAATGGATCAAGCTTAGAATCGTTTTAGGTAAGAAATATGTGCCAACAGTACAGCTAGTGCAGAAAATTTTCTGTCTTTCAAAAATAAAGTATTGGTCAGTTGATGCTCTCCATAACCAATTTTAAAAGGTTGTAGATCAACTTGCCACATGATAAATATTGCTCACCCTAGCTCGTTCCAGTTATATGTTTTCGCTGAATAGACTAAATGTGAGTAGAAATAATCTTGATTTAAGGAATCTACATGTAAAGTTACATCTAGAAATGTGGTTTTGAAAAGAGTTCATCAACTTTGAAATTTCAATTTTCTTTAAAAATGTGACTTCCAGGTCGGGGAGATTCCCCATAGACCCCATGTTGTAAAATCACAATAAGTGAAATATCTTTTCTTGTGTTGGGCAGATGCCATTTTCTGTTACTGGACATATTTTAATTTGTACAACTATCAGATTCATAAGGGTACTATGAAAAGTGGACCACTAAAACCGATGAATATTCAAGTTTAAAGTAACTTTCTATGATTTCATCTAAAAATTAAAACCCTTGGAAATACTAAATATGGTTTAAGTGCCATATATAAAAATTTATTTTAGAAATATTGTGGATCAAAATGAAAAAAAAAACAAAAATAAAGAATAAAAACATATTCCACCGGAGGGATTTGAACCCAGATCTTTTGGAATAAAAACTCTGTTAGAGCCCAAAGCTCTAACCACTACACCAAACTGCCAAAGCTTCCTGAAGAAAGTAATTCTTTATCTATATAATCTTGGACGAAAAAAGTCGTATTTTCATGCTTAAATTTCTTAAAAATGATCAGCATTACTACTAATAATAACATTTTGCATGTCTGAGTAAGTATTTTGATCTACATTTAGGATAAATGTTGTTCTATTCAGTTTTCATTTTGGGTATGACTTCCTGTCAAAACAGTGTTAAAAATGCAGGGCTCAACAAAAATTTTCAATTAGAAAATGATATATATCCTTTGATCAGCTGTTTTTGGCACCTGAACTCATCCTACTAGAAAGGTAAGAGCATTTTCTTGAGACATATGGCTCGAAATCTCACATTTCTCCTTTTAAGTCTTAGAAAGACACTTTAATACCCTGCCATGTTATTTCCCCCAAATTAGCCACCTGGTGGCCAAACTGGTAACTACCTACTTGCATCTGAGTAATTAATCTTGGCATCCTGATTAATAGAATTTGTCAGATTTGACAGATTTTTAGGTTGATATAATTTGGCTCAAATTGATTACCTGAAAATCTAATTTATTTTAATTTTTATTGCAGGTTTGCTGCTACAGTAATTCAATATATTTCAATCAACTAAAGTGCCAGCGCATCAAAAGCCACGTATCTTAACAGAAAGACAATATGCCAATCCCTAACACACTACCCCAAGGATATTCTGTCAAGGGAACATCTGATTTCAAATCTCGCTCAGAAGATATATTTGCATCATTAGGTGCACTTGAAGAAAAGGCTGCTGTGCATAATCGTTATGACTCAGGCTCTGGAACTTCATCATCAAGTGCTTCACAGGACAGTCCTTCAAGTTCAGGTTCATCAAGTCGTCTCAGATTATCCCAACCGCGAGTAGATTCTGACTCTAAATCATCATTTAAGCGACCAAGGAGCCCTCCATCTAACGAAGGACGTAAATATGACTATTACTTTAAAAGACCTGGGCAAGGTAGAGGGCAGCACAGGTCACAAAATAAATTACCCGATCATAAAGGCGATTCTAAGAAATGGAAAAAATACTCATTACATGATGTTAAAACTGATCAAATGAGTGAAGAGGCTAATACTAATGCCGCTTTAAGCTTCCTGGCTACATTAAAAGACAGACATACTGACGAATCTGACAATAAAATGGATTCAGGAAATGACACGCCCAAGACTGATTCCGAAAGTGCATCATGTTCAGGAAAAGTTGTATTTAAAAAACCTGTTAAGGATAAACAGGAATCCAGTGCTAATGAACCTACTGGTCAATCTTCTTCAAGTGCTACTGTATTGAATGCTAACTTTGGAGCTAAACATGTTATGCCAGAATATAAAGTTGGAGCTAGTAAGGCTAAGAAGAAAAAGAAAAGCCAAAAGAGTTCTTTGAACTGTGACAAGGTTAACCTTGGTCATTTAATGGATGATGAAGATGAAGAGAATGATTAAGCCAACTATTTAAAATATGGCTCATTATACATGCACACATGTACTCAATCTGTAACATATAAGTTATGTACACGTTGATGTCTGTTGTTTTAGGAATAAATGAGGTCATATTCTCTTTAAAAATATGTCATTTTTTTCTTTGAAGTGTATTTGATGTGCTTCTCCATTACAAAATACATACTCGTCTGATATACTTCCTTGATCAATACAATACAGGTCATTATAGCATCAATATTTTCACAGTCACTCTGTCTCGATTGCAAGGGCTCTCATTAGGCTTTAAGACCATAGTGGAACACAACAGTCTGAACAACTTCAACCACAGACAATCAATAGACTAGGCATGATCATTGCCAACATTTGTACTTGCTAAATAAATACGTTATCTATAAAAAGTAAAAAAATAAATATGATTTAACACAGTAACTAAACTATATAAAAACAATCCTTACTGGAGTCTGGTGAGAGCCCAGGTATATGCTTTTTTGGCTCCCTTGAAAATCAAATAGTAGGTACTTCTAACATATACAGGGTGAGCCAAAAAAGGTAACCCAAGCAAATCTGAATAACTCAGTCATCCAGTATGTGTTTTAAGTCATATTTGGCACAATTGAACCTTGTTCAATTTGTTCTTTCATTCTTCTCAGTTTCATTGGTCTACTTCCAAAGTTCCTGAGCTCCAAATGCTAATACATAATCACCCAAAATCTCTATCACCCTTTATGAACCCCAGAATTTTACCTCTGGGGCTATTTCATAGAAAATATGAATAGTTAACAGCCCTAGAAGCATCAGAGAGTTGAAACAAAAGATTGAAAGGGAACTGAGAGGCATGACGCAAGATATCTGTGAGCGTATGTTGTCAGAAAACTTTATCCCTTGCGTTCAAGTTTGCCTCCAAAGACAAGACCAGCATTTTGAGCATGTTTTGTAAAATGGCCATATTTGCAATGAATAGACCAATGAAATTTGGATGACTGAGTTATAGTTTGTTTAGGTTACCTTTTCTGGCTCAGCTCACCCTGTATCAACGAACTAATGCAAATGTTATCTGTTAACACCAAAACTTGAATATATTATTAGTTAGTAAATGGCAAGTATCCTGGCAAGTATCATGGCAAGTCCATCATTAGATGGTGTTACTTCTTTTTGTTTTTATCAATATATTTCATGGTCTCTCTGAGGGAGATCTTTTCAAATGGAACATTTTATGAATTTGATTGAAGTGAATATTTGTATTATTATAATTATAAAAAATGTCCAAAATAATATTAACATGAAATTGATGGATGATGTATTTGCATTTGCATTTTTACACAACTATGTACTTTAATTCAACCAGTTCCTCCTATATCAGTTTTAGGTGAGATGAAATACACATTGAAACCCCTAATCTTGGGAGCTGAGGTTGAGGGAATCAAGCTATCAGAAACCATACCACACTCCACAGTAGAATCTCTGAAAGAGGATGTCACAAAACACAAGTTGCTTGTTTTCAGGGATCAAGGTACAGAGGGGGTTTTGTGCTTGCACTGTGTATGTTACAAAAAGAACATAACAAATGCTAAATGACTCCTAACATATTTTAGAAGTGGGGTATAATATCTCCTTGAGGGGGTGGGGGGAGCAGGGGGGATAGGGGTTTCTGTTTCTCTTACCTTTTTTTGGAACCCTAATATTTTATATTATACATGACATAACATTTAAGTTGTAAATTCTAAACCTAATAAAAGAAAAGTGACATTAACCATATGTTTCTGTTGGAAGGCCCTTTAACCATATTTAGACAACTAAATCTATCCATGTAAAGACCATACTGAGTGGTTTATTTAGCATAAAAATGGGGCAAATCTGGAAATTAACAAGAGGGGTGGAAAAGTTGAGGTCAGTTATCTTCCCCAATATTTTAGCTCACTTTCTCAAAAATGAAAATTCTTCAGATTCACTAGATTAACCAGTGAACATTTCAGAATAACATTGAGCGTGTTATTTGCAGGCAAGTTGACAGCAGAGCGGCAGGTTGAAATAACAGAATGGTTCGGAGAACTTGAAACTGTAGGATTTGAATGTCATCCTAAATGCAGTCATCCCAAGGTCCTAAGATTGTCTAATGATGCCACAGAGGGGTACAAAGGTTTTGGCAATAAGGGCTTTCATATTGATGGTTCTTTCCTGGAGAAGCCTAATTCATATTCAATCTACCACATAATAACTCCTAACAGAGGAAAAACAAGTAAGATTCTTGTTAAAAGATTAAAACTTTATTGGGGCCTGATTTCTATGTGCATATGAGCCTGACCAAAGGAAAACCGGTTTTATCATAAATATTAAAATTGTGCTGCAGAGCCAAAAATGTACCCAAAGAAAAGGAAAATGTGCTAAATTTAAATCCGCCTTTTTGGTCTATATATGCAAGGAAAAATTGTTAAGACACAAGCCATGGCTCATTTGTGTTTTTTTTAAAATAATCAAAAAATCAGAATATTGAAAAAATCTGTGATAAGACCCCTTTTCCTGTTACCTGGCTCATATACAAATGGGGGAACCATGAGGAAACAAATAGCAGACACCTAGGCTAGTAGCAACTTGCAAGCTTGTCTTTAAAAATTGATGAATGAAACCAACTCTTCCGACAGTCCTTAAAATATTTAATTACAACTTTGGGTCCATTGAAATGTTGACATTGTCCTTTGATATCTGTTAACTTGTTCATGTATGTTCAACTTATCCTAGGAGCACACATTTTCAATGTCTTACTCTTTTATTTTATAATTGTTTCAGTATTTGTCTCTCTGAATGCAGTCTGGAAAGGCCTGTCTAAGCAGCAGAAACAGAAGTGGAAAGAGTTATATGTGGTCAAGAAGTGGGGTCGGGATAAACAAGGTAACAGGATGCCCCCTGGATCAATTGTTCACCCCCTGGTCTACAGACATCCACTAACACATGAAAAGGTAACAGCATACCCAACCCCAGGAGATAAAGTTGTATTTCTAGCCTCTCTCTATCTGAACAACTTACATCATTTTCATGAAACTCGCAGGTTTTAGGCTGATTTAAAGATGGCAGTAGTGTAGTTCATACATAGCCCATATCCTGTAGCCCGTTGATAAATCCGTTATATGTTATATATAGTTATTTTAGGATTCAAGGTTCACAAGAAATACTTTCTAGTATATCCCTCAGACATAGTGAACTTTACTTGACAGGGTGCACGTTTAGCCTGAAATAAAGCACTTAAATCATTTGCTCCAAGTTTTTTTGGTACACTTAAACTAAACTTTAACAAACTCTGGTCCATTATTCTAAAATCTCAACAGAAAATGTATATTGATTGAAAATATTATGTCAGTTACAGCCTAAAATATACAGATTTTTCAATGACATTGATCAAAACTTCATCATCACCATACCTTATACCTTTAACCTCCTATTGCCTAACCCTCATGTATTCATAGTATACTCTCATCTTTTGCAGACATTATGTGTTCACCTAGGAAAGACAGCTTACTTTAATTATCGCTACAAACAACCAGATGAGAGACTACTGAATGAAGAAGAAAGTGCAGAAATAATTCGGGAGATAAAGAAGCAGTTTGATAGAAATAATAAAGAGTTGCAGTATGGACATGAGGTGTGTTTTTAATGCATCTACAATAAACCTGTCTATAGGTACAGTAAAACCTGTCTATAGGTACAGTGAAACCTGTCTATAGGTACAGTGAAACCTGTTTATAGGTACAGTGGAACCTGACTATAGGTACAGTGAAACCTGGCTATAGGTACAGTGAAACCTGGCTATAGGTACAGTGAAACCTGTTTATAGGTACAGTGGAACCTGTCTATAGGTACAGTGAAAGCTGTCTATAGGTACAGTGAAAGCTGTCTATAGGTACAGTGAAACCTGTCTATAGGTACAGTGAAACCTGTATATAGGTACAGTGGAACCTGTCTATAGGTACAGTGAAATCTGTCTATAGGTACAGTGAAACCTGTCTATAGGTACAGTGAAACCTGTCTATAGGTACAGTGAAACCTGTCTATAGGTACAGTGGAACCTGTCTATAGGTACAGTGAAACCTGGCTATAGGTACAGTGAAACCTGTCTATAGGTACAGTGAAACCTGTCTATAGGTACAGTGAAACCTGTCTTAAGTACAGTAAAACTTGTCTTAGGCATAGAAAAACTTGTCTTAAATACAGTAAAACCTGACTTATTAGTACAGTAAAACCTGTCTTATTAGGTGTTTGCTACAGCCAGTGTTATATTACACATAAATTTGTGGTATTACCTATTGAGACTTACACTGATGAAATAATAAATTTGTATTTTTTGTCAAAGCTTTCAACTCATGTATTCAGTTAACATATGAGAAAAAAACACTCATTTTTTTTATTTGGTCTAACATGAATAATCTGTTTTTAAATTGATTGGAATCATAAATATATTTAAGTTGGGTCATAGAAGAGGAAAAAAAGCTGAAAAGATTATCTCCGATGCAATTAAAACCTGCATATCCTGGCCTACTTATTAAAAATTATTGTCAGTTACACATACAACAGAACAGGATATCAAACTCTACAGAAATTAAGTTGGCAATCTAATTAAATACTGCTTAACCCTAACAAGGCAGATGCAGGAAATATGTGAGAAATGACTGTACCCATGTTTCATTTAATTGATCGGGAGATATGCCAGCCAGATGGAAAAGATTTTGCCTAACAAAACTATTCACTGTAGAGGGTTGATTAAATTGGAATTCAGTGTTCACTAACACAGGTTTTACTGTATAACTTGGAGCATCAACATCAATATTTTCCAAACTAAAACTGTTAGTTCACTTACAAAATACAGGTTTTGCTATCTGATCACAGCCAGTCATTTATTTCCTGTTTTCAAATTGGGGTTAAATAGTCCCACATACTGACATAATGTTAGTTTTATGCTGCAATTGTTGATTACACAAATTCCAACCACCAACCTCAAATATGATTCATGATTGTGTCAAGTTTTGCATTACTTTTCAGTGGCAGCCTGGTGACTTCATCATTACAGACAATTTAGCTCTGGGACATGTCGCAGATGAGGCAACCCAGCAAGATCCAAGTGTGGTTGGGCTGAGGATATTACACAGGACAGTTACCAAAGGAACACATAGACCAGTTTCATGTGCAAGTTCCACAACAAAATGTAAACTTTTATGACCATCATCTTATAAATATTGGTGATACATTAGTTGTAATGCATATGAACAGTGCACTAGTAAGGATGACAATATGGACCTACAAGTTCCAGCCAGAAATGTTTTAAACGGGCAAAACAATGTGAGCTCAAATGAATGGAAATGATAATCTATGATAGTTTAAAACCAATTGGACAGTCAGAATCTTGTAAAATTTACTTTCTTTGCCACATTGTAATTCTTATAGCAACAATTTTTAGAATCTCACTATTTATTTTTAATAAACTAAAAGTGCAATATTAAACAAAACATCATATTTGGTTCCTCAATCCCAATTTGTACTTCATGTACGTTTTTTCTTTATTGAAACAACTTATTTACATACGTACATTGTTTCTTGCATTTTAATATTTCATGTCACACAACTTCAACATCATTATGGTTACTATGTCAACAGCTGTCCATAGTAACACTATGAGCCCTTAGTTACCAAAAGCGTATGTTACATGCGTACAATCTATGCATGGCGTACAATCAATGCATGGCATACAAATCAATGCTAAACACAAAATGAGACTATATCTAGTTTCCAAAACTATATATACATAAATGTGATATACATTAACATCATAGCGAATTACTAGGTCCCAGGACACATATAAACTCCTATTCTGTATTATTTACACTATATTAGGCCCTGTTGCCTAGTAGCTCCCCTGATGCAAGTCACTATGACAGCTGTTGCTATGGAAACCACATATTACTAACAGCAGTAAATGCTTGCTGCCTAGTTTTGGATAAATGAACCTTCGTGGTGGCTAGAGACATGAATAGGCTGGCCTGTTGACCTGTTGACAGGTATTGCACAGACACGTTACAGGCCATACAAAATGTCTACATAGCTAATGCTGATGTCACTATGACTTTTACAAAAATAGTATTGTCCTTGTTAACAACAATAATAATGTACAATTGGCAAATATTGAGGTATAGTACTTACATGTGATTAAATGTGGAGAAACTGTACATTTACATTTTTTGCAGTTTTCTTGAAAAAATTACTTGACCATAATCACATATTACAACTTTTGTAATATGAAAAGTAATAATTACAATATATTCCTGATTTGTACTCCCAAACTTTCTGAATACTTTGTACTGGTAGTAGTACAATTATACATCTCAATAAATAATAATAAAATACTGAAGAAAAGAGTGTGACGGTGTAATTACATAACAAAGGTTATAATAAAGGCAATACAAATGTACAGTTATAATAATCAGCTGCCAATTGGTATTCAACAACTGCCAATGAAAGTCAACGATTGTCAATGATATTCAACAATTGACAATAATATTCAACAACCATCAATGATACTCAACAATTATCATGTGTCAATGATATTTAACAAATGTCAATGATTTTCAATGGCTACACTTCCATCTAATACACAACAGCAAAAACACTCCTCTTGATGCAGATGACTGAGGTCTACTATTCTCACATGAAATTGTAAATTATTGAATATCTACTAACAACGCAAGTTTGTTAATAATTATGTTTGGAGAGTGTGCACCTATTAATCCCTTGGGCTAATCAAAAGGTTATTTTGCAAGATTTGGTTCGCAAGCTATAAGGTTCTTTTAAAAATGCAATATAGTAATTATACTTTTAGCCTCATATTCATTTCAAATACAATCACCCCAGGAACAAGCCCATGGGGTACTATTCTATCACTTGTATTCTTGGATGTTACATTACAGCAAGCAAATTTATTATTATGATATACTTAGTTTACACATATTGATAACCAAACCCAGTCATGAAATATCTGTACAGAAAAAACTTTATACAATGGTAGTCCCCACCCTTAAATATAGAAAAGTACACTAGACACATGTACAGTTACATTGTACAGTACAGTACACAAGATAATGTAAGGATGTACTACAGTCTACATTACACAATGTAAATGTACAGATACACAGAAATTTACACATTGTAAATGTACAGATGCAAAGTATATCGCGCTGTGTAATGTACAGTTACATAGTACAGCATACTATATATCTAAAGTCTTGTCTTACAATACACTAGATAAATGTAGTCATGTACAGTACACAAGGAAAACTGTACAATTACGTAGTACAGTACACTTTAATACTGTACACTCGATAACCTAGTTGTACTAAATGTCACAGGAAATGGCATATGATGAAATTAAACAACAATTGTTAAATGTTTTCATCTTTGAAAAAGTCATCGACAATAGTGACAAAATAAGTGACAATAGTGACGAAGTAAGTAATATCCCAAGCCATGAAGAGTACTAATTGACTATACAGAATACATACAATATCTGAAATAAGTATTATAACTTAAAAACATGAGTTCATTGGAAGACATTTTCCCAAGAATTCGAACATTTGTACCAATTCGAAAAACAAAATGTTTCAAATGATTGGATCTCTTGGGTCACCTGATTGGCCTAAACCTAATGCTTAACACTATTTTACTCAATACAAATACTTTCTTAATGTTACCTTGAAAATGGAAATAATGCAATTTCATTTAAAGCTATTTTTATGTGTGTATTAATACATGCAAGTAGTGCTGTCATGGTTACACAGAACACATTTCCTGTCATGTCTTTTTTCAAATAATTACGAAACATCATCTCAGAGATTAAAATTAATGTTACAATAATAAATATACATAATATATAAAGCTGGGTATATACTAATATATATCACATTTCGGTTTAAGCAGCTTTACATAACAGTATATATGTCAATTGAAAATATTTACAGGTCATGAAAATCAGGATCGTAGCTAGGCAGAATGTTTCAGATCTTATTATTTCTCATGTGAAACTGTGAACCCTTTGGCCTATTTAAGTTTTATATATTTTGGCCTAGTTATGACACTGTATGAGTGAACACATTTCGGATACATTGTTTTGAAATATAAACCAGAAACTGAGACCTTATGTATATAGCAATATGAATTGAACATTTGATGGTACAGAACATACTTCAGATTATAGTCCCATTGAACACTTTTCAGTTAACAGAGTTGCTTCGCTTGTACACGATATATGGATTATAACTAGCACCACGCTGTACATATATTAATACACAAATAGCAGGACAAAATAGTATAAAAGCAAAACCTGTCTGACGAAACACTTCTCCCTTCAAAGGAACACCTCCTTATAAAGAGCTGTATTTTAAAGAACCAAGTACTATCGACTTACACATTAATGGAACTTTTCTTTAAACAATATCTGCCTACTAGGAAAAAAAATATTGACCAGTATAGAGGGTGTTCCATATATACAGGTTTTACATGTACAAGATATTGTCAGTTAGTAGATTAAATGAACAAGATTTACAAAAACACTATCTGGTCAAATAAAGACCAATCATAGCCTAGATGATCGTTCAGAAGTCTAGTAATGGATCATAAAATTTGGCAATAATATACATACACGACATATGCTTCATATCATCATTTGCAAATGTTGTTACTTCAATGGTCAGTGCATACTTCTTAGTTAAAATGTAAGTTCAATAAAGTGGTGATTACTGTAGCCTAGGTGAGCATATATACATGATATATGACGGAGAAAATGGTAAAGGAGCAAGGAAAAGCATGAAAGAGTGCAATTATAAGCAGTGCGGAGTAGGCATTTTTGTACATGAGATTTACCTCAAAGCAGATTTGTTAATGGACCTCAGTAAATGTTCTTCTTAAAGTCACGAGAATTCTTCCACTGAAATAACCTTTTTAGAAAATATGATATCGAAATTTGACAATCTCAAAAATACATTGTTTAAAACATGATATGAGCTTGGAAGGTGCATCAAGTTATCATGAAATATTCATGTAAACTGAAACCACCTTGAGATTCACAATTTGAAATGGTTTATAGGTTTGCTACTTTTTTAGTAGATCTAAATAGAAATTTAGCTGCACATTGTAAACTTTCAACATTTAGAGATTCCTAAAACTGAGATTGCAAAGCAAAAGAGTAAGCTGGTAAACAAAGTTGAATAATATCAGGACAGCTTTTCATTTACAGCAAGGAGAAAAAACAACTGTACACTGCGAGGTATACAATACACTTACAGTACACTGCGAGGTATACAATACACTTACAGTACACTGCGAGGTATACAATACACTTACAGTGCACTGTAGAGCATAAATTGCACATTTAGTGGATTGCAGTGTATTAAATACCTGTGAGTACAGATTTAAGGTATACTACACTAGGCTAACAACAAAAATGAAGATGTTTGCTAAAATACCCATACAGCATATATACTGCAGGGTATAAAATACTCAAACAGTATGCATACTACAGGGTATAAAATACTCAAACAGTATACATACTACAGGGTATAAAATACTCAAACAGTATATATACTGCAGGGTTTAAATAACTCATACAGTATATATACTGCAGGGTACAAAATACTCAAACACTATATACTGATATATACTGCAGGGTATAAAATACCAACAAGCAGAGATTTGAGATTACACTACACTAACAAAAACAAAGAAGTTTGCTCACAAGTTATTTCATGGGAAATTCAAAGAGATGTAAAAACATAGAAACTCAAAACCACAGTCACGTTGAAGGCAAATCACAACGGAGTGATAAAAGGAAAGGGAAAAACTGATTGAGATTCACTTTAATTTCTGGACATGGTGTACCTTTGTGTTTAAATGCTAAGTAAGGGTGTACTAGAATGATATAGCGAGCACTACTACTAGAACTTAGCAGTTGCAGGATGGTGGCTTCAACTGATATATTTCTCACAGTGCCCTGCCTTCATTTCTCTGAGGTAGAGCACTGTCTTAACAGCATTCACCCGCAACCGTACCCGCCTATATATATATATAACATATATAGAGACCAGAGTCCTCTAGAATTGCCACATTCAGAAATACCTCCCTATTCAAATGTGACCTTTGCTAAGAACAGAGGATACTCATAGACATGTAAACTTGAAGTATATTATCGAGAAATTCATGACATTTTTATCCAGCCAGTGATTTCCATATTAATGTGACCAAGGTTTGGCAGTGGTTGATGTACATATGCCTCTATTCTTATATTTTCCCTTTATAACCCGTGAGCTCACTTTAAATAGAGAAGATGCAAAATAAGCATAAAGAAAAGACAGGATAAAGGTTCATATATTCACAAGAGATACATCAAAGCAAGCCATATTTATAGAGCAGCTGTGAATAATAATTTACAGACACCATTATAAGTGCCCGTGTAATTCAATAATAACATGTTGTGAACATGTTAAGTTGAAACTATGTACAAATCTGAGGCTGTCTAATCCACAAGAAAAGGCAAGCAACACAAATCTCAGAATTCAAGAATTCTTAAAACACTAACAGGTAATTATAAATGTATATATACCAAAATGTTTGTTTGTTTGTTTGTTTGTTTCACTGATGGAAGATGTGGACTTAAGCCTCTTAATGTAGATTTGGTGGCCTCAGAAGCTGCCTTTTACCAATCCACAATACTTTGGGATAACATGACTTTAATACGTCCAATAATGAGCAAATTTGTCTAAGTGTGTTTTAATACAATAGAATATTCCCAAATAAATCCCGGAACTAAACTTAACTATTTCCTTAATTAACTTTGGTAGCAATTCACTGACTGCCAATATAAGTGACTCATTTTATTGTGTTTTCACTTGATATATATATATATATCTATGGCAACTGTGTGAGTGGTATCCTACCTACACACTTTTTATATATAACAACACACTCAGTATTGTGTTTTAGGCAGGTACATCACACACTATTGCGTAGTTTCACATTACAATTGTGAACTACCACACAATTGGTGAACTTCATGTGTGAAAACTGCATATGACCAGAATTGCATTGCGAGTGCTCATAGTTTTTTATATTGGAGGCGGATGAGACCAGTTCCGGCCCTAATGGGTCACTGGGCTTTACCTACATAGAAGACCCAACCTTGGACCTAAACAGGCCTAGAAAGGTTTACATGGGGGTCTTGTCGGCCATTATGGACTCATTTCAAGGCGTGGAGCCTCCAATCCCTCCATGCTATCCATATCCATCATTTGCAATTCACCCCAAAGCTTATTTAAAGGTGTTTGAGATGCATACTAATCCAAAACCGTGGAGAAACGAACCACACTTTCATCCTCCAATGACGCCATTTTGAACATTATGAAGATGAATTGGGCTGCTAGGATAACATGTGGACCAGTCAAATTGAATTCTTTCACTATAAAACAATTATCCAATATGACTAGTCCAAGGGGCACCGGTGTTATACTTTAGCATCATCAATGTCATCAAAATGTTTAGTACTGTTGGTTTTGTTTATAAGCTTTTCTTGCACCGCTATGCTGTCATCCATAAGCATAGAGTCCCCTGTGGTCGGGGTTTGCTTCAATTCAGGGGAATTAGGAGACAACTGTTCTGAGTCTTCACTGCCATTATCTGATGCCTTGTCACGGTTTTCAAATATAGACTTGTCTGGTGTTGTCACAAGAATATATTTCTGAAACAGAAAAATCATTCATATTTATTTGATTAAGTTGATTGTTGGATTAATTTTTCATTGAGTCTGGATTATTCTCATGTAGTGTTTGACCTAGACGCTTAGTTATGGTAATATTCTGAGGGATGGATATCTGAATTTTATTTAGGCCTAACCATACATGTAACGCAAATGATTAGAATTGAAATGCCACACAAACCTCTTTTAATGTTGGCGCATCAGCCGTAAGCAGTGTGTAGAGAGCAACTACACCAATGGGCACAATAGAGGCCAGGCCCATACACCAGCCAATGCCATCAGCCCATCCTGGGTAGATGTATTCACCATACTTTGCACCAGAGTACTTTACAAAGCTGAATATCAGGATAGCCTGAAAGATTCAAATTGCAAAAATATTTTAATTCAAAAATCAAATTCAAGTTCCAGAATCTTCTTTGTCATAATTAGAAAAACAATAATCCGCGCAATATATCTACTGCTATACTGAGTAGTTTTGTCCTCAACAAACAAAGTAGTTTTTCCTTCTATTTCCGGGCCACATCGAACTGATAACACTTACATCCAGCTGTAAATCGCTTTAAACTGAACTTATGATTATATGCATAAGACTGCTAAACAATTCATACACTTACTACAATGACAACAGGAGAGATGACCTTCCAGCAAATCCTCCACCACCAACCAGGCTTATCTCCCAACATCTCTTTAATGTTCCCAGCAAACTTCTCATTGCCTGCAAAGAATAACATTTATTGGGACTGATCTTCAGACTGGAATACTGATCCCACACATATTTGACACTTAATAGCAAGATCATTTAGGGAACTCAATGCATTGTTAATCCCATGTTCATTTGAACCTAAGTTTTGTTTGTGTCGTGTCGTAGCACATAATCTAATAATATTATTAACTTTTGTTGTCAAAATGATTGGAATTCAAATATTTGAAAAGTAAGGGCTACTAATTATTCAAAAATGTCAAAACAACTTTTCAAGAAATAACAAATGCTAAAAAAATATTCAATCATCTTCGTTATCTTTTTCTGCGCTTACCATAGAACCAGTTGATGATGAGACACTCGCAGACAGCCACAACAAGGACGCAGAATCCAGCAGCGTACCAGTCCATGAGCTGCAGAACGTACATGCCTCCCTGAATGCAACAGAGCAGAACATTTTAAAACACAGTCAATATTTGGCTCAAACTAGGGCTGTGATCCTATGTACAACATCATGTTTGATAAATCAACAAGTCGGCAGTTATTTGAAACTGACTCATAAATGTTGACATAGAATCACAGAGCTAGGAATATCCACACCAGGTGCACCTCATTGTTCACTGACAATTTTAATCAAATTGTTTGTATTTTGGAGATGGCACTGTAAGTCAGGTACTGTCTTACCTTAGTATGAAGATCTGATCACATCTGATCTGATCTGATCTGAAGGTACTGATCACATTATCTGTGTAAAATGCAAACAGTAATACATCCCATATAAGGAATCCTTAGGTAACATTTATGCACAAATTATATGTTATTACAAATGATAGTTATTCATTGTATAACATGTGTACCCCTTGTGTTTTTTTGTTCAACAATATTTTTTGCGGACTCTTCACGCTTCACATGACAAGGACTGTTGTAGTCAACAAGGACTTGTAGTCAACAACAAGGACCCATGTAGTCAACAACAAAGACTTGTAGTCAAACACTCGCTGCTCCATTGCACTGACAAATATCAGGAATAAACAAAAGAAAAACAAAGAAATCAACCTCCCACAATTCAAAGATTACCATGGGGATCAAACTGAGAAGAGACCAAAAAATTTCACCAATATAAAACATGACCTTTTCCACCTATTCTGATAGAAATATGAACATACTTATATAACTAGACTAATAATGAATTGATAAAGGATGAGTTCAAAGCATGGGCAGATGATTGCTGGCATTTTAGGAAGGGGGTTGCAAAATATGTTAATGTTGTAAATTATCAGCATGTTTCACAAGGTCACACCATTACAATGAGTAGTGACATACAAAGTGACAAAAACACTGCTAGTAATCTTTAGTATTTTCGACAACCTTAGCTTTTGCAGATTAATGACATGGAAATGGAATGAGAGATGATATATCAATGATGGTTTATCCAGAAAGTTCTCATTACCTGACAAGCAAACAATAGGAATGAATGGACTTTTTAGCCATAGTGAATCCATAACTTGACCATTAAATAATAAACAAAAGGTGAATATGGTGCAAGGTGAAATTGATCAAAAGTGAATGTTTGCTAAATCTCCTCCGTAACCCAACCTTTAATAGAATGAAAAATAAATTGAAAAACCGACAAACAAATCTATGCATGAGCAAATGAGCGCTTGCAGCAACATGGTGTGAGTGGATGTGAATTAGTAATTCAAAATTTAAACTGTAACCAAATAAGGGGATAATTCAACAATAAGGATTTCCTGAACCCATGTACTGGTATATACTTAAACCTAATTGAAATTTATACATGAGACAATGATAATCAAATATACATAATTTCACTGCCTATTTAACAACACAAGGACATTAAAACACATTAAAATAGCAGATTGCAATCAAATATTGTACATTGAAGTGTAGTTTCTGTGATTTAATTCCATTAAACATTCATGAGACAGTCATCTATTTTTGTATGTTGAACTATTGAAATAAAATGATGAGAAAACACAAAGGGCAACATTTGAAAATCAGACATCAGGCACTAATTATGGAATAGCTTTAATATTTACAAATTCTTGAATAATTTGTTTCGTGTGCATCTGAACAATACATGTACATCATAATAATAAAACATTATATATTTTTACACTTAATACATTCACAATTACATAAAACTACATAACCTACATTTAAATATAAATAAAACAAACACAACTAAATCTATATCTAAAACTAAACAATCTAAAGCTACATTAAATAAAAATGTGTGTAGTGCAACATTTGGTGTAAAAGTATGATAGTGCTAGGTAAGTGTAGTGGCAAATGTAAAGTGAGAAGAAACACAGAATAAGGTGCAAAAATACAGTAGCATGTATAAAATACAGTCTAAAGAGCAATATGATCTTAGATCTTCTTATGACTAATCGAATCTGTGGGTTAAAATTGATACGCTGATATTAGATGGTATATTGACCCACCCCAACCAAAATATGGTTCATTATGGTAATCACAGATATTATTTTTGATCCTGTAACCAATGGAGATTTATTTGATATGGTTTAAATAAGTATGCAGATTTTTGATCTAAAATACTGTATACAATATAAACTGATAAATCCTATACATTCTATACTGTGCTTTTATTAATTTTGGTGAAACAGTCATTTTACAATAATCCAAAAAACCACACCATCATGCACTTATGCAACACATTCCGGTAAATGTATGAATTCTGCAAGGATAAAGGAAGCATAAAGAAAGGTAAAGGGTAAACTTAAAGACGGCTTCTGAAAAATGTTATCTTATAATTTGGTAAGTTCTTGAAACTCTCCTTATCTCTCAAGAAAAAAAAGGCGTACAGAATCACAACAGAGGATCGGGAAGATTTTAGAAAAAGGTCGCGATTTGGAGGTGTTCCTGCATATATTCACATCTCTTTTGGTTAGATGTTTTTTTGGTTAGGCCTCCACCTGCAGTATTAATCTGGAATTGTCCGCAAAGCCTTTGAAATCTCAAACTATTTTGAACTCCAAGTCAATCATTGGTACTCTCGTTACATATTTAAAGTCACTTGCACAAAAAGACATTACCCTTTCCTTTAACCATTTGCAGTAAAATATGATTCAGATCATTTAGTACAATGACACATGCTAAATATAAGTGTTGATTCAACAAGTTTTACTGTATTTAGTAAATGTAGTTGCCATAGATATGCAGGTTAGCACTTTCATATTTCATAGCATAAGCTTGGGCGCACTTATGTAAGACATTAATATTCTCAACCTGTTTGAAGAGCACAGTGGTGAAGCTCTTGTTATCACAAGTGATAGAAATGATACTGCACTTGTTGAGAACCCAACAAGATCAATTTCAAAACCTCAAAGCCCATTTTACAAGGACTCCAAAACCAGTGTATGTCAAAACACTGTCAAAACAAAATGGCATGTTTACTACTAGTCACATATTGTTGTTTTATCATAACAAATAAATTGATGTAACAATGGGACGCATTGCTAGGCTATTAGAATAAAAATGCAGGACAATGTTATATCACTAATTACGAACAAACCTGGAGAATCATATTTTGGACAGTGTGTAATTAATGTACAAGCTGTTTGTCCTCTTTCTGCCATTAGAATAATGTAATTAACTTTGTTTTCCCCAAAACTAATTTTCCATAAGACAGAATTATCTTTTTCATTAGAATATCGATAACAAGTGTCAGGAAACTATAATTGAGCTATGGTTAATGATGTCAAGCAATTTGAAGTTCCAATTTAAAAAGAAGTGTTAATATCTATATTATCATCATGACAAATTAGACAATTAAGTACAAGAGGGGAAGGCAGAGGTGTTCTACATCTAAGAAGCTAAAGACACGCAGGGTTGGGTTAATCACTGATAAGCCAAGCAGTAGGATCATCCACACAACACCAAGCATATCTAACTATATATGCATTCACAAATCTTTACTCTCCGTGGCCTGGTACCCTTTGAAGAAAATCACCCACTTTGCTTCATCCAATTAGTTTGCTAGTATTTTATAAACAATTGATGTTTCGTCAAATTAGTAAGATGCCATCGGACAAAATGCAGGCAGAAGCACTGTTGTCTTAAGCATTAATCAGCGGCTGCTATATTAGCTTTTTATTTCATTTAAAATTTAGAAACATCAAAAAGTTCATGTGAAAACATAAACTCAAACAATATATAGCTCCAACAGAAATATGCCGCTGACTAGCATTATGGATTAGCGATGTGAGGATATTTTCCGATACTAAGGCTGTGGGTGAGATGAGATGTGGAGATATGTGGCGTCTTGAATACCTGAGTGACACATGGTATTCCAAAAAGGAAAAGTAGCGTTGCTACGGCAATGGAGGTCAGCAATCTTCTCTTCCTGAAGATGGGGAACTCATCGCATAGACCCGTAATAACCGTCTCGAAGCCCACCATCTGTAGTGAGCATAAATACATTATATGAACATGTGATCTTTATTATTATATGTATGTTATTCACCTGTGTAACGCAGGTCACACCAAAGCAAAAGAAAATGGTGGCGAGGATACAGGCAGTGAGGAATCGTCTAAGTGGGGTCTGGTTCAGGACTGGAAATTCGTCACATAGCCCCGTCATTACAGTTTCAAAGTCAACCATCTACAGCAATAGTGTAAAACACAACATTCAACGAATGAACTGTATACCCACCTGCAGATCCCTCATGTATGGTGTAGTTTTGTTAGCCCCTGTACATACATATACATACAGAGTGGTTAAAGTGTACATTCTGCCAAACACCGAGAGAAAGAGAGATATACGAATGTGTACATTGATCAACCAATGAGAGCTTTTGCACCATAACCATATTAGAATGCTATGCAATAGCACATGACATCATTATAACGCATGAAGCCTTATAATGTGTTGAGAATAAAATTTTTAGTAGATGTTATCTCGGCTTTTGGAAAAATGAATGCTTTAGAATTACTCTGCAGTGAAGTGTATGACAGGTGGTAATGAGTATGAAATGCCAAGTAATAGCATGAACAGACGTGAAGTTCATACTATGATATAATCCTTTTCAGATATATCTACGCATTGATTCATTCACAACCACCATGAGAGAAATACAGGGGGTAAAAGACTTATTAGCACATATAAATCACCTGGGTTGTACAAAAAATTCCTAATAAAAATCCGACGCTGGCTAGAATGCAAACAGTTAGAAATCGGTGTTTTGCAGATCGGCCCAAATACGGGAACTCATCAGCTAATCCCGTCACTACAGTCTCAAACTGCACCATCTATAATTTAAGTGACATCATACAATAGTATTAATTTCATTCGAATATTTCTAGTACTATTATAATTACCACTAGCCTGAATGTAATTATGTAAATGATTGACAATATTTATAAAAATTGCATTGAAAAATAACATATATAAAAATGTATCAACTTCCGTGTATATTAACATGTGATGTAAACTTAACGCAAGTCAGAAGCCATGTATATTAACATGTAGATTACACATAAATGTATCACCCTGTATATTAATATGCATATCATACACAAGTGGGTCACCATGTATATAAACAGGTAAATTAAATAAAAATGGGTCTCCCTGTAAATTGAGAGTAAGATTATTCAAAGATGGGTCACCCTGTATCATATTTACCTGACTTCCAATTCCAAGTAGGAAGAGCATGAAGAAGAAGAGCGCAGACCACATGGGTGCTAGCGGCATCAGACCTAAAGCCTCGGGGTACACAATGAAGGCTAAACCAGGCCCTGAAATCATAAAACATCTTAATCAATCATTATTATTAAGCTCAGCTATTCTTAACTCTTCATCAATCAAATCTTGATTACATAAATTGTTTTGTTATTGTAGCTCTGAAGTGTCAAGTGAAACATACCCTAGATGTGCTCAGGTTGTGCTATATCTTTTAAAGCCCCTTGTAAAATTTGAAAGCCAGAGTGGTTTAAACTTTAATTGGGGCCTTTAAAAACTGCACAGAATGAGGACCATATTATTTTCCAGTTAGATGTTACTTTATAATTGTTTACCTGACTTGATGACGTCCTCAACTGCCTGGCCATTCTCATGTGCCATGTAGCCAATCACAGAGAAGACGGCAAATCCAGCGTAGAGACTGGTGAAGAAACTGACCAGGTTAATTATAATAGCATCCCTATAAGTAACAAAACATATTGTTATTACTTTTTGTTGATTGACAATACAATGTCAGATATATTCCCCAGACACAATATAGACACATATTATAGAGGGGAAATCAAATGATTCAGAAAATGCTAATATCCAATAAAACAATTAATCAAAGTTACATGTACATAAGATGATCAGCAGTTAAAAATTGTTAAAATATTTTTGATGTAGAACAACAAAAACGAAAAACATTCCTTGGCTCACATAATGTTTCCATATAGGGTTTTTCTATTTTATATCATTTAGAATAGACTATAATGAGAGCTACAGCTTCTTGGACTTGCAACAGGTCTTATACAAAAATATTTTTTGTGCTTTGATTAGAGGTAATGAAACAAATAAATGACAACAGTCTGAAGCAGAGTCCCCAAAATGAGTTGCCAATTCAACTGATTTTTCAACGACTTGTCATAATTTTGAAGGTTTCCTTTGGCTAAGTTCCAAGTTTCTAATTACAAGTTTCTAATTACAATTCAAAAAATTAGTTAATGCTGCTGTTAAAAAGCGTGTGAGAATTTTCCTTCCAATAAAGAATGTTATCCTAATCAGTGACTCTCCCTTTTTAAGAATCATAAATTTAAGTTTAGGTTATAACTATGGGAAGGGCAGGTACACTGAATGAACCCATAGAAGATATGGTACAAAGTTAACACCCAAATGCAGTTGTATAATAATAAATGTTAATATGTAATCAATAATGATGGTAGTTTGTAAACGCAGATGGTATAATCAACAATACACTGTATAACATACACAATTTCCTGTACCTCGAGCTAAGTCCGTTACCATGTATATCTTTAACATGTATAACAGATCAGGTGGTCCGCATAATCAAAAAACTATTTTACTAATTTGTACTTTGGGGGTGCAGCATGAGACCAGTGGTGAATCATGAGATCTTGAGGGACCTAAAACTTTTTTCAAATATATACGAGGGGTGATCCAAAAGTCTTGGACGCCCTGCTCTAATTTTGTTGGTTTTTGATAAAATAACTTTAAACTTTCCAATAATACAGACCAACAACTTAACTACTTTGTGTATTAATTTCATGGTGAAATGATATAGTTTATGTAGTTTTCTCAATAGTTATTAATATAGTGACCCTGCCACCCGGAACGGTATTCGCACATGGCAACTTTCAGCCTTAAATGTTGCCGCTATTTGACTCGGTTTGCAAGTCTTGACAACTATCTTTCCTTAAATTTTGGATGTTAAACCATATTAGTTTACTCGCTTTGTTATCAGGCAACCAATTAATTGTGTTTTTATCATAATATTACATATAACAATGACCGTATATGTCAAGTTCTAAAAAATTGTCATCAGAAAATCAACCCTCATTCTGGTATCATTTTTTCTCCAAGATGGCTGCTGCAAGTCAGAACATGAAAGAAATCAAAGTGGAACAAAGAATACTACATTATATTTTCACTATTATTGACCTTGAGCAGCTACCATATGCACAATACAGTCTAGATATGGCTCCATGTGATTTTCTTCCTTTTCTCCTAGTTGAAAGGAGGGTTGAAAGAAAATGTTTTTTACTCATTGGATGAGGTTTAGAGTGGCACTCCAGCAGCATTTGCATCACTTAAGCCATGGCGGTTTCATAAATGACTTTCATTCCTTGGTAAAGCGGTATGAATAATGTGTTCAAATTCGTGGAAAATATTTTGAAAAGTAGGTTTTAATATGTGAAGATGATGATAGCAGATGACACTCAGACTGAAAATCGGAAATTCTCTCATATCATGACTGGTGCTAGGTTGTGCATCTGCACTTCAAGTATTTGCCATATTAAAACAGCTGTGACGTGATTTGCTATATTTAAATACCGTTCCGGGTGGGAGGGACCCGGTATCAAAAACTATTTAGAAAAGTAGCTATATTATATTATTTTCTGTTGAAACTTATACACAAAGTTGTTAAGATGTTGATCCTTATTATCTGAAAGTTTCATGTAATTATATTAGAAAATAGCAAAGTTAGAGCGGGGCGTCCAAGACTTTTGGATCACCCCTCGTATATTCTGGGCAAGTCTGATTCTTGGGGTTTGATAAGATAAAGAAATTTTGGTTAGGTCAAATGATCTAGCCCTTATTCATTAAACCAAACATCAAATGGTCTAGGCCTTTTCATTTGACCCAAACATCAAATGGCCTAGGGATTTTTCATTCGACCAAACATCAAATGGTCTAGGCCTTATTCATTCAACCAAACGTCAAATGATCTAGGCCTTATTCATCCAATTTGTTTTATTTAATGACAAAAAACAATTGTCTATTACAAAGCAGGAGGCAAGCATTTGCAAGCATTTTTACATTTTATCAAAACATATTACAATGACAATCTCTCCAAAGTTTATTTTCAAAATTGAAGTTTTTCTATGAAAATGATTCTAAAAAGTTTCCAAAAGCTACATTGTATTTCTGAAGTAAATTTTGTATTATATGTCTATTATGAAAATAACTTATTGGTCGAGATTTTCAAATCCATAGTCGATTGAAACACATGCAATAAACAAATGGTACAGTGAGAAAAAAGTGGCAAAGGTGTAAAGCAAGTGCATTTATAGTGTTAATGTACCTTGTAGAGAATGAAGGACTATTGTTAGTGAAGTCTACAACAACATGCATTTGACATAGACAAACACAAAACATGAACAACACTAGTTGGATAACAGAAATAATATGTCCAAAGAGCAACATTTTTGTGTGGGGGAGGGGGAGGGTTTATTATGTGAACATCGATTTCATTTTCAAGAGGGCAGTTAGTCATGAAAAATCAATTTATTTCTGTGATCCATTTGAAGGAAAAAATCAGAGTTGCCAGTTTCTTAAGGTAGGTAGAGTAGAATGAAAGTAAGGTTAATTAACTTACATTTTCTACACAAAGTCAGTCTACCCTTACCACCTTAATAAGACACAAATACAGATAATAAATAGGATTCCCTTTCCTAAGGAACAGCATCATCAGGTGTTTCATGCTTTACCTGGATAAAGAGATAAACAAGAAAGTAAGGCCTTTTCAATTTAAATGTCTGTTTGACAGTGTTTGTCTGCTTTTCCAAAAATCTCAACCTGGTCAAATCTATTTTCTTGCACTTTTATGATATTTCTCTGGTTCAGAAGAACAATTTTAGAAATGAAGAGAAGGCCTGTTCACTTAGTCTCTGTATATAAAAATATTGACTATACAGACATTAAAACAGTATGGGCCTAAAAGAGAAATGAATCATTAGAGAAAAGCCAAAGAATCTACAATCACATTTCAGTGACCATCTACCAACTAAGACCAACTACACAACAGATCTAGACAAAACAAACACTATTTATTTGTTGGGACATCGATGTGGTGTCAAAACAACAGTGTGTTGGTGCTACGGAAATTGGTGTTTGTTGCTATGGCAATGATACAAAGGTTACCACGGTTACCTGAAGCAGTTGTGATGGAATGTGTTATAACTGGCCATCGTTAACATACCACCCCAAGCTATGTTAGTGGCATAGAATAATTGGGTGGCAGCCGCAAACCAGACCTAACAGATAAATAGAGTTGACACAACATCCATTATAAAGTAATTATACAAATATAACAGTAAAATTATCTATAAAATGTAAATGTGTTGGTGCTGCAGTGTAGCATGCATCTCTGTAGTGCAGCATGCGTCTTATGGACTGGTGTGAGGTTCCTTATGTCATGGTAAAATATTCTGTGTGTGGATTTATGCCACTCTGTCAAGTGGGAAATCCTGCATGTGGTGTCCCAAATATCTCTGTGGCATGTCACCTGGATGAAATAATTGTTAAAGAAGACAAGACGTGATTATTCACAGAAGACACTTAGATACACAGAATGTACCCACACTTAACTTTGACCTGTTAAAGAGAAACACAAAAACTTAGTAGCCATCCTTGCAAAAGAAGCAGAGCGCCAACGGTTTCTAAACATAAGTATGCAACAAAGCAGAACAGCTTTCCCAATAGCAGAAGCCAAATGCTTAAATATGCAGCATAATGGTTTGTTGCTAAGCAATTGGAGCGGTTGCTATGGTTACCTGTAACAATTGTGATCAAAGGTGTTGTAGCTGGCCATTGTGAGCATGCCACCCCAGGCAATATTTGTCGCATAGAATAACTGAGTGGCGGCAGCAAACCACACCTAAAATAGTAGAAATCCCAAACAAGGGCACACAGTTCAACACCCACAGACATTTAAACATGGTGCATTTCAATAAGCAATTTTGTGAACAAAATAAAATGTTCAATGGCAGTTTTAAGGACATCCCCTGTCCCCAATTATTCAGTACATATATTTTTAGACTAATACATATTTATCTTTTGTGTTGAGAATGGTCTATTGGAAATTACAAAACTTGTCTTATGCTTTCAGTTTCATGAAGAAATGAAATTGGTAAACATGACATGATAATTTGTATTTGATGTGAGCTTTAACTCAATCTTACCTCTGGCGATGCTAATTTACTCCAGACGGGAGTGACGAAATATAAAATTCCATCAGTGGCTCCCTCTAACGTCACACCTCGTACTACAAGTACGGTTAACATAAGGTAGGGAAATGTTGCAGTGAAGTACACAACCTACAAGAGATAAATTCAGTTAGCTCATATCTTTATGCATGTTACCCTTTAAAGAGTCTGGCTTCATCTGCACTCTCTAAATTACAGATGATTCTTAGCTAGCCAATTAGAATATGCAATATCAGTAAAAATGCTACAATATCTGCCAGCACAGGTTCAAAAGCTCCCATTAAAGTATGAGCTCACTTTGATTCGGACTTTATAATCAAAATTGCAGAAAATCATTTGCAACAATTAGAGGTTAGCATGGCTTCTGTGGGATTCAGGGTATATTCTTGCACGGACACTTATATCAGTACAGGTACATATAATATATTTTATATTCATAACAGTTGCTGAATATCCTTATACAGAGAGAGCATTTCCATTTATAACAATGAGGATGTTGTGGCGAGATTTCTAAACAACAATAACCTGATACTCAACAAAACAAAACATTAATAAATCACCATTTGGGGAAAAGTAAATGTATTTATAAGCTCCTTTATATAAGAATAATAACCATGTGATGGGTGAAGTACAAATGATTTCCTTGAATACAAAAATTGAAAATTGAGTAATTTAAAAGAAGACAGCTTTAGGAAGAGAGTAAACAGAGTAACATCAAAGGTGTATAGGGTGGACCATTTATCAATGAATTCATCATAGCAGGAACCAATCTCAGCTCAGTAACTGTCAACTTTCAACTGACTTGTACCTCAACCTGACCCATGAACCAAATAATCTGAACTTAACTCTTTCCTGATTCACTTGATGCATGGCCCAAACACAGGGAATCCCTGTGGGCCTAAATAACCCAAATTAATCTGGACTCGATTCACTGTGATTTAATATGTCCAAGTTTGAGTTATATAAAAGAGTACATACCTTTCCTGAAGATTTGATGCCCTTACATACAATGAGAACCACAAGAATCCAGGCCAGGAGAAGACAGAGGCAGACATGCCACCTGACATTCCCAATATTGTCAATGCCATGGATGGTCTCATTCACATTCAACAGCTTATACCTGAAAGAAAAATCAAAGAAATGACATTTGATATCTGTCTCTCTGTGTAAAGGGGAGAAATGTAGAGGGGAGGATTGTGGAGGGGAAAAAAGGGAGGTGCTGATAAGGGTATATGCATGTTAATGAAGTAACAATGTAAGAAACTGATTGGGATTGAATATAACATATCAATATAATAATCACTAGACAACAGCAACGCCAAAGCGTAGCAAATCCCATCGAACAGCCATGGCTAGCATTTTTACAAATAAAGTATAAAGCAAAAATGGCAGTCATTTTTCAAAATGGCCACCTTATGGCCATGCTTATAGTATTCCAAACCAAATATGAACAAAATCGCTCCACTACTTTTTGAGTTATAGTAAAATACGTTAAATAGCGAGTAAAGGCCGCCATTTTTCAAGATGGCTGCCATGTGCTTCTTTAACATCTATATTTCTAGCTTTATTAATGTCCTATATAATTTTTTTACATTTAAAACATATTGCTATTAGAGTTTTACATATTGTACCTAAATTACTGTAAAATCGGCACTAAAATGGCCACCATTTTTAAATGAGCGGCCGTTTTGAGAATCGGCTTTCAAGCAGAACTTCTACCCCCATAGGCTAACGTACGTAACGTACAGACGGAGGCGTTCCCTATATCCCTCCAAAACTTCGTTCGATAGGATAATGAAGATATATAACAGATAATTAATGGCCTGTATTCCCACAATGATAGAATGGTCAAATATTGAGACAGTGAATTTCACTACGAATGAAGCAAATCCAGAAAAATATCAAAATGATAATAGTTAAACCACCATATGTTCATCATAAAATTACCAGATATTCTATCAGATTAAGTCTGTTTAATATTGTAAAATTGATTCTTGTCCAACAACAAGCGCATGCGTAACCTATAACTAACACTTCAACACCCACTCAGGTGAATGTATGGATTTTTCACTTGATGAAGAGAAATAAACATTTCTTTTACTTTCCTTCAAGGAATAACATGTTTATTGGACCAAAGAACTTCACACAGAATAGATGTGTTTTAATACTATAACTGAGTGGTCAAACTCGTGTGCCAACTACTGAATTTCTAAAAATAATATGTTTATTGAATTAGAAATATTTTCATGCAATTGCACTTTTAACAGTATGTATATACACTGTAATCTAACATAACACACAACCAAATAATAACAATAGTTCACCCATCCATGTGAGCTAAAAATGTTGAAATATGTATTATTGTGTACAAAGTCTCTTATCCCAAGTATCACATGGTAAAAGCATGATAAATACAGGTTAAATACTTGTTTTTGGCTTTTCAATGAAAAATTAATGACAAGTTAAACCAATACAGAATCACCACCTGTATTATGAAATGGGGGTGGAGATATAATCATGACATTATTATCACCCACACATACAAATAATCTCTTAATAAGTTAAAGTCAGACTGTATACTGCATGCAGTTCTATGTGCTAGGTTAAAAATCCAATATATCTTGCAAAACACTTAATATTAAATTACAGCTTTAATAAAGCCAATTATATGTAAACAGCTCAATATTTGACAAATAAAATAATTTAGACATAGGATATAATAAAAATCAGCTTTTTAGAATAATCAAATTTTTATGTAAAACAGACAAGTGAAATACATTGAAACAGATGTAAAATTAGCAATGTTAAGAAAACGAGAAAACACACCAAGAGCAAGTTCAGACAACGTGAGATTTATTGAAGGCCATTATGACAAATGCAGACATTGCTTGTCTGGCTGTAACATGTACAGTTAGTTAATTTATCGCTCCAAAGTCGAATGAAACGACATGTATATGTAAAATACATATACACACATACAATACTATAAAAACTGACCCCCTCACTGATACAATACTAGACTAAGTTATAAATCTGAAGACAGTTGTAGGAAAACCATCTGCATAAACAATTTTCTGAAGTACTTTTATTCCAATTTTCAATATTCTGAGGAGTTGGACCAGGGGGACCCTTCTATAGAAACACATGTGACATATAAGTACACATGTAAAGTGACCAGGATTGAACAAATTGAGGGCAGCTAAATCAACTGTAAGTTCAATACAGACAGATATATGGTATATTGATTGTCAGGGAGAAGTAATTGAGTGCAAACTACTATCAATTACTATACTGTTAAAAGTAAAATCTATTGCCACATCTACAACTTATTCAAACTGAGTCGCTATCAGAAAGCCATAAAGTCATTTGATTGGTAGACGATTGTTCAAGGTCTCTTAAGAGAACTGTAATGAGATCAAAACATGTTCTGCCTAAACATGTTCTAAACTTTTGAATGAAGGAAATGTTGTGTATGATTTTATGACACAACATTTAGGTTTGCCACAACATTTTAAACAAATATAGTAATTTCTCTCAAACTGAGGTACAAAATCCCCTGACCAAGTGTGTTGTTTTTATTGACAAAAGTTGAAGAGTCAAAAAAGATATATGCATTTCTGGATCTTTGTATTATTCTCTGACATTACCCTGACCCATATAATTAAATTCTACACCTTAACCATTTTAGCCATTTACAAGAAAATTCTTGAATTTCCTAATTCCAGGTCAAAGACCCAACTTGTCCCTGACTCAGCACTGTTTTGAGTGCAAAGCTTTTGCAGACTGAAGTTGTGAACTTTTTTTTGGTACAGAAACAAGCAAACAGAACTTTGAGCTCTGTAACTATAAAGAAAACAGTCATGACCTCTACAATGTGAATGATACATGTGCACAGAGCATGATTGTATGTAACACCTCAGGAAGAATTCTCAAGATCTCATAAGTGAAAAAATGTCATCATTATGACTCAACAGTGTACAACCCTAAATATTGAATTGATCTTTATAATCTTTGTTGAATAAATCTACAAAGTTTGAGTGACAGGTAAAAAATGTAATCTCTTTCTCAAACAATTGAACTGATTTTATTCAAAAATAAATTGATTTATTCAAAAATAAATAAAGATGCAGACTACTGTACATTAAATAAAGTGAGATATAGCTAATCTGGTAGAAATGCTAATTTCTAAATCAATAAGTGACAGAACTTTTTGAATTGATTATAAAACAAAATAAATTATGAAAATAATTCCTTGAACTAGCACGAGTAATAAGTGCAAACTTTAACTTAGCTTGGCAAAAAATTTGTTCATTTTTCTCATTGAATTTGAAAACCTTATAATTTTATAACTTGCATTTTCAAATGATTTTATGTTAGACATTCCTAGAATCAAAGTGATGATGCTTTATAATACCTCAACATGCATCGTGGTTTGTTGTAAAAGACCTCCCACAAGGGAAAAGGTTGGCATTTTGACAAAATGAAAATAGGGCTCAAATTCCCTACCCTGGGAGCAACCTTGTGAGTCAATTTTCCACCCTTGAGAGTGAATATTAGCTGATAAAATATTATCATTTACTGGGATTACTGGGAATATGCATTTCAAAAGCACCTACTCCAGGGATGAAGTACGATGTAAAAATCCCAACCCTGGGATAATACTGTATCTCAAATTCTGTCCCTCTCTTAGTGGTACACAAGTGCTTAACTGTTCCTCTCACTATAGGCTCACAGCATTCTTTTAACTCACAGGTATGGACCAATTGAGAATCATATTCAATTTAGTAATTTAATGCATGTTCATCTCCAGACCAAGCATTTAGTTGGGAGATAAAAGAATGAATTATAAACCAGAACAACGACAACGCCAAAGCGTAGCGAATCCCATCGAACAGCCATGGATGGCGTTTTTACAAACAAAGTATATAGCAAAAATAGCAGCCGTTTTTCAAAATGGCCGCCTTCTACCAAAAGTGTCATTAGATCATGTGCCATGCTTATAGTATTCACACACCAAATATGAACAAAATCGCTCCACTACTTTTCAAGTTATAGTGAAATACGTTAAAATGGCGGCCATTTTTCAATTTTTTTTTCAAAATGGCCGACTTCTACCAAAAGTGTCATAGGACAGTGTGTCATGCTTATAGTATTCACATACCAAATATGAACAAAATCGCTCCACTACTTTTCGAGTTATAGTGAAATACGTTAAAAACAGCGAGTAAAGGCCGCCATTTTTCAAGATGGCTGCCATGTGCTTCTTTAATATCTACATTTCTAGCTTTATTAATGTCCTATATAATTTTTTTACATCTAAAACATATTGCTATTATAGTTTTACATATTGCACCTAAATTACTGTAAATTCGGCACTAAAATGGAAATCGGCTTTCCAGCAGAACTTCTACCCCCATAGGGTATATGTGTACAAAATATGAACAAAATCGGACCAACGGTATTTGAGTTATTGCCCAGACGTACGTACGGACGGATGTACGGACGGACGTACGTACGTACGGACGGACGGAGGCGTTCCCTATATCCCTCCGAACTTCGTTCGATGGGATAATAAAAGTAGCTTACTTCCAGTATTCCTCCGTTGGAGATGTTCTTGCAGACTTGTTGAGACTCAGAGCACTTGTCATGTTGAGGCTTGTCATGTTGTAGTCTCCACTAATGTTATAACTACTTCCTATTCCATTCACATCAACCAAAGTCTGTATAGTAGTTGTAGTACCTTCTACTGTACTGTTAGAGGTATCTGAAATATAGATATCATATATACATGTAAATTGGTTATATAATTACATTACATTGGATCTACTGCTCTGGAACGTTTTCTGTGACAAACAAAGATTCGAAAGAGTTGTGGTTGCAGCACTTAATTATTAGTTGTCATATTCCTTTATAGTCTATTAGAATTATTTCATTTCTTAAATCTTTTACCTCTTGGATCATTAAGGATGCAGTACCGGGTCGGTTTTCACGTCTGTTTGCGCAGGTTTGACTTCCGGTTTGAGAAAGCTAGCTCCCAAGAACGTCATTTTCGCATTTAGTCTTATTCAAAAATTATAGTTTATTTCGATAATGGTGTTTCCAGAAAATAATTAAATTGCAAACATTTTATCAAGCATATTTTATCCCTTTCACTTTTATGGGAAAACTTGTTCTTGAGTCGCAATTAGTGGATACGAAAACCAGGGTTCGGAAGGTGCCAGCTCTATTGAAAACTCAAAAAGTAAAAAGATTCATTTTGGGTGGGTAAAATATTTTTTTTATTTTGTAATTACCGAGCGGTCAATCCTCTTCATATTGCACTTGGATGATGATAACATCATAGTGATACATTGTAAAAAATATGAGCAAAATCTAATGTCTGGAACTTTTTCTACGCTGACCTGGTACTGCATCCTTAAGTCAAACACCATGAAAAGCAGGGACGAGCCGCTATTGGTGAAATGCTCTAAAACTCAGCTAATCAATTGGACTATTGGGAGGGGGGGGGGTAATGTTTTAACATCTGGTTGAATTCTACTTACTATTTATTCCTATTAGATCCTGCACCACCTTGCTCATACCATGTGCATCCAAGCACATCTCAGTGTTCCACGCATTATTACAATGAGTCCATGGCATGAGTGAAGTGAATGAACCAAAGAGGTAGTAGAGTGATAGCGCAATGATCACATTATAGTAGATGCAAACAAATGCATTGATAACACAGTAACTGATGCCAACTCCTGGAAATAAACAAACAGGTGGATTTGTAGTTTACAATTTCTCTTTAATAATGTCAGTTATGATGTGATGATACTGTGTGAGAAAATTGATTATGGATACTGATTGTGAAAGCTAGAAATGTTTGAAGATAAAGAGTTTGATTTAAAACATGATTTGCAATTGACCACTAATGCCATGAATTTTTGAACAAGTTCTGCAACGCTGTGTACCCTTTGAGTTTGTTTTTACAAAACAGTACTCGATAATTTACATGTAAAAGGGAAGGTACTGTATAGCTCTTTATTTTACATTCCCCATGTATGTGTCACATGGTATTCCATCTTAATTTTGTATGTAATTTTTGATTCAAAGTGCAGTCAGTTAGGTACTCACCTTTGAACAGAGGGCATACTTTCTTATATATAGTAAGAGAACCAACTCCAAAGTATTGCCCAAAGCTATACTCCATGAACAATAGCGGGAATCCAATGACAACCATCATCAGCATATAAGGCAGTAGGAAGGCTCCTGAAAGACCATAATATCATGGGAGACGGTCAATTTGAAGGATTTAAGGAAGGTGTGAATGTGCATCATATTCGTAATGAATGTCAGAGCAAGGTTGTAAATAAGGGAGAAGCTCTAAGAGAAGCAAACTTTTGGAAAGGGGTATGCATCATTGGCATTTCAGAACTTCTAGTCATCATTGAAACAAGTGGTTCAATATTCAGGACTTGTGGTATTTACATCATATTCTGGGTCAGAACAACGAGCTGTTTGGAAACTACTATGATAAACCCGCAATCAATTTTCTCAATAACATAAAAGCTGAATGTTTATGTAAAAAATGTGTCAATGATAAAACATTAGAGGCACAATGCATCATTAGATAACAAAATTCAAACAATAACACAACACTTCCTGAAAGCTCTCATATAAGGTGACTTAGTTTGAACCAGGGCCCTGGAATAATCAACAGGCACCTGTCTTAGTCACATAGTGGATTCTGAGTCTCTCTCTGAAGACAATAATATTCTGTTGATATCAGACCATGTGACATCAAATACTATCCCCAAGCAACAAAGAAAAAACAAACAAGTCCTGATGAAACATCCTGCTTTTATGATGCAAAGAGCAACGGATATTACATAATCCTGAGTAATGACTTTTTCGCCTGTGGTCTGGGAAAGTGCTATCAGTAATATGCACTTTAATTAAATCTAATTTCCGCATCAAACACATAATGGTTGGTCAAAGTGGGTCAGTGGCAGATGGCAGGTTACTTAACTTCTGAATCCAATTCTCTGACTACAACACATGATTTTAGATTGTGATTTTCCTTGGTGTATTCTAATAAATATACATTTTAGAGGACAGATCTGAAGTCAAACTCTTTCAAAGGGTATGATCCTTCAACTTTGAGCTTTCATGAAAAGCTAGCAGGAAAAAAGACCTTGGGAAATTAGGGAGTGATGTTATCTTGATATGAGGGAAGTCCATGTTATATTTACAACTGCATATTATTTCCTCATAGATGATACTATTTGATAGAGGAATGATATGAATCTAATGATCACTTAATCAACAATTGTATTAATTAATGTTTGTTGTGACGTAACAGTTACAAACACGCAAAATTTCAAAAAGATTTGTGCAATAATTATTTATGATATTAAATTTCTTGAGATATCTTTACCTATAAATCAAGGTAGGTAGGGTCAGATCATTACTACCTTGACCATTAATTCTGTTTAAGTATCCACACTATAATAGGAATTTGAATAATGTACATCTCCTCATAAAAGTATCCAACAGACCATAGAATTTGACATTTGAAGAACGCTTAAATGTCTTGTTGAAGACAAGATACAATATTATGAGAGTGTTCATTTTGACAGCCTAATGTTACTGAAGACAACCTTCCAAATTCAAATTCCTATACATGCATTGTTGGCAAAGATTATGAATCAATCAGACAGCTTGACAACTTTAATTATTTAATCTAGTAAGAATGCCAGGGTGCATATAAAGACGATTTCGAGGCACAGAGGCTGACCATAACACCTAAAACGATATTTGCCTTTGCTTTTAAATATATTATAAAAAGGATGTTTAAATCATATTCAAATTTCAGGCTCAGTCTATATTTAAAAATTCCGGTGAATACCCTGATAACAGGATATTTATAGTAGCAGTAAACGTGAAGTTGCTACTGCACTTAAGAGGAAATTTTAAAAATATTGTTCAAGAGATCACGACCACCAAAATGAAGATGCTCAAGTGGAGGAAAACCTTATCTTCTAATAAGATAGCAGAGACCCTGAATCACAATTGGATAATAACACTGCCCTCTGACTATTAAAGATGATTTCAAACCTGATCATAACAATCACAAATGGTCCTTCCATGGCTTTGATATATTATGTCTGAAATGAATGTTCTGTACTTATAGGCAGAAAATTCAGCATCTAATTTTCAGACTACATTTCTGATTATAAATATTAAGTGCTACTTCAAAAAATTGTGTCTGATGAACTCTTAAGAGTGTCAAAACAAAGACAAACACTTGCAGAGGGTAAAGACAAGAGGGTTTACCCAAGAGCCAAATAATTCACAAATTTAATAGAATAAATACAAACATTAAAACAGAATAAATGCTCCCCTCTAGAGGTTCACATCCTCACAAGCTTTTAACCTAGACTGATAATTACTGACAGTTGAACTCTATTTTATTTCTTTCTTGGAAAAAGATATTTTCCCAAGGTGAGACTGCCAACACAAGGGTTAAGTTGTGAATAGTGTATAGATATCAAAGTGGCTTAGTTACAAGCGCGAGGTGAGGTATTTTTAGCTGCAACATCTTCTAACATGAAGACGGGGAGAGACAAGATATTTTGGTATCTCTTTCCTGAGATCAAAGGGTGCACTAAACTTAAGCAGGCTGGAGGTAAACTATTTAGCTATCACATGTGGCCTGCCAGAGTTGTATACTAACAGAATCTAAGTCTAATATCAATTATCTGTTATGATTCCAGTCTCTTCACATGCATAAAAAACATTCTTAGTTAGTCCTGCATACATGTTCAAGTGTCGCCTAAAATACTCCTCAGAAATGGGCTGCTTTCTCAGCTCTGTTGCAGGACTATAACAGGGAACGTGTAGGGGGAGGCCAGGGAGAGTGGCCCAGTTGGTGCACGACTAACAGACTAACTTCCAGTTTTCATTGACATACTAGTAGATACTTGAGTTTTGTATAGTTTTTATTGGGAGTTTTACAGACTTAAATGACGTCAAGCATACTTTCCTTAAAGGCTCCAGTTTTCAATACATAGGCTTGAATTTGATTAATAATAATGTCTTGATATTTAAGTAGACATCAAAACAGCATTGTTTTAAAAAATTCACGTTGCTGACCTTTTAAAGCCCTGTTTACACTGACCGGTCTTTTTTAATCCCCTGTGTATTTCCAATGGGAGAAAAGACCGATGGTCTTTTGCCGGTCTTGACAGGATTTTTAAGTCGGACTTCACAGGACTTTTGCCAGTCTTGATCAGTCTTTTTAAAAAATCTGATGGAATGCTGTTGAGTCCGGTGAAGTCTGATGGAGACTGCTACAAAAAGACCACCTTTTTTGTGGAATGAGCAGTTTCATTCTTTAACCCGTCTTGATTGGTCTTTTTTGTTAAAATCTGGTCACATGATACTTCCATGGTAACCGAAGCCTTCATACATGACGTTACACGTCATGTATTTCCGGGATTTCATAGGACTTGACAGGACTCAACCGGTCTCTAACGGTCTCGACAGGACTCCAAAGGTCTCAGGAGGACACATTGGGCTATCGTGAAAATATACTTTCGGTCACCAGTCTCTAGAGAACTTAAAAAGTCCAGTGAAAGAGACCTGTCAGTGTAAACGGGGCTAAGGGACAGACTCTGGTGATCAAAGCCATTAAAATCTAATTAAGGGTCACATTATAGAAAACCCAAATGATTACGAAGATCCTTGTCACCATCCCCTCAATGGGAGAAGTGGGGGAACATCACAGTTGCTTATTCTGGCCGGATAAAACAAAAATGCCTTGCTGTTGCATATATCTTACAATATGATTGCAGTCCCTTGTAAATGAGCCTTTCCTTGGCTCACTGCCAACATACAGCAGACATACACATTGCTAATATTGATTTTCATTCCAGCATCTTTTCCCTGTCAATTGAACATATAAAATCCTCTCTAATCATCACAATCGATGAATCAGAACTTACATGTGGTGTCATTTTGTAATGAATGAGTCCAGTACTGAGTATGATTTTTTATGATTTCCACATTATATCAAAATTTGTTGTACCAAAAGGCAGTCATAAAAGCGCAGAGAAACTGAAATAATGGATATCAACTTAATTGACGTCATGGTTAAATCAATACATTTTTTAGAAAAATTCACTGAACAATTTGGCATCGGGATAATTTATAAATATAGAGTAATAGTATGAACCTGTTGCCTGCCTAAAATAAATGTTGCCCTTTAATCATGTGTGGTGCATACTATTATTACTAAAATATACCTTTCTTATCAATTTGTGCCAAAAAGGAAGTTGTTCTCTTATTTTTAGGGGTGGTCTATACATATTAACATGGTTTCAATAGGTTGATAAGAGGGCAATATGAGGAGTTGAACATCCAATACATACATGTATTAAGGGATGTGGGCTCACTTGAACATCAACAAGAGTGAAACACATGTACCTATATACACTTACAGTTGTCTCAATATGAAAAACACTCAAACATGGGAGAGCACATCCTGCCAAAACAATTTGAAGGGATCACTTCAACTGACCACCTTGTCTGCCTTGTAGACTCTAATTTCACCAATCAAAACATCAAGTTGATGTAATGTCTAGATGTTAAACATCCTAATTTCAGTCAATCACTATGATCATTACTAGAACAGGATGTATTTGTTTAAGGAGGCTATAATAATATATTTTGTACAGGATAATAACACTGATTATCGCCCTGTGAAATTACATGTAAGTTGTGTGATACTACTTTAAAAGTATGAATCATCTCATGAATTTGAGTGAGTGTTAAAACATTCTCAACACACATGATGTTCATGTGACTGTTGGTTCTGGCAATGGCTCTTATAATTCCCCTTATAAATATCAGTTTGTGGTGGTCCTAGGAGGTGGTCTTTAGAGGATGTATGATATTTCAGATTAAAACTGCCGAATGCAACATTCGACTTGTCCACAATGCCAGAGACAATGACAGAGCAATTTCCATCTGAGTACAAATAGGGCATACATGACATACTTGTTTCCAAATGAACCTCATATTAGTAAAATCTCTTTCAGTAGTCTTACACTTAGCCTCTGGAACTCCTTCCAGAGTTGGGGATATCTGAGAGGGGGGACAAGTGGCTAGAAAGACTACTCTGTCAGTAAAGAATAGTCACAGCTACTAAGAGAGGATCTGATAGATCAGAATAGAGAGCTTGATGAGTGGGGTGGGGGCAAGTGTGGGGGTCATGCCAAGGTCAGGTTATAGGAATGTAAAGACATTGAGCTGAGAAGATTCTCTCCAGGAGACAACCAGATATAATAGTTGATGTGGCTACAAAATTGTGGCATGACATCAGCATGGCCTGACACCAGCAAACACACTTCAAGTTTCAAAGCTTTTACATTTAGGACAAAACCTTGTATTTTGAAGTCAAAGGGTCTGGTTATTTTTAATCAATTAAGTATTGAGAAGTAACTTTTAAAAATCAATCTTGAACCATCCTTTAATTGTTTGTTTCTCTCTATCCTAATATAAAAAGGTATACGTGAAGACCATCATGGAAAATAGTATCATGACTATTAAATCATTTCTATGTTAATGGAAACATTAAAAGTCAAGGTTGATATAATAAAATGAATATTTTAGCAACAATAAAACAGTAACCCAAGTTTTATGTGTAAAACCACAGAACCTCATTATCATAACTGAAGGAGAGATGAAGTTACTTGAGTCATGGGCTTTCAATAGGGAATGCCCATGCTTGAGTTCTCCATCTTTCTGTCCCATCAAAACAGAATCCCATAAACTGAGGGACAAATACTTATGACAGTGGGGAAGGAATCATAATAGGAGTAGGAACATGCATACTTTACATGTTTTAAATCATTTTAGAGAATGCACATAAAAGTTGCACAATGCCAAGTCATGCTGAGTCATTGGAATGAAAATTTGTTGATGTCCTCAAATTCGGCGCATTCACCAAAATGGTAAACATAAAGACAATCTCTTTCTGCGCTTATGCACAATTTTGAAAAAGTCAATGAACTCATTCAGAGTATAATTATTTTTGCTTTTTGTTTGATTAAATCAATTCAATTAATTTCAATTTTAGTTTTCATTCATTGGTAGAAAAACTAATTTACAAGATTAACTCACTCAAAGCTTGATCCTTTCCAATAATCTAGTTTATATTTGAGAATCTGAATTAAAATTTATTCTTACCTCCCCCATTTTTGTAACAGAGATATGGAAACCTCCATACGTTTCCCAGGCCTACAGAGTACCCTATACAGGTCAGTAGAAATTCTGTCTGTGATGACCATTGTGCACGGCCTGCAGGTTCTTTTTCCTTTTTTTCTTTAACTGCTGGTTTTTCGCTACTTCCTATTCCACAGCGTTCTAATATTCCAAACTTCTTTAGAAATGTCGGAACTGGCATTATAAGTATGCAGTTTTCAGTATCACTTTGTAGTTATATAATAGGTCTGAATAGAAGTTTTCTAAATCTACACGCAGGGGAATTTTACAAAATCACTTGATGAGTCCAACTGAGTAACAATCGGGTCTTAATGTCTCAAAGTTGTTCTCTATTTGATGAAGACGTAATTTTAATTGCATGGATACTAGCGTCCCTCTAGGAAGACATCTGAAAGTACAAGTAAAACAAAATATAAGTTCAGTTATTGTAAATATATATCTAATGTGTCATGCTTTGACAATTTTGTTAAAAAAAGAAATATAATCATAATTATGCAAAAAAATTATTCAAATGTAAGTAAATGTTGCCTACACATTCATGTTGCACTATGCTCCTTCCTTTATATTATTATATCCTTCTATTATATTTATCCTTTTCCAGTTATAGTAAGAAATAGAAATAGCCTAATAGAGAATCAAAAACATCCATTCTCGGACATTTCAAAAAATATATGCATTTGGTTTTAATCAGTTCATTTTCAAAGGCATTCAAAGTTGTATATTAATAAAATTGTTGATTTTCCAAAAGAATGTTTTCTTTTAAAGTGTATCATTAAGTTTTAGACCAAGCTCTCTTTGTTTTGTTTCTTTGATTGCAACAATCTTTGATATGCTTTGCTTCTACTTTGTAACAATAATATATCCATGTCAAAAGCATTTGTTGAATGCCCCTAACTAATGCTAAATATACACTCAATGACGTAAATCCTCTTTACAGGCTCAACTTGTATTTTGGAATCATAAGTGTAGCCTAATCCCCAAAACAAACACAAAATATCCAATCTATTGAAATCATGTACATGTACCTTATATGTACAGCATATTAATCTAGCTATAAGATTTACAAAGAGACAAAGTGATATTGCAATATGTGTGAAAAGCTCATTTGCAAGGGTGGGCGGGTTCTTTAAGATACTATAATCAAGTGTTTCTGTGGAGTACTTTGGTAGAGAATATTAATTCAAAGGATTTTATATTATACTCTGATTTACCATATTCAAGGACAAGCATACAAATAGTGAAACATTCTTAGGAAAGTATTCAGTCATGTGACAATCATTATGACAAATGACAACTCATTCCAAGACATAACGTCATGAGTATCAGAAAAGTAGACCAGTCCCTTGTTATATGTACTTTAAGGAGGACAGTTCCTTTGAGCCAGTACAGTATGGATAATGCAGTCATTAATAAAAACGTACTTTGCTTTCCCTCTCATTGTAGAAAAATGCTATTTGGGTGATGAGGTTTTAGAATGTCCCCTGGATACAAATTATTTCACTTTTATGTCATCATGAAATTAACTTGCAGTCTCATCTAAATAATTTCTTTATATTTGTAATTTGAAGTCTATAAACACACCTTTTCAACAAAACATTCTGAAAAACCACATATTGTCATCTCATCATTTTCAATTAATATCTTTATCTTATTTTTTTAATAAAAATAACTTTGTTGGTCGCTTGAACACATTCAAGGTACATTGAGAAATCAGTCCAATAAAGCAAAAAAAAACAAAACAAATACAAATAAGTCAAATTGGCTAAGTTGCTTTGCCAGCACACAACCCCAACAATGTAAATTAAAACATTAAAATGCATTTGTTCTCTAAGAACATGATCACCAGTTTCAACAATATGTCAATAACAGTTTGTCCTACGAATGTTATAGACAATGTCAAAGTAACTTTGGGAATGAAAATGTCTTCAAAGCACGATGACATCTCATGTACATGAGTTTGACATTTAAAAGAGCAATACAATGTCATTTTTACAATAAGTGTCAAAAACAAAGAATCTAGATTTGGTATCTTGAAAGTCAAATACAGGTCGGCCAAAAACTGTGTCACATGCAGCATAAATTTAAAGACAGATATATTGAAGTAAAAAGTGGCCTACATGATGAAATGAGGTCAATAGATGAAACAGTCATTTTGGCAACATTGTTTGATGCATTATAATAAAAAGAAACCCAAGCTCTATCCTTACTTTTTGCTCAGACAATGACTTAGAAATAAGAATTTAAGCTCCTCAAACAATGTGTTATGGGAAATTAAGGCGACCAGTATATGTTAAGGTCACCTGAAAAGTAAAATGCCAATATTATTGTACACAGAAATTGTATTTAAAGGCTTCACAAAGCTGTAGGTCATCTAAATTACGTCATTAAAGATCAAGGCCAAGGTCACTGCTCACTATTTATAAGTGAAGATACCTAACACTGTCAAATACTCCATAATAAAAATCCTTCATGATTTGTCCAAAAAGTATAGACTGCCTTGTAAAATTATATCTTGAACCATGATTAGCATGAATACAGATTATCATAAGATCCTCTACCAACTGATGATGACCATAGCTCTACTAAAACGAAATGAACAATCAAAACCTTATCATCGGCCTTGTCACAGAGATAAATGCAAAGACAACGTCATTGCCCTTCGGCTCTGTTGATTGACATTTATAGCGGAAACATAAACGACTCAGCCCTCTTTGAAGTACTTAAGCCGAACAAACATTAGTACGAGGGCAAATAAATGTAAAGGTGAATGAAACTGATCAGAATCAGTTTGATAAGAGAAAGCCACAATTTGGTGAATCTGGTGCTAAAACAATACTTTGGACAGTAATGAGCTGCTACTGTCCATTTATTGTTAGCACAAATCATCTATTTTCCAATTAATTCAAATTATTTCAAGATAATGTATTTATTGTGCTGTTCTGTAAGACCTCTTGATAGTAGCCACACCATTATCATGTTGCCTAATGTTAGAACATAAGGAAGCCATTTTTCTATATGCCTAAGCAAGAAGTCATCTTCATAGTGTTGCGAGCAAATGAGGACATTATTTTTTAAGATATGTAGAGATATATACTGAATCTTTATCTTTATAATTGGCTATATTTGTGCAGTACTTGTATTGAACTGTAGAATCCTGATGCAGTGCAGCATATTTCTATTACAGTCTCTATATGTATTTATAGCTGGGCCAGTGTCTTATATCAACAGACAAGATGGTCAATGTTAATCAACTGCTTTGCTGAACTCAATCAGTATCAACTTCTGCATTAATAAAGGGCTTAACCTCATGGATAAAGTTTGCATAATAATACTCTCCTATGAACCATCTGATTCTATCAATCTGTTGATGAAAACATTAGATGCGTGGTCTCTATTTTGACTAACTGCATTCTTCTAGATGCTTGAATCATCAGGGACCATTTCATTCCTTGGAAAGGCAAGATAGTATCATCCATCCATTGCAAATATACCTAATGGAAGAAACTGTATAAACATCTCTAATAAAAACTGGAACTTGATTTTCTCATTACAGACACCAACCAAATTGTAGACAAGATATGACATCAACTCAATTATAAAATAGTTTCCTGAATATCCTGGTAACTTAATTACATTTTCTTTCATTATTGACACAAAAATCAATCTCTATCAAACAGATGGGAAGAAATCACAGAAGAAATGACCAGTAAAAGTAAGTCCTATTTAAGTTCCAAACATGTACCTGAACATGAAATTAATATTGATCATTTTAAGTTTTGACTGATGATTCTTCCTCCATCTCCACTCAGCATTACTAGAAGCAAGATGTAGCACACATGCTTCATATTATGGTCATTTATACTTAAAACACTATGTGATGATCTGCAAAAGGAGGCCAAAGTATCTAGTGAAATGGTCCAGCCAACATAATAAACAATCCAAGTGATAAATCCTTGTCACTGATGAGAGAAAGTACAGAAGAATGAGCATAGGAGCAGGTATGCTTGAATACATTAATAACAGTGATTCTCTGAATGCCAAACAGGCAACATAGCTCCAAATACATAATCAAGAAAACTTAAAATTTTGTCAATCAAATCAATTCAGCTGGTGCCTTGGAATAATCTCACACCCGGGCACTTTCCTTGTTTGTACACAGCATTTATCATATAGGAAAAGTGAAAGAGATTCACTTTTGTGTATCAATAACTGTCCATTATAACCATTCTTTATCTTCATTTACTCCATTATAACTTGGAGGTTCAGTCCAAACAAGGTATTCAGATTCTGGAGCTACTGCAATAGAAAATTCACCCACCAAAAATCTCGGACAAAACAGGGGTTTCAGTAGAAATTCTCACAACAGGCTAAATAAAAGAAAACAACAGGCAAATTTAATGGAAATCATAAATATATCATTGAAAAGTCCCTAAAAACAACAGACAATTTTGTGAAAACAACTGGTGAAAATCGCCTGTTGCCTGCTGCTAATGAAACCCCTGACAAAATGTGTACTGCTTCAAACTCTCATCTTATGACAGTACATTCAGGTTGACTTGGTGAGAGGATAGTATGAACCAGTATAAGCTAAATATCTTCATGAAGTTTCTCAGGAAGTTAAGAGTCAAATTACACATCACTCCTCAAATTCATTTGGGATTTAAAAAGTGGAGTTCTTATTTTGTTTTACTTAAGTGACAAGCTGTTTTACAAAATGCTTCCTCATTCTTTTTTTACAAAAATCGCATGTATATACTATGTTATTGTCCTTTTGAAATAAGCTTGGTACTCGGTAGCACCTTAGAGTGCAAGTGGAGGGTGAAGCGCAAGTAGATATTGAAAATTAAAGGTAGAATATATGAGTCATGTTGACTGGATCTGGTACCTGGTAATCTGGTTTGAAAGTTATTAACTGAGAACTTAAATGAACATGTCAAAAAATGTATAAAATGTAAAAAATAAGTAAAGGTTAAGAATATTTTCTTTTGATTTATTTGGCTGATGAAATCCAGTTGAACTCAGTTCACAAAATGAGAGCATTTTATCTGACTTTTTAGTGTGAGTGAATGAATGTCATCTAAAAGTGACCGTACAAGTGAACTCGAAGGTACAGCATTAATCATATATGACATGGAGTGCATCATGTATGAACTGATAGGTAAAAGCTCAGACAAAAATCCTTGGAATGTTTCTTACATGTTTTAACATAGTTAAAAAATAATATACCACTGCAGTTTATTTAGCTGATGCATTATAGTGGTTGGAAGACTGACTCGTGTACTCGAGTTTTACTCGCATTTGTCCTAAAAATCAATTGATCGAGTTGAAAACTTGAACTCACGATTTGAAATTTTTACCAAAAAAATCTTTTTTCACTCGTTTTCACCT